AGCTTCTTTTTCCATTTTTTTTTTTTTTTTTCTGCGAAATATAAGATTTCTTTCACCAAACCACAAACGAAGTAAGATGCAGATATAAATTCCCGTTTTCTCTCATTACAACGTATCCCTTGTCTGTGGGTAACACGCATGGACTTCTGTTGGCATAGGTCAAATTCTATGAAACCCATGTAATTAACTCCCATTTTTATATACTGGAGACCACTCCTCAGCCTTCAGGTGAATCACCTGCTGATGTTTTATTTGTACGTAAGCCGAATCAACACTTATGCTGAGTCAAACCGACTCCGATCTCCTCCATCAAGGACTTGTTTTTAGAAACATCCTGTATGTCCCATTAACCTCCTCATTTCAATCAATCTACCTTCACTCCTTCACATCATTCATTTATATTGAGTTACTTTGTATGTCCATCACATAGTTCTATGTGACAGAATGGATAAAAAAGAGAATGCAGCTTTATATTTAGAAAAAATATTATTGTAAGATGGATATGATGTCCGGCTACAGAAAAATAAAACCATGATTTAATTCAGGTCAGTCTTCCCTTGTACTGTGCATACGTTTCAGGAGATTAATGTTTGGCTAGTGGATTCGCCTTCAATGCCCCGATTCTCAGTTATCCCCGTTTACATTAAATTTGAAGTTGAAACATTTTGTAGTTTATGTAATTTAATGATAATATGTGATAATTTCTGCGTTGTCTTTTTTTACATAAGAGAAGAAACTAAGAAAATACCAACATGTCAAAAGAGTCGCAATCCAAACTCAAATTCAATCAAACGAGGGCAAAAGATGAACTAAACAAACAATTTCACTCTTGAGAAAGAAAAAATGATTAAAAGACCAGTAGTTGCGGAAAGCTAAGCGTCTTCTATTTGTAAATCTTTTCGATCAAAGTAAGTGATGTAACGTTATCAAATAAGGACATTAAACGATAGCAGGACTAACGTATACTAACGAGCACCAAACATGTCCAACTCCATACCACATAAGGAAATAAGATATAGAATATTATTTTCAAATTCATTCGTGACTTGTGTATCTGTTTGTTAGGTAGTATAAACCAGGTGTGTGGTGTGTGGAAATGAACTCCGTTAACCAAGCTTTGTACAAAGGTGTGATACACATACTCGTGTGAACGGGATTGTTTGACATTCCCGGAATGTCAAATCTAAGGTCAACATTGCTAATCAAGAGCTTTAGAATTGAAGTTATGTTGTCCAATAGTTCTGTCTACATATGATATCTTAATTCGGAGGGGATATTTTAGGAAAGACCACTTGATACGATTCTAATATTAAGTAAGATGTTGTATTACTATTTGAAGTTTAACGTGTCTGGAAATTTAATTGATTTAACCCTTGTATTAAAGGCGGTGTTACCCGACAGCCAACAGTAACTCTTCATAAAACCTAAACGCAATATATGGATAATAATTTACAACAATATCTCACTTCATGATAATTTAGTTAAATTTACATTTAACGAATGAATTGGATATTAAAAAAAAACAAAAACACACTTTAACACACAAATGCTACCTACAGAAAGTGAACATGTTGATTTCTTCAGCCAAGTAGCAATATATACATGTAACAAACCTTTAGCAGGTTGACAAATATAGCCATCACTTCAGATAATTTTTTTTTTCAACGAAGAGTTTAACACATAACTATGATTTACACTGTGTGAAATCAAACTTCTTCCATCTGTCTTCATTTTGATAAAAAAAAAATTGCTGATCCAACTACCGCTCCACTACAGTGACATTTGCTCCGTGTAATAAATCGTCTATATTGGAATACGCTTTAACTTCCCCTACAACCGGCACGCTTGATAAGGGAAGGTTTCAGATACAAATTCTCCGCTGGTGTTTTCTCTTGCGTCTTAGCAAATGTTGCTACATATAGAAAAAGCAGGACACTATAGATGTTAACATTTTAAAAACTATAACTTATCATGCTTCATTCCAATTTCCAATTGGGTGTTTTCTTTAACCAGCAAATGTAACTACTGGCATAAAGCATAATCAGATCTATAAAAGCGTAAACCCGAACATACATAAATACCATGATATTTTTAACAAATATTTCAAAATTCAGTCGTAACTATTTCACAATACGATTTTGCAATTTTAACTGAAGATATATGTGTTTATAATCCACAAACAATTTTTCACTCGTCTATCATACTTTTAAATTATATAATATCAAATGAGAAACCAGATGGTCTGAAGGTCGTCTAGTGATTATATATTACTTTCGCAATTTTAATCAATGAGAGCAGTAGATACTAAATCGAAATTCGCCTATTTTTCCGTTCGATTTTCCTCCTCGGACGCAGATGAAACGAAGGTGGAATAACCTTTGTGTCATATCCTAATTTGGGATTCACGCAATGTTGAAAGCGATTCTTAACATATAACAACATAGAAGTGTGGAATATCACGTTAAGTGACGAAAACAATTTGGCGTTGTCGTTTAACGGGACATTTTCTGACGTCAAAAAACGTGCTAGTATTTCCAGAATGTTTTTGAAATCTGGAGTAATCCATGAATTTATAGGGGAGCTTATCAAATTAGGTCACAAACACAAATTCCTTCAATTTCACTTTAAAATATATCGATGATGAAATAGCAAAAAAATATTGACGATGCCCACTGTACATCCCAACCAAAATTGGAAATCTAGGACAGAACAGACGTGTACCTCATATTTTTGCTACGACAAAACTAAGATGAACAGCCTCATACCAAGATAAACGTGATGACTTTAATTTGTTGTGAATTTTCCATTTCGAGATACAAAAATTCTGCACCACCAAATTATGGTACTTCAATAGTGCAGTTGATTTGATACTCAAGGACTTGTTCGAGATATTTCGTGCAAGATTTTTGGTAACTGACAAACTCACGCTAGAGGGTTCTGAAAAATACTGATGAAAATTATAGGGAAGTTTAAAGTCAACATACTGATCTCGTAGGGAAATAAGCTATTTTTGTATACAATTTGTAGTCGATCGTGTTTGATGCTCGTCAGTATGCCTGTTGATTCCGGTTTTTTTTATTTATTATTTTTTTTTCCTCATTTGGAATGACACAATACTTACTTCGATTAACGAAAATTTACAGACAAGGGTGTCGTCGATGAAGCAGAAAACGCTTACTCTTCCGGAACATCCAGTTATATTATCCTTGTACTTTTCAAGAGTCTCCTTGTAAATCTTTCTTTTGTTTACATTATGCTCTAGTTTTATCGAATCTGAGCTTGAAATAGTATTCTGTTGACATGTCAGTATTCCCTTTACTGCATTTGAATCGGGAAGTTTACGATCTATTTTTCTTTTAAAGATATGATCAAAAGTAAATTGATCGGTTAACCATTAAATAAGTAAAGTATGATAGAACATATTTTTTTTCCTATTTGCTTCTCACTAGTCTCACAGCGGTATCATTTAACGGCAAGTCATTAGTATATCTTTAGATACACGTCTGATAAAATGACCAGTACATAGATCAGAACAGTCTGTCTATTAAGCATTTATTATTATTTCTTTATGCTGAACATTACTGAAACCAGTTAACTGCGATAATGTATCAAAAAGCAATGTTTGCAATGTCTTATGTTTGAAATCTACGTCTTCACTATTTCAAAGAATGGATCAACAATCGCTGAATTTGTACTTTGCCTTTGTTGATGTCTTCTAATGTAATCGTGCACACAGAAAATGATTTACAATGACATAAGTGTATATGTACTGCATCGCTGTTCGACGATTATAGTAATTCATTAACCTACTTCTGGTAAATAAAACAAACGCCGCAAATAACATAAATAATCGATGATGAATGTCAACACCACACATGTGGTAGAAAACGGTGGAATTATATCTCTGATGTCTTCTTATCGATAATTTCTCATGCAGAATACTTGCATCAGCCTTTAGCGATTTCTTAAAGTCTTAACAAAACGGACACTCTTAAACACACCCAACGCTAGCGAACATAATGAAATTATTCGTCATTACCGATCTCAACAAAAATCAACAATTTCAGAAACATGCAGTAGATGAGTTGATCACTAACAGTTCCAAGACTTTCATGTTCGGACACATTGAATTCACTTTAGTTATTAGCTCAAGAGTCTCAGGAGTTACTAAAGCTTAGACACTGGGCTAAAAGCATGACGTTAATCGTTCCAACGTTCTGATTCGTTGTATTGTCGGTCAAATATAATAAGATTACGTCGGTCACAAGATATCACACTAGGAAGTCCTATAAGAATCAGTTTCTCGTGAATTATGTTGGTTTTCATCAACGATTGCAGACATAAAGTCAGTACTGAGGCGTTGTCAGAATGATTTAGGAGGTTATTGATCATATAACGGACGACAGTAACTCACCGCAAAGGCTACAGACACTCTATGTCATATTGGAAAGTAGCTTTACATATTATTAGCCTGCAGGCGTCATAAATAAGCCTGCAGTGAGTGTGAAACAGAATAGTGCAAAAAGAAGCTATTACAGTACAGAAGATACCGCTCTACATCATCTTCAATAACAATTATATCTTTTCCTTTCTTTTCTCTGCAATTATTTAATCATAGAGTAACATCAGAGCCATTGTGACGCACATATCTAAGGACCTAGAAGAAGCTACAAATTACCTCAAAGAAAGCTATTCTAAACGTGAACTATCTAATATCAAGATAGCCACATTATATCGGGAATTCTTTTTTTAAGCCCAAAGTCGGTCGTGAATAACTTAAGTCCATGGTAAACCTTCAAATGATCATCCAGTACTCACTTTTTCTTGATAACAAGATTCATCGATCAAAATTTATGATGGCTACTGGCTACCTTTTTTGAACGGTCATTAAAGTGTAATGGCACTTTGAAGGACGCAGTTGAAATACATTTAAAGCATGAAAATGTCAACATAATCAAAATTCAAACTCAAATATGGCAACATATGTACAAACAATTTACAAGAGACCCCTGAAAAGGTAAAAGGAGAATAAGACCAGGTGTTCCGGAAGAGTAAGGGTCTTCTGATTCACCGACGACGCCCGCTATGTAAATATTGGTCAACCTAGAAAGTAATGGCAGGTTTTCAAATGCGGACAGGTATTCTACAACAGAAAAAAAAGTTTCAAAAAGGTCAAAGAAGCAAATACAACAGATTATATTTGCTATTGTAGTCTCTGTAGTCGTACGTTTACAAATAGGCACTTAAATTCAAACATGTACATACGCAATAATATAGCACCCTTTTTGCCAAAAATGAATGTTTTTTAGCAAAATGCTACGGTATCATTTCTTCATTTCCCCAAAGAGCTAAACATGAACATGTTGATAATATGATGTTAGATGTCATATAAACAAATAGAAACCACAATTTGGAATACATCGGGAACAGGAGATAACAACGTGATGGATTTTGCGAAGGAACACGACTTTTTATATTAAGAAAAATTTTCTGAACATCAAAAATTAACTTCCTATTTAAGTTCATTAGTAATTATTTGCAAACAAATCTTCAAACAGTATAAAATAATTTCCCCAAAAATAGTAATTAGCAGTTTTTTGCAGAGTAATTTAAAAATTGATTGACGATAGTGTCATGTATTTTTGAGGTAAAACAAGCAAAGGGGAAAATCTGTTTTATTGTAAAATGCACTGAAGTAAAATGTTTGCACTGGTTTTATCAATACACAGGGATTTTCAACTGCAGTAATTTCCCACTAAACTGTTATTTCAACTTTCAAAATGACCGTCGTGTTTCTTAATAACCACAAAAATTAAATGTTCATACAACTACTGAATCAATAATCTATCAAGAATGCTAAATGATAACTTGAAGTTGGTTTACACATTAAACCACGTGATCTGGAGTCCGATAAGGCTTTTTCGTCCTAGAATCTGATTGCCATGTCAGTATTGGTCTACATCGTACAGTAATGTAGTTCTAATTGTCCAAGTCGGCTATACCTAATGCCTTGAAGATGAATGTTGGTAGCAAAATCAACATTACTCGGGGTTTGTCTGTTTGTTTTAACATTGGATGCAAATGCTTACTGGTTTCTAAATACATGTAGTATACTACATACATAGTACAGGATACTGGCTACGTGGGCACATACCCTAATTGTTCTTTGTCCAGCAGGACACTGCCAATTATAATCTTTAATATAATTAATGGCGTTGGAGCTGTCATGCTGGATCCAAACATTGTACTTTACACTGCTCTTACACCTTGAGTGGATCTGACATCGTACTCTATCTTGAGTGCCGATAGATCCAGATCTCGTAGTCACCATCACCACTGAGGTGCTCTCTTATGTTGCCTGTTGTCAATGACATTTGTTATGTGCCACATGATATTGTTCGAAGTATTCCATGTCTTTTTGGAAAGTCACTAATATTTGCAGTAGTGTCATAAATATTAATGTGGCCCTTCTGGTAAGATGATCATTTTTCACACCCTGAGTTAAGTTGTTGTGAACACTAAGACTCACTTTTAGTTTGACAGTCAGCGCCCTATCCTTTGCATCCCGCACGTTTGTTGTAACATATATAGATACTTAGACTGTCACTTTTCTAACGAATGTCTCGATAGCATCAATGCAAAAGTTGCCGGCATCTTGTGTTTTGAAACACAGCCATTGCTTGAATCGTACGTAATATGACTCCCCATCTGGATTTAATGATAGATTTTTCAAGGTTAGCTTATAGGTCGTAATGTTGAGTCTGCCTAGGTTTCTGGAATCTGGCAAAATATCCCTAAACCCTCGATCACCAATGGCGTTGTCATCTTTATCCAGCTGGGAGAGACGATCCATGGTGGCTATTGTAATTTTCGCACCATTATCGGTTCCAAGAGAAGATCCGTCTGTGTCCGGAATGTAATCATCAGGCAGGGCTATGTTCATAAACTTCAAATAGTTCTTCTTGCCACAGTAGCAGATTATCTGGAGCTTTTGATCAGAATTCTTAGGAATAAAAATATATATACCGTCAATTATGAAAGTCGCCTGCTGACCACGAAATGCTTCTGAGATTACAGTGTAGTGCTCCAGAATATTTTCTCTTGTAAGATGATCACGTCCAAGGAACAAAGGAACAATGGTTATTTCAAATATTTTACTGTGGAATGAAATATTTGCGATATACTGGAAATTGACATGTTAAAAAGAGTTGAACAGTGTGTCCGTCTTCATTGTTACCCAGAACAACAGAAGTGCATCCTTGGTGTTTGGAGTGTAAAAACCACTGCGAATAGAGGAGGAACTATCGGACAGAAGTTTTTAGAAAATGTGTTCCCGTCCAATCAGTCCAGGTTTTACAATCTGCATTATTCAGTAAGGAGAAACGCAGAGTAAAAGATAATTCCTGCTTTGATAGCATATGTGATATCTCCAAAAGATCATTAATGATTTCATTGGATCTGGAAAGTAGCTTGGAAGACAACATTTCTCTTTCATCAGTGCAGATTTCAATGTTATGGTTAAGATCTTTCCCTATGAGATGATGTGAACAAATACGCGAGAACCAAGGACACCACAGCTTGTGATGAAAGATGAGTTGGTGTTTTGCGTGCTTGGGCAATATGGTCGAGTTTTGATTGAAACGTTCCATATACAGTGTGCTTTTTGCGTGGGAAGACTGACCTTGAAATAGATCCTCTATGGATAACGGTTGGATGTTTCATGTACCATCCTAAACACTAACGTAAATTGCCATCTGCTTTTAAAATTGTTTACATTATATTTGTTAATAATTACGTATATAATATTCTAACAGATTTCTTGGTTTTAATGTCTCTCATTGTGAGAACACTACTGTCAGAGGTGTTTAACGGTTTCGTCTTAGTAGAAAATGTAGAAAGCAATGTCAAAAGAACAATTGATGATATTGGGGTATGTAATATATTGTTGGAAGATTTGTATAGTAACTATCGGTCATATAATATATAGTATTTAACGTCCTAGTCATAATTGACAGATATAGTCATTCAAGGACATAGCGCCGTTACTTGTATGCGTAGTAGGGGTTGTTATATATTAGGAAAGACACGTGTGTACATGAAGGTTTGGGGTGTAACAGGGTGATCTCCTATGTCCACTATCGTTCAACAAGTCATTGGGGTGATACAAACCAAAGCCAAAAATTCACTCTTTACACAAATGGTGAAGTTTCGATCTTTTGGTAAGGTTAGGATAAGAGATAAAGCTTTTTATATGCTAAATAATTTTGAATAGACTGAATATTCGCAAAAAAGATTTATTCACAACATGCTTAAAAATCAATAATATCGGCGGTATACTTACTGTTTTAGTATTTTGGTATTTAGTTTTTGGTTCGAACCTAGTAATTTAGTTACGTAATTAGTTAATTAGGAAAGTGAAAGGAACATTAATCTGGATTAAATGTAAAGCTAAGGGAACCAACTTTGATTGCACAAAGCAAGGTATCGATAAATGTTTTAAGGGTTAAAAAATTCTTTAGGCCAACCTGTATTGGAATTAGCAATGCTGGAAACTCCACCATTGAGGATGGTCTACCCAGTACCGCTAAATAAACTGGAGGCCTGGCGGCCTTGATGGTCACCTGAGACAAGCAATATTGAATACATATATTAAAGTGTAAGTAGCTTTTAAGTGTAATGAAAAGGAAATTGTGACTGATGATAGTTAGCCTTTGTCAATTCATGCATACCATCAAAACGTCATGGAAAATGTTGAAAGTTTATGGACGCACGACGCGTGACAAAGTTGATCACAACAAAAAGTTGAATTGTGGATTTACCTCAGCAATTTTGTTTTCCGGTCTCAAATGTCAACAAGCACCACGATGAACCACCATATGAAATTTCAAAAAAATATATTTAATATGTATCAAGTAATGCAGTCAGCAATTTTCAATCGTCGAAGTCCAAATTTCCCGTCTGGCTGTGGTTTTCTATGCCTGCCATGTGGTTTTCTATGAATTATATAAAGGACCCAACATAGACGGACAGACGGGGCCGCATACAAAGCGCGATTTGAATAGACCACCATTTGTCATCTGATGACGTTGGACTAAAATATATAAAAGGATGCCTCTTTATACGTTGTAGATGTTCAAATATTTAATTGTTGTTTTGTTAAGCAGAATTTCGTGGTATTTTAATGACGTCATAATGTCACAGGCACAAGAGACAATCGATGTAGAGTATGTATCAATAATCCTACAAGACAATTAGAGTTATCGGTATTAGTGTTTCCCCATCTACACATCTTTACATGTCTAATAGCAGCCTCCTCAGCATGATATATATTTATATACAAATATGGTAGAAATCGCTAATCAGAAGCGGCATCATGAGATGCAACAAAGGTAAAGATTTACCAGTAATCTGCTGGTCTCATAATGTTCTATGCTGATCCTGATAATAACCCATATTTACGTTAAACTGTGGGCTCTTCTGATTTACATAATCATTTATTCTAAATATTTTTTACATGTCGTAATAGGTTAACCAGTATCCGGTACTTCATGAATATTCATGATTTCTAGTGACATTGGTACGGTTATGTATCTATGCACAAACAAATCGTATTTGCTCTATGTGAATGAACTCGTTTGTGTTTCACTTGAGTGTAAAACAACAAACATTAAAATTGCCTTTATGTTTTTTATCACTGTCACGATTTGATTACTTTGTGCACAAAACAGAATATATTTTGCTATGTAATATTGCCTGTACAGAATAGTTTATTTTCTTTAATGTATATCACAATGTTTCATTCATTTCATTCATAACACGCCCTAGTAATTAATGGATGGTGGAGAAACATATACCCCTGACTTAGGCACGACACGTGACATCAGGTTTTCCAATTCCCGATAAAACCGATCCAGTTAAAAATCAAAGTTATCTTAGTTTGATCGTTTTAATCCTGTGCCTTCTTAATGTGTTATCGGACCGTCATTTATCAATCATATGATGACGTTTGTTTTAACATTCCTGTCTAAAACAAGCCAGAGTTTCTATAAATAAACGCCAGACATCTGGGTCGGATTGATAGATTGTCTCTTATCGTTTTCAAAGTCCGAGTGTATTTTGTAACGGGATTTTTAAGCAATAAACACAAAGCTACCTGCGGGTAAAGATATGCCACATTTTCTATAAAATTAAGTGCATGATCATGTGCTTTTCAATATGATTTATTTTAGAAATAAGAGCTTAATTCAAAATTTAGCGGGACTAATTACATTTCGACTGTGACGCTATAGAGGTAATAACTCGTGTCATGTTACTAGGAATGCGAGTCGTGGCCACTCCGTAAATATATATATATATAGTATGAATATTTAATATAACGACAGAGGATGGACAGATCAATTCAGACTAAAGTCCAACGTAGGATCAGTTATCCTGAGCGTGCTTTACTTGAATTCTTTAAACTGTAGATTCGTATAGCCTAAACGTAAATTGATAAATGTTACACATTCAAAAATGCAAAAAGGCCAAATCTAAAAATAGTTAAACGTAGAAAAAATTGATAGTCATAAAATTGTCATATAAAAAAATCCTTCAAAACATGAATTCTCCCAGTTGCCTGGAGATAAGTGTTTCTGTATTATTCTCTCAACATATAGCTTAAGTTCCCTTGAATGAAGACAAGACATCAAGAAATGTTTTATACTACATTTTATTAATATTATTAAATTATCAAATCTTGGAGAAACAGGTTGTGTATATTACAAAATGTCTACTTAAACATGCTAGTGATCTATTTATCAGACATAGTATGCAGTCATATAATTTAGCAGTTACATAAATATATGTGACTTTCTGATAGAGTTGGTTTTCATCTTATCAGCCTAATTGAATGAAACAAACATAGTGGGATGAATATAAAAATTGCAGTAGTTTGTGTCAGCTATTCAGACTCTAATTATCTAAATGTAAATATTGAGTGTAATTTATAAGTTGTCCAATTCCCAACCTCAATAATACTTCAAATCAAATTGATTGGCTTCTTTTTAATATCTTTTTAATTCCTTCAGAGCATTCATATCACCATGTGTGACAGAGGATCTGCTAACAGGCCTCATTTTATATAAATAAAAAAACATGAACATTTACCATATACTAATCAAGCTTGTGTTGGTTTTGTATACTGATGGTAGAAATACCTGGTTGGCATGCACATCATTGCAATGATGTTACCTTTTTGAAAATAATGATAAATTTTCACAAAATGTTACTGAATACCTCTTTAAGATAAACTATGTGATCAAATATATCATGATTTGAAGAACAAAGTATGTGTTTAAGTTTTTATTGCTTTTCATGAATATTTTATAACAACGTACATAAATCATCATCGTTACTATTATTACTGCCTTGGTTGGTACTCAGTTTATGACTGCAAAATCACCCAGAGCACCCAGGTCAAACAATCATGTTGTATTATTTCCAAGTCCCATTATTGATTGGTGGAAAATTGTAGGTATGTATAACACAAGACATAATGATTCTTACTGTTAAACTATTTGTTCTGTTTAACACAAAACAATATTTTCATATAAAACACCACTAGTTACTTTATATAGACACAATAAAGAGAAGAACTTGTGTACAACAAATTTGTGTAACCTGAAAGAAAAGTCAATAGCAAAAATGTCTTAGCCAATATAACCGGAATTATTCCGACATTCTATCAATTTTTAGCTCACCTGGATGGAAAGAGTCAGGGACTATATATATGTAGTGAAGATAGAGGAAACATTTTACTATGCATTTTTCTTATTCTATTGGGTTGACAGCATTTTCACAAAATTTGTTTAGATACATGCTAGGGTTGAGAGGAATTGTAAGTCTTTTGTCCGTGGTACCAGAGTGGTGGGAGGGAATTAAGGCAATTAAGCAAATTCTTATTTCAAGGAATGACACAATTTTGAAACTTAGTCCAAAGCGTCTTTTAAAGGGATCTCAATTTCAGGTAAACAGTAGGTTTCACCCTCCTGCAGATTGAAGGGTGTGATCCTATAGGTTAGATGTAATACTTGATATCCATTGTCTTCTGTTACAATGAAAATATTTCAACCAAATTTGGTTTCAATTATCCTTGGGTGAAGGGAACTAAATTTTGTGTAAATCAGAGGTCTGCAATGAAAGCATAATACTGAAAACCAAGATAATATAGAAAAAAATAGTCATTAGTAATAATTAAGTCCAATTCGCCCGAAATTTCTCATCTTTGGGCAAAACATAATTTTCAAGTGAAATATCCAGTTTAACAATACAGGGCCCCCATGGAACTCTTGTTAACATCGGACTGGGATGGTTGATGGATGACCATCAGAGCTGCACCATGTAAGTGGAATGACCATTCTTTCCAATCTTTCAGATGCTGACACAGGCATGATTTGCCTATTTGCCATACTTTTTTGTGGAATCAAGAGTTCTGATGTTCAACAAAACCAGACTGCTATAAGAAAGTTGACAGAATGTCAGAATAATTTTGACTAAGCCAATAAGAGAACAATACCAAAAACAGCCTCTATTCTTAAGAGAACATTTTCATATTCAGTCTGTCTACCAAAGACTTGTGAATGCTGAGAACTAAGAAATATATCAGATGATTGAGTAGCACGTACAAAGCGCCACCTTGATGATTACTGATTCTACAACACATTCACAGAACTATTAGAGGAAGACAGGTCAAATAAATCAACATAATTGTCAGGACTGCAAAACGTTTTTCACTACATGTTATAGCATGAATATTATCTATAGATTTAAGGCAGTCCTTTTTTTAATAGCCTTCCTTGACAAGATCAGATGTTGTAAAATACTGGTTTCAGACCAATAGAAGTTGGTTGAACTCTGATCATTCATTCAGAAGTAGAATGTTAACAAGGAAAAAAACGATTTTAATGGAAGGCAGTTTTTCTACTTATTCTATTTTGTGTTGTGTAAGTAAACATTTTATGATATATCTATGCTGAAAGTGAAAATGATTGTAATCCCTGGAGTATCGAGGATGTGCAGAACCACATATAGCTTGTCTTCAATAAGGAACCCTGAACAGGTTTAAAAGTTGACATATAACCTGTTGGAACTGAGGACAGAACAAATGCTATATTTTTCTATAAAATGAAAGTTCAAACCTAATTGAAAAACATGAAATCGACACTTGTATCACACATTTGTAGGTCTCTACTTGAAACAACATGTAAACTATTTAGCACAATTATCAAGGTTCACCTTCATGCATCATACATTTGAGGTGTTGAAAGAGACAAAATAGAATATCTCCTTCAGTGGCTCCTTTTATATCACAGTTAGTTGGATTCATAACACTCCACAATCAAAATGACACACACCTTCAGTCATTTACAGCACTTAAGGTACAGAAGATGTTGCTATAAGCCTCCAGACTTAATTGTTAATATCACTTACTACTATAAGAAGGCAATGTGCCCTGAGTGAGTTTGGATTTCCTTATCAACCTTTCTCAAACCTTTCTAGACCACAACGATGCTTCCCTGTGATACATCTTTAACCTTTTAAACCCCTGGATATTGTGTTGTCTGAAACAGCTCACTGTCAGGGAACACATCACGTACCCTATACCATTGCATCAGCACAAGTGTTATCGTAGAATGATATTTCTGGTGACAGGGAGTTCCTCAATGAAGTTGAAATCCAATGTATAGCCACTGTACCAGACAGTTATCCATGGTTTTGTTTCCATCAACTGTCTGTTATCTGCCCTTGTAGGAACAGGCATGTTCTGCTTGTTAAGCACAGTACCTCAACAACATGTTCGTTGGTCTAATGAGCATGCCAAGGAAACACTGTGAAGTGTTTAGAACTTTAATTAACGACAGTTGATTCTTGTAAGATGATGAATGGATAGACAAAGATCACTGTATTTGAGCCACATTGAAGTGTTTTGCACTACTTATATCAAGGAAGAATGGTCCTTCCTGATTGGGTAGGAATGTACAGGGCTGTATGTTGTAAACACCACCTGATAGCTTATCCAACTGCAACACACAGTATCCAGGACGGAAATCTCCAGAGGTTGTCTTTGTGAATGTTCCAGGAGCTCCCGGAACATTCTCACTAACTGATCGTACCTCAAATCCAACACTGTATTGCCTGCAAAAGTAAAAATTTATTTCATATGAATGTGTGTCACTTGCCACCACATTTCTCAACTGTCACGATTATTGCCTTAGCTTTAAAATTAGAGGTGATTGGAAAATAATGACGAGCTGGAACAATTGCAAGTGATCATAAATACAAACTACAACAGTTGAGTTAAGGATACTTTTACACTGTAACTTACTTTGGTCCCAGCAGTTCTATCATAATGTAGTTGTCCGTCGTACTGTTGTCAAGCTGTACTTGGTATATTGGATTGAGGCCGTGGGTATCACTGTAGTTGCTACAGCCCCCTGCAGATCTACCCTTCCATTGACCATTTATCTGTAACACATCAATATCTTAACTCATCAAGGTACATCAATTACTACAGCCCCTAGAAGATGAAGCACATCAACATCTTATATCATCAAGGGATTTCAATTGCTACAGTCCCCAGCAGATCTACCCTTTTACTGACTATTTTTCTGCAATGCATCAATATCTTAACTCATTAAGGGACATCAATTACTACAGTCTCACCCTCCTCCCTCAATCTACCCTTCCACTGAGCATTCATGTGTAACACATCAATATCTTCTTTCCTGATCTGATATCGATTTGACCTTCAGGTCACAACTCCTGACATACTCACCTGTTTGTTTTTTTGTTTTTGTTTTTTGTGGTTATAACTCCTGTACTCACATACTCACCCGTTTGTCAAACTGTTTTTGGTAGGGATCCAGTATCTTTGTCATGGTGAACTCACACGAGGCATAGACCCGTAGTGAGTAGTGGATTGTGTTGTTTTTCTCATACTGTGACACAACCAGAGTATAACTGGTACTCCCTCTTTCCTCTACCATCTTACATAGGTAATGTGGTGTGTTGATTCTCACTCCATCCTTGTATGGGGGCGGGGAATCTAGACACAAAGTCATCTCCTATATCATCACACATGTTAAATATATAGGCACAGAGGTTATGGTCAAATTAATTGTACCAAATTGCTACCAAAGACTTCAATACATTTTATCAATATGACCTAACTTAATCAATTACATACTAGACCACCTCTTAAAAAAGAAAGAAAAAAAAAGAGGAAAAGGGGAAAAAATAATAGAACAAAAATGAAGTCAATATAGGCTTGTGATATCTGCCACACCCCATCAGGAATCATGTGATTACCAGTCTTTGCTCCCAGAAATTTTTAAAACAGGATTTAAATGATCTTTACTTGTTAAATCTTGACTGATCATTATAAATATCAATATGAGGATTAGAAATTGATGTAAACATGCCATGCTGTAAACTGATTCTCTCATGGCAATCATTAAATGATACATACTTTACAGAAATTTTATTTTCAAAGTGGTCATGTTTGACCTTTGACACTTCAGTCTTGACTACTAATAACCAAAATTTAATTATATCTAAAACTTACTGCTACAACACTTAATGCTAAGATACCAATGAACACTGCACAAATTATGCACAATCCAATTAATTGCTACACTCTTTCAACTATGTGTGGGTGTTATGTACTCACAAGGATAGAAGACCTTCTTGCCACCAGTTTTATAAACCAGTAAAGTGATAAACTCCTTATTGTCTGCAAAGTCATCCTAAAAATAAGAACGATTACATTCACATTAAATCTTAACTTCAATTCTAATATGTCTAAATAGCATTGACATCTCTATGAATATCTTCATTCTTGATCAAATAAAGTCTGTTTCTATTGAGAAATGAAGCATTATATATCTATTTTTGTTGATGTTAACAAATCATAATTTAAACATAACCCAAATGGCAGTTAACTGTGACCTTAAACTTAACTACTGTGGCGAGAGATAAAGTATCAACTGCTAGTGACCTTGACCTTAACTACTGTGTGTGAGAAATAATGTATCAGAAGCAAACTGTGAGCTTGACAACCATATTGTAAGTTTTCCTGTGAACTTTGCCCGTGACACCTACACTGCATGTGTTTAGGTGATAGCTGTCACCATGACACCTACATTGTATGTGTTTTGGTGGTAGCTGTCACCATGACATTGGTATGTGTCCTGTATGTTTTTTGTTGTGACCTGGGACTTTGACACCTTCACTAAAGGCTTTCCAGTGTACTGTGACCTTAGCACAAATACACTCTTTGTGTTTCCTTGCTAATGTGCCCTTGACACCTAAATTTTATGCATATTCCTGTAAGCTGTGACCATGACCCTTACCTTGTCTGTTATATGCCGTGTCAGAAGTATCCAGATAGCTGCAGGTTGTGCTGTTTTGATCTCCAGTCTGTACTGGGGGTTGTCACTGATATTATAGGAGTCTTTCTTAGGACCTTCCTTAGCTGCCCACGTACTGAAACATCAGGAGATCAATGACTGACAAGAAAAATGGAATTCTTTGATCATCTACCAATATATTAGTAAAGCACAATGAAATTCCAAATGCTATTTTGCCAAGCTAACTGCTTTATATAGCTTTTTTAACTAACACTTGCCTCTAAGATATGAATACAAATGCTCCTATAAGAATTAGAATATGATTAGATGTAGAACATTATGTTATGACACAATAGGGAAAATTTGAACCAATTCTGTTGAGAGGCTCTTGAAATACAAAATGTACAACACTGATTCTGAATGGGATACCACAAACAGACATTGGTAACACTAAATGCTCTCCCTCCCCACCTATCCCTCTCCAAAAGAACAATGACTAGGACATGAAAACGAAAAAGAACTAAACGATAATATTGTCTCACTAGTTATTGACAATGTTCAGATTTTATAATTCTCTCTTCTCTATCTGACAGTGCTGACAACTTACGAGTGAACACAATGTGTATATTTGAAGAGTTCTGGACTCCAGTTCAGGTAGATGACATCAAAGAAATGGAGCAGAGAATCATAATCTATCCAGAAAACCCCTGTCAATGAAGAAAACTTTTATATAAAAATTCATTCTGACTGGTACAACATTAAACACCTTAACATTAATTCTGATTGATACAGACATCCTGCATAGGGCATTTGGCAGTGTTTGTTCCTTATTATCACAAGGCGACTTGCATGAACATATCACAAATATCAACATCCCAAAAGCAATCACGCTTATCACATGCACTCACCTTGCATATGTCTGGAAGTCATCCTTGAATTAACATATCTATTAACAGGACATTCAATAATCAAAAACCAAACATGTAAATAAAGATACATATATTTGCCTCTAAAAAACTTGCCATACCCTGTCATCATCTCTAACTATATATACACTTTGTCCAAATCTCTCAATGTTGATATCTCACAATCTATTTCACCTACTACTGACCTCACGACCCTGTCCAAATTTGACCCCTTATATCCCCTACTCCCACCGTCTAAATGTGAAAGTCATCTTACCATTGTCATAGGTCTGAGCACTTTTCGGGTCATAGTTTAGGAGTTTCTGTAACTGCGGAGTCCAGTTTGCCATGTCTACTTCTGAAAAGTTGCCTTTCCACCTTAAGTGGCTCCAGGGGTTTTTCAACATGAATAACCTCTTACCCTGTATGGTTTAGTAAAGATGAATTTGTTATAGACAAATATTAACACAATTTAAAGATTTATTGATGAAGTACATAAAGATAATTAATTTTATATGAACCAAAATTTTTCCAGAAGAGAGAAAAATTTAGTGTTCCTGATTTTGCCATGAATTTTCAGTTATTCACCTGTGGGAATTTGGGCTAATGCTGAAGTATTTAGCCACTTCACAAAACCATGAATTAACACTGTTGTATTTTCTCACATATGAGGTAATTGCTTTAGGTAGTGATCCCAAAAAATCAATGGAATTCATATTTTTGGATGACTTGCAAAGTTTTTTTGGGACAAATACCGAAAAATTGTATTCATCAAAAATCATTTCATGATTAATTCCATAGTGGTAACCTTCAATCAAACTGTTTTTGACATAGCATTTAATAAAAACCTTATTGTAGATCTTCAAATCACTCAGTAAAGAAATATCTATTGCAGACAAACATAATTACAATTAAGATTTATTAAAAACCTTACAATATTCAAACTTTTCTAACCAATAATATCTTCAAAAAATGGTGCATTAAAATTCAAACAATTCACAGAAATATTTCATGCAAGAAGATTCACATTTGTCACAGTTTCTCCATTTACAGTAAACAATTTCTAGCACAAACCATTTCTTCACGTATGTCAAGCATAGCATAAGCATGGGTTGGTACAAGTCCAGCACGATCAGCTTCAACCTCGGACAGTTCTCCTGTTGCTACAGTGATGAGACAGTGACCTTTGTGGAAACGATCTAAGATTCGTCTGAATTCTCTGTCGCGATCAAATTCCTTTGACTTTTTGCGTAAGGCTAATCTCTCAGGAATCCAGCCAGTAAGAGCATGTAGATCTATACTCTAAAGAGACAGGTTCTTGTTAAACAATAGTGATAGAGTATGACACATTATAGACAAAGTTCTGGCTCACTGAACATAATTATGGAATATGTATATCACTGTAAAGTCTTTATGGATGCCCTGGCACATATAGAATCTAAGCTTTTTAAATAACGTTAATATTAGATTTACTGAGCTATACAATGTGAAACTCTCCTGTTATCTACATCTATTTGCCTTACATGCCCATCATGACAGATGTGAGGCCTCATGATACAATACTGTTGGTTTACTTACTGAATTATCTGACCATGGAAAGTCATATCCTTCCATCATCTTCATAATTCATAGATGCTAGACCTAATGAAACAGGGTTTCTTGTTCACTAACTGAAATATTATACCCTTAAAAATCATATCCCCCATCATCTTCATAATTTATAGCCACTAAGCCTAAGGTTACAGGGCTAATGGTTCACTTACTGAAATATTAGACCCTTAAAAATCATACTATCCCCAAACATCTACATGATTTATATGTATTAGACCTACTGATACAGGGTTAATAGTTCATTTACTGAAATATTAGACCCTTAAAAGTAATATCCTCCCATCATCTTCATAATTCATAGCCACTAAGCCTAAGGCTACAGGGCTACTGGTTCACTTACTGAAATATTAGACCCTTAAAAATCATACTATCCCCAAACATCTACATAATTTATATGTATTAGACCTACTGATACAGGGTTAATAGTTCACTTACTGAAATATTAGACCCTTAAAAGTCATATCCTCCCATCATCTTCATAATTCATAGCCACTAAACCTATGGCTACAGGGCTACTGGTTTACTTACTGAATTAGACCCTGGAAAGTCATATCCTCCCATCACTTTCATGTAGGCTTTCTCCAGCAGTGACACCCACAATTCATTCTTATTGTTAGAAAAGGAACATAGCAGCTGGCCATCTCGTCCCATTGGTAAAAAGTCATCTATTACAACCTGGCCAGGGAGACAAGAATTCATGCTAGAGACCAGTAGAATTTAGAAATGAGTGGCGATTTTATAAGATTTTGTAATTATGAGAAGACAGAAACATTCTACATCGCTATCCAATTCTATAACAAGATATTGAGTTTAAATATGGTAGTTCTTTTCAAAAAAAAAAGAAATCAACAAGCAAGATAAGAAATAAGGAGGGGAAAGTGAACAAGATCAACATCACATAATGACTAACCTTTCTTTGTACTCCATTAATGTGGAGTTTGATCATGTACTTGCCACATGGATTATACACAGGCTGTCCCTGTCTGTTCTGTGGGTAGATTATGCTGGAAATATGATGTAAATATAAGCATTATATCTTTAGTCAGACCTCTATTCCAAACTTAATATCTCCACTGTGACCTTATATCTACCATAACTGTATTTATCCCTATGGAAGCATTCAAAGGGACAAAGCAGCCATTAGTGAATGTCACAAATATATCATAATTCAGTGACATAACATAAAAAAACACTACATTTGATTGGTGTTATACTGCTAATTTTACTGTTGTTATTCAAAAAGGTAATTTTCCTTAATGTCTAATGAAAGTAATTTAACAACAATAAGATAATCAGGTTTTATCAGAAAGATATATCAATCACCCTTGATAACAAAGATAGTGTGAAGAAATGATGCCTTTATTCGCAAGAGAAAATGGGAATGAGGTGGAGGGAAGTTTAAGAATCCCTCTATGATCAGAATACTGACCTACAGCTTATTTATCTGTTGACAACCTGTTAGTAAAAATCTTATTTACCTGGTGATTACCGTAAAAACCCATGTAATGTCCGCACTTTTTTTCACCGAAAATCAATCCAATACTTGTTGGTTTAAGATTATTTACCTGGTGATTACTTGTTGGTTTAAGATTATTTACCTGGTGATTACTTGTTAGTTTAAGATTATTTACCTGGTGATTACTTGTTAGTTTAAGATTATTTACCTGGTGATTGTTTATTGGTAAGAACTCACTTACCTGGTGATCAGCTTCTTTTTAAAGCGACGTTCATATTGAGCACTGATGGCCAAAGATGCTACAAAACTGCAGTCAGATACGACAGTCTGAAACACAAATTATATACAGCCTTATAAACACATGTTGTAAGTAATAACTTACACTTTATGACATCAAAATCCTGTGGCTACACCATGACCCAAATATAACCTAGCTGTCATGATTGTCAGACAAAGGAAAAGATATCTTCTTGAAAATAAAAAATCTGACAAACAACACAAATACCCTGAAGCACTCCTCTTCATATCATTGTACACTTGTTCTTGGTGATGTATAGGAAATAACGACTACAATCAGGAATCGGAGAAATAATCATCAAACTATTCCTGTTAATCAAATCAAACAATTATCATCATATCTTGTTTATCATATAATCAGTATAGCTCACCTGCTTGATGCTAAAACAAGAAACAGCCAGAATAAGTTTTGGGTCGTCCTGAAAATCTTCTGGTCGTACCCAACCAGATAAATTTTTCTTCTGTTTTGGAGAAAGGCTTAGTTTTCCATGTTTATCTCTGTAATTTGAAACAAAAATAGTAAAACTATTCTTCAGAAAAGTTAACATAAAAACAAAACTGGAATCTGCAGATAAACATGGTGGCATTAAATATACAGGTAAAATTTATCAAGGGTTATTTGTAAAGGTAACTTATAATGATGCATTACACAATTTGCAAAAACACAAATGAACAAACAAGAAAGAGCTGACAATATAATGAAATCTCATGATAAAAGTAGATGAAATCATATGCTGTACAATTTAGTTCATAATTGATGCTGAGGCTAAGGAAGTTAGCTAACTTAAAATGTAAACACTAATTAACACATACTGTTCCTGTCAACTAATTAATGATATGATCTTATAGCACTAATCATGTGACCTCTGTATGCATATTATGTAAACTTTTCACTTTTCCAGAAGAGCAAATTTTATCTAGAATATAAAAGTGGTAAGATAGAAAGGTTTCTATTTACTCACTCAAAAGGCATGGGGTAGGCGAATCTTTCCTTCATGTCTACACTCATAAAAGGCACATATTCTCGACTGTTGATGAAGGATGTTTTCCTATAAAACAAACAGAGAGAAATCATTGCTAACATAGCTGCAGAGAAAAATAATTTCTATTTTGAATTATCAATTTCACTGTCTCCTATCAACATAATCTAAGTGATAAACCAGTGATTCACATCCATGCACATCCATCATTCATATAACAAAGTTAAAAAGCATTATTAAAATGTCACTGATAGGAGCAATATCGACAGTTCATGTCAAAGAGGGATAATGACAGCTGATACCATCCTATGATGTAGCATATCATTCTTCCTGATAGTTTCCTCCTTTAAAAGTCAGAGGGTAAAGACATAATTGTAGTTCTTTATCTCCCTTTAATAACCAAGGACTACTGACCTCTATGTGACTCCACCTTTAAATAATCAAAGGGATACTGAATTGACTGCAGCTCCATTTTTACATAATCCGAGGGATAATGACCTGATTGTGGCTCTCTATTTCTCTTAAATAACTGAGGAATAGTGACCTCAATGTTACTCTGCCTTTAAATAACTGGAAGGATACTGACCTGATTGTGGCTATCTCCTCCTTTGTATAACCTGAGGGTCCAACATTTACTAATCCAGTAGAGGACTGGCCCTGAGGCCTTACATTCTGCCGAGTGGCCTGTGGTGTGCCTCTCTCATTCTCATCATCAAGAAATGCCCCATATCCCAGTGGTGGTATCCCTCTTCCATCATTCTGAGGTGTCTGCACTGGTTTAGGGCTCTTGGCAGGACCCTCCTGCTTTTTCTTTAATTCTTCAGCTCTGTAGATAAAAAGTTAGATGCATACTAATAATACCAATAGGTACTGTTACAATTTTGAAGCTATATGGATAATCTAACAATCAGTACAGGTTTGAACAACTGTGAATTATGGCCCTGTTATTGTGCATTTGAAGTTCAAAAATCTGTGTTTTGACAAATAACTGACCTATCCAGAGCTTTTGTTGCTAGGACGGTAACCTTATCTGTTAGTGTTTTGTCCTTTCTCTCCATGGCTGCCTTTCTCTGTCAAATATGAATTAAACATTTGTTGAGAAAAAAACATGCAATATCATCATTATAAAATGTGAAGTAAACACCTGACCTTAACCAATCAATATAAACTTGGAAAAGACTCAGCATTTTTAATAGTGTCAAGCTATTAAAAAGTCTTGAAAATTCTGATAGAAACAATGAATACTTGATGTAAAATGAATGACTGAAGGGTATCAAACTGTTCTGGGGACAACAGGCATTTACTTTGAACATTTGAAAGAGGGAAGTTTTATTAAGTACAAAAGCCCCAGGAAGTAGGAACATTATTAAAGGTGAAATAACTTTATGAAACTGTTTTATTAATAATCACCCTATATTTTTATCTTTGTATAATTGAACATGCACAAAAAGACAGTATTCTGTTCTTACGGAAAACCTTGCAAATTTAGATTTTCTCATTTCTGACTTGACCTACAATGTTGAGGAACAGGTCACAAGATTCTGTATACAGTTCTCTAGCCTCTGTCTCATTCCCTGCTTCGTCCTCGTCAAATGCTTGGTGAAGAAGAAATGTCGCTCTTTCTAGATCCATCTGCATAAACAGATAAAAGCATACATCAAGGCATGTAGGTAGCAAAGCAACATTCTCAGAAACATGAAACTTCATCCAAGGAAATTGTATACTGATTCTAAGTCATAAGGGGATACATATACAATATATATATGAGCAAAATAAAATTGTTCTCCAACTCAAAAAACAAAAATTTCATATTAAACTCCAAAAAGTATTTCAATTTTTTTGATACAATATCACTTGTATTCTCAACACATGCTAAGAGAAAATCAGTTAAAATCTATCATCACTCATCGTTTAAGATTAGGTAGGCTTTTCAATACAGTTAATGAATTACAAGATTGGGCAAAAGTGTGTTCAATATTCATTATGTGAATGCATCTTCATTTGCAGTAATATTTTATTTTTTGCACCTTTAACCTAAAACTCTTCTCTTACCTAGAATTAGCATAAGAATGCATATTACTTGCCATTGGAATCTTTTTTATGCCTAATTTTAATTTTGTTTTTGCTAAAACACAAGAAAATACTAAGATACTGATGATCAATTATAAAAAATATACAATCATTGCACCAAATGAGATTAAATGATTATATAATCGATTATATCCAAGTCTCATCCCATCACTACTTGCTACTGATTTCAATAACCTATAAAGTATGGCTGTTCTCCCTTGATCATATTATCTGATGACATTTTCTCAAACAGCATTTGTTATTACTTCTAGATAAATGAACACACATAAAAATAAGATTTTATCTAAAATTATTCATACTACAGCTGATAAACTGGTAATTTTATCTTTTTGTAATGCAGAGTTATCTGTCCTTGTTCTTGTTAAATCAATTCAGAGTTATCTGTCCTTGTTCTTGTTAAATCAATTGTTTGTGAGAGTAACATCAGAGAAATGACATAATTTTAATCATGCACACTAATGACACAACAATCAAAACCTGCTTAAAAGAGCAGATGGAATTAAACTTTCCAAAATATACATGTATATAACCATTTTTTAAATACAAAATATATCAAGGATACCTTTTCTTGAGATTTTTGTCCTTGGTTTACTGGTGCTGCCTGCAGATCTGAATCGATAATATATGATATTACTGTGTTATTTAAGGTATTTAGGTAATATAAACAAAATGTTGTTAATAAGTTTTAACTGAACAATATCAGGTTAAAAGAAAAAAATTATGAATGATATCTGTAACACAACTTCATTTGATAAAGTATTCATCTACGCAAAAATATGCTTGTAAACATTACTATCATGTTTTTAAACAACTTTCTGGTAAGTTACTTGATCTGAGAGCCTCTGCTCGAAGGATGTATTCGTTGGCGTGGGTGATGATGCCTGACATTGTTGATCCAGCCAGAGCTGCTGAGAGGAGTGCCTGGGCTGCCTCCTAGATAAATACATGATAAATTACATGTTTATATAAACTATACACATTTACACTGACAACAACTTAATCCAAATTCAGAAACAAAAAACACTGAATTTGATCAAATAACTTCCACTTCTGTTGTCACTACTTTTTGTTATTCCTATATCAATTGTGTGCATGCATCAAACAGTGAAAAAAATAAATTGTCATTCAATCTGGATTAAAGTCACATTTTTCTACCAGACACAATCAGAAATCCAGTGGGATTCATTCAAAGTTTGAGAACCCACTATATCTCCAAGAATCAAATGAGATAAGTATCAAACAGCACTTATTAAATTTTTGGAAGTTGCTTTCTGGACTTCTCAAAAACATCAGCAAAAAATGATGATTTAACTTATAAGTAAACAAATGGGAATGCTTATCACTTCCTTTTCAATTGTACAAGCTTTAGTCAGCAGAGGCGAACACTATATCAAAGCCTAAATACACTGGATGCCAATATAAACTATGCAATCAATATCTTTTGTGGAAACCACATCTTTCCTGTAGACCTTATTGTGGGAATATTTAGAAACGTACATTTGTTCATCAGAATCAGCAATAGATTTTAATTTCTTTTCAAATAATCTTTAAGGTAGATTTTTACCTCCAAGAATAAGGAGTACATTTCGTGTTTACTTCTTCTTGTTTTTCCCCATTATGTTTGTTTGTTATTTGTGAAGAGGGTTAAAATAATGTCACAATAATTTGTGCCCAATTTGTTGGCTTGTTTTCTTGGCAATAAAATATGTTTAAACTACATAAAGTAAAAGAAAAATTCAAGTAATAAGCATTTATATCTGTTTATTTCTGTGATATTACCTGAAAACTTTCTCATGTTCTTTTTATTCACTTTTTTTCCCAATGTCAGTGTGAATTAATATCAGTTTCCTTATAACTGAATCATGTACATCATATCTCTGTAAAGTTATATTGTTAATATTTTACCAATGATTGTTGTATCTATAACTTAGCTTAGTCATAATGAATGATTAATGATATGAAAGAGTGTGCAATGTGATATAAAATCAGTTATATTTTGATTTTAAAAAATTTTTTATTAGTATTGTATGAGTGTGCTGTAAAACATTTGCTATGGCATATTAAATTATTTACATCAAATTAAAGTAGAATACTGCCTTATCAAACAGAATTGCTCACATTGTAGTAAAACATTGCTGTGTCATATCTCCCAGCTTTGTCATTCTCCACTGCCAGATATGCAAACTGTTTGCCATCATTTTCAAGGATGAGAGGGTCCGCTCCTAGATCACCAGGGCTATTTGAGGGATCCATTTTACTGAAAGTCTGACTTAACAAGTCGTGTATTTTCAGGGGAAGTCATCAAGAACCTCCATTCTGATAACTAACTGTCAAAAAAGGAAGATAATTATATAAAACCACTGTAAAAATGCAATATATGCAATACTTCAACTTCCTCATGGCTCACTTGCATTGCTAATAAATTCTGTGTGCAGAAATAAGAATATAGAGTACTTGCAATAAATTAAAAGATTTATATCCAACAGTTTTATGCGGCTGTAGCAAAGAAAGCATGACTAGAGTTTTAAAAACAACAGCAAATAACACTGTACCTGTGAGGAAAACTCACATTAGTATTTTATGTAATTCACATGTATGTACATTGTATGTTTGAACCCTTCTTGGGAATTTCCTTCTGTTTTTCTCAAATCAAAAATGAGAATCTCAAGGTATACTCTACTTCCCTAACAAAGTATTCCCATCTTCTAGCAATGGTCTATGTAATCGATGGAAGCAACATATTTGTTGTCAGAAGATACGATGGACGCAATATGACATGCATGTCATGATCACTATCTTCAGTGATCATCATCTTCAATAATAAAATGAGAATAAAATATCTTTTTTATAAGACAATAAATGTATATGTATATCTGTTGATTAGTCATTATGTATTTCGTAATTTTCGCATTGTAATAGCTATTTATATTTAGCACAATATAGACAAGCTGATTTTAAATATTTAAAATGTGTTTTCATGTTATTGTTCCTTGTTTTAAATACATTATTAGACATAACATCAATAAAGTGTGGAAAGAATGGATTAATAAAACTAATGCAGAAAGCAATCATTTTTAGAAACAACAAGTGTTTTTTGTAAAATTGTAATACTGCTTGTTGCATCTGACGTTATAATTCGGCAAAATTGGCAACCTGAGTAGACCTAAGTTACCTTCTCACTCAAGCATTTCTGAACGCTCCAACTTCTACATCCAGAAGTCCAGGAAGTTGTTCAATTCCGATACGTAACAGGTTAAAATTTACTGTTGACAGTTCAATGACTACTTAAATTCGAGCAAAAAAAATACCGGAAGTACAATTCGGTTTCTAGAAATTAAAAACGAAATAGCTGGCTAGATTTCCGGATTCAAACGCTGGATATTGTAGCGGCATTTCACAAACGACAACGTAACGATTGAAATAAAGCAAGCAGTTGAAGTTCATGGATATTTATCTTCATATTCATCTACACAGAAAAGTAGGATACACGCATTTCAACATTGTTTTACTTATCAGCCGCCGTATGTAACATTAGCGTATTAACCAAATATTGGAACGCTACACCAAATGGATCATTTCACAAATATTTCACTCAGAATTTTTGTTTTGCAATACACGTGAATATTGATTATTCAAAACCAAAAATAGGATGTTTATGAATAATTATGGCATTTTAAAAGTATTTGAAATTAAAAAATAAATCCAGAGAAATGATGCAATGCCGGATATCCAATCATGCTTTTAAACAATGAAAAAAACTGCTGAAATTAACTTTTTTGATAGAGAAATGACTGTGATTAACGAGAAAGTTGCTATTTTTTTAGATGAAATATATTTAAGATTTTGTTGGTTATTTCTATAAACGAACAGAATAGAAGAGGCGTTCCAGTTAGGGTACCCTTACCTGTTGAAAGGCATTGCTGAATTGTGCTGCTATATTCTATTTATGAAGAAAAAACTGCAGGATTCAAACACTCGGAAATTTTTTATTAAAATTGTTTTAATGTGTTGAGTAGCGCCACGTTACACTGAAAAGATGCAGTGGTGTCAGTGGTTGATGTGATTGGTCTCCGCTTCGACTAAATAGAAGCTAGCGTGATTTCTTATTAATGATATAAGATGCACATTTACATAATTTCGAACTGCATGTTTCAAATTCAATAAACACTGAGTTATAACTTATTTTTATTTAATCTACTATTTTCATTATTCCATTAATGGTTGATGTAATATATGACTAGGAATGTTGTGAGTCAGTCATCATGGGATAACGCCATCCCGACAAGGCTGTCGAGGAAATTCAAAACCAATTTTTCCAACTGTGCTTCAACTCTTGTAAGAAAAAAACTCCTTTTTTCTCTCAATTAGACCGGTATCAATTTGGAACAAAGTACCAGAACAAGTTATTTCAGCAAAAAGTATTAACAAGTTTAAGAATGAGTTAGATCGATAATGGAAAAAACAAGAACTATTTTTTAACTTAATTATTGAAATGTTTAAAGTAACAATGTTATTTTCATGATATACCAAACGTGTCAAATCTCTATAGCATTCATGTGGGAGACAAAAGATTATAGTTAAAGGTACACGTACAATTCTAAACAATTCGAGTTTTATTTTATGGGATATGGAAGAATCAATGAAATCTTAAATCAACGATAGGGTGTGGTAAACAGATACGAATGTTCAGCGCAGATAAATAAGACATTACTAAAGGGAAGAATGACATTAATACAAAAGCTCTCTCAATCAAGTAACACTATTTCCACAAACAATATATTGTTAATCTACGCTGTATAGATTGAAAACAAAGAGATTGTGTAAAGTACAACTTTAATTTTTCATCATGTGAAAACGTGGATTACAATCAGCAATATATGATCATACACATGTACATTCATACTACACGACTTAAATTATGATCGGAAGACAAATGCAAAGATATCTAATTTGTTGTTCATTATGTTTTCTACACAAATGCAAATATATCCAATTAGTGATGTCTGACATTTCCGCGTTACTTGAAAACAAAATTAAAATCACTATCATTTGTCCTCCCTAGCTAAGACGGAGTTTCTTCCAGTGTCGTATCCTTTGTTGAGTTTATCATCCAAAATGAGTTCTGTTGTATCTAGACTTCTCACCTTTTCTTTCATGAACCGCCTGTTTACGCCTGTACCCTGTAGTGAATTTAAAAGATTTAAATCTACATATTGTTATCATGTATTGTTATTCATTTTCAATGTGGCATAAGTGATATGCTTCTCACAAAATGCTTTATTTACTTGTTGATGTTATCCACGAGCCTCACATATTTTCCACTGTAGGATATGATATGAACTTTATTTATTTGACATCGATTGCGAAACAAGTCATTTTAACATATACTAATCACTCATTTTGACCTGGATGAATGTGCACAGCAGGTCTGACGTGACAGGAAACCAGAATGCCCGGGGAAAACTCACTTGGTAGGACAGGTGACTCCTTACCTCCTTCTTAGGCGAGTGCGCTACCACTGCGCCACCTGACCACCCCATACTGTGGGATGGTCGAAATGCATCACAACACATCATTGCCTTAGCTACTGATTTCATGTGAGATGATTATATTGCTGGCTGCGATTTATTTACTTGGAACAACTTGTTGGAGAGAGTTGGTAAAATGGTGAAAACGGAGAGGAGGTGATAAGGTTTCTTATCCTGGAGGGTCAACCTTCTAAACAGGTTGAAGAGCGAATGAATGCGATTTATGGAGATTCATCCCCTATTCCTGCAACTATCAAGCACTGGGCGCCGGAATCCCAGCGTGACAGAGAGATTTTAGAAGATGACATCTTGTCAGGATGGCCATCAACTAGTACTGGCCTGGAAAACCTACCAATTGTGTACAAACTGGTGATTTAAAAAAAAACACCATAGTACTCTTTATTTGGTGGAACGTACAGACCTTTTATATGGATCTATCCACGTCATACGTCCTGACAAATTACACATGTTCAAGGCATGCGGAAGATGTGCCCAAAGAAGGCTATAGTTGTATTTGTATGTTCAGCAGTGAAAACAGGAATTGACAAAATATCTCCAAAGACAAAAAATTTCAAAGCTCCCAGTTTGGAACAGTAATTAGGTGATAAACATCAACTATTTTCCCTTTGGAACCACACTACTGAAGCTGGCGCATTGTGCGGTGTGGCTATGAACTGCTTCCTCACTCATCCTATCCTCCACACCAAAGCTCCAACCTCTCATCTTTCTCAAACTGACAACACTTTCGGGACCAGGGATTTTAGGATGAGTGCTGTGATAGAGGGATGATAAGGAGAGGAAGATGTTGAGTTCTACCGAGTAACAATGACCGGTCAGTTTGACGGAACAAGTGTGAGGTGTTAGAGGGGAACTATATTGTATTGTGTGTGATGTGTCTGTGTGTCTGTGTGGGTGGGGAATGCAGTGGGTCGATGTGTATTAAATGCTTGGTTTTACTAAAACTTGTTTTTACCAAGTGATGTTTTATCGTGGATTTTTATGAAGTTTTATTGTACCAAGTGATTTTATTTACCTAATAATGTTTAATCAATTGATTTTTGTCTGATGTTTTTGTCAAGTGCTATCCTTACGAAATGATGTTTTCACTGATTGTTGTATAAATCACTGAACACGTGGTTATTTTTACCAAGAACTAACTTTAGGTGATTTATTTATTAACTGATATTGTTTATGTACCCATTGATTATTTATTTATTGTGTGATATGTTATTTACCTGCCGTATGTCAATGATGTTCAGTAGTACCCCAGATAGGACTGCCATCACAGATAAACATGTCATCAGTAAGAGAGCTTCCTGGTAAGCATGGATTTGTGCCTGGTGACTGAGGCTACAACAACAAACACAGAATGATTAACCAGGTTAGAGTCATCACATCATAAAATAGTCTTACCCGGATACTCTGAGGAACATGTATACTAGCGTTAAATACCCTTAAGATGGTTTTATATTAATTAGATGCCAAACGCATAAATTTACGTACAGTACAAGTTTTGTAGAACTTTCATGTCCAGTCTCTTTACTCAAAAACACTAACAGTTAATCCTAGCTAAGTTGGAATTTGTGTTTCCTGTTGATGTTACATAACTGACGTGATAATGTGGGACTGAATATACAAATATATTTATAACCGCATTGTTCCTTCTAAAGTTCAGGATGTCCTTCCCCAATATCTTCAGAAATGTAAACCGAAAAAAATCCCACATTTAATCTTCACCACAGATGCATATAGCCGTATTGAATCATAAACTGAACAGCACCAACTTGCAGACATGCTTTACAAAATGTAATTAAGGGAACGTATTAACACACTTTCACTACCAATATAAGTAAAGTCAAAATAACCCAAAATATAATTGGGAAAGAAGACAGAAATGTTGAAATAATTCAGAATGGTTCGGAAAATAGTTAAGGTCATGCCAAGAATTGAAGAACTGCTACATCTTCCCTTTGTGATAAGACTTGATAAGATATTTGCTACTTATAACTTTGCAAAGAACTTAACAATTATTTTCACTTTTGAAACACAAAGAAAATGTAGGTGGTGAGCATGTTTAACGCAGCATTGTTCTCATCATTCAATACCTTTCTTTGTTTTCAACAATGGTGCCTACGGAAAGGTTAGTCAGACCTATTGAAAAGCGCATCATGAACACAGCTACGCCTGCCCCGGTCCCGAATATAGCTGGTGGCAGCAGGTTAATAGTAACCTGCCACATTATTATCTACAAATCAGAGACAAGATCAGATAACATTTCTCGGGTATTGCTTCTGTTATTAAAGTCTGTAAACAATAAATCCAATGAAGAATTGATAATGCCTTTTTTATTTTATATTTCTAGCACTTGTATCGGAAACATGAAACTATAATGAATCATTTCATTTCTCTCGAAATAGTTATACATTAGTTTATACTATGTTATATTTCTAAAATAATACATTACTATATCACAGCATGCCTGTTACGCAAACAATGAAAAAGCTATGGATGGAATATCAAACTGATAGTTACAATAATACATTGTCGATACATACCGGTTAAATTACTCTAAGTAATAACAATGAGATATTAATTATTTTTCTCGTCGGTCAGTTTGTTTTAATGTGAAACCTGAGGCAGACGTACCACATCAAATGTGTAGACGATGCCAATACACACTGTGAGAACGAAAGGCGGTATGGAGGGGCTGTATGCCATCAGGAGGTACACGGGTATGCTCATTGTCGTCGCCGACATTGCCATGAGACCGTTACAGTCAATCTTTCTCTAGAGAAAATACCAGACAAGAACATCTCATCAATTAATTTTTCTTGCTTTCTAAATATAATATGGTCCTGCATTTTGTTAGATTATATAATATTTCTAGCAAATCAATATACAGTAATGTTTATTTTATGTATAAATCAATGGTTCATGAAATGCTGCCATGTATGTATGTAACCTTGTATAATTGTTTATGGAAGAGGACGTTCCTAAGTTGTTTAACTTGTGTCCAATTCCATTTGATTTTTGGTCAAATAAAATATGTTTAAACTAAACTAAGCAAATAGTTTGAAATTTTTAGTTCTTATTAAGGTTAATATAATGTTGTTTTCTACTTTAATTGTAATCGATGTATGATATATATAACAAAACAGAGGACACGACTCACCAGCAGGAGCGCAACAAAAGGTGCCAAAAACACAGGTCCCAAGTAGGAAGCTCCTGTGATGTATGATGCGATCACTTTCGTGTATCCGTATCTCAACTGGATGTATTGGCTGTTAGGTAAATACAATCAATCCGTTATATTATCATCAACAAAAGTGATGAATCGATATTCTTCTGTTTTATTGCACAATGTTCGCATTTGATAAACAACTGTACCAACAGGAGAGCTGATCAAAATAATGAAAAAAAAACCCAGAATCATATCAATTTGCTCCATTCCATGGATATAAGGTATGGTGACGAATAAAAAATATTTATTGTACATACGACATATTGGCGACGAAGGAAAAGAATGTGCAAAAGTGGAACCCGATCATAGCGACGTGTATCCAGAAGGTTTTCGGTAAGTTTGTGATGTCTGACAGCTTCTGCAAACAATTAGACTGATGTCTTAGCATATGATATATATGTTAGTTGAGTAATTGTATTGTATGTTGAGGCTAACACAAAACAAGTGTAGCAAGATTAACTACGTAAGGATTTACTTTAATATTTTATGTTATTGGACCAACATACAAAATAAATAAAATACTAAGCGGTTCTTTCAAATATCTTTTTTTCATATTTGTGATACTTAGCTTTATATTTAAGTTCAAAGCATGCAGCAGACTCCAATAAAGAATGTTTGAGCCAATTTAGTGATTTATTATTATAGGTTATTGAATAAGGTTTGGGGTAAGATGTGTACCCTGGCTCACACCCATTACAAGGATCATAAAATAGGTCAGATATTAGATACTTCTAATACCTTGATAAATTGTTATTGTCTTAATGCAATGTAATGTACAATTAGCACTGTACACTAAGTAAACACGATAATAACGTTATGTGACATATATATGTACGCTATGTTATGTTTACTGTTGTAGCACACCGTGATATAGATCGGCATTAAGTAAATGTGTGAATTAAACACCAAAGTGTACATACGACAGGTCGACTAGCCATTTTCTGTTGAGACTCAGCATCCAGTTTTCTTGTTCCATGGAAATCCAATATGGCTAGTACCACACCAGCGATTATCCCCATAGAACATATCAATGCCCCTGTATGATAAAAACAGCTATCGTTGTATATGATTGTACAACAAGAACACCATGTACTTTTGAAAAAGACAATGGAATTGGGTACGTTATAGCCGAACAACCAATGGAAATTGTACACAAGGGAGAAATGAAGAAAATTTGATTTAACAAGTTGTTTTTTTATTTTGGTCATTGCGAAATTATCTTACGACTATTATGCTCTTTGTACTTTAAGAAATATGACCGAAAAAGAGACGACGCCAGTGTCGATACAAACCCATCCACAGAGACCAAGAAAACCCAAAACTGACGGCAATATTTGCCGTTGTCAAGAAGTTAAGCATTGTGCCTGCTCGTCTAGTGAGTATAACCAGACTGACAGCTATAACAGAGTCCTCGGAGAACCAGTGGGCAATCACACGATCCTGTACGACTGAAACACCAGTACAAAACCATTGTAGAAATGATAGATGATAAGTACAACTAAATCGATGAAATGAATGAGTGGGTAAAAAGAGATGATTGTAGATAAATACTTGGGAGACGTGGGATCATGTGATCTAGAAATGGAAAACAATAACGATTACCCTTGGTGATATTCTTCGTGAAACATTTCCTCCGTGGTGCTTTCCCTTTTGTTCTTTAAGTTATATGCTTTTATTTGCACTACACCTTCTGTTTACTTTTTTGTTTTGTATAATGTAAATACATGTATTCTTTTTTCTTTGAAATATTGTCGGAAGTAAGTGTCAACTTTTCAACATACTTCTGCCTGATATAAAGCTAATGTAACTGCTTTGTGAACTTTCCTTCTTATAAAATAAAACAACAGATTTTTTTGAAGTAAAAGATCTATGACATACTACGCATTGGTCCGTCGCCAAATCCGAGTAGCATGCGGCCAATGAGCATTACAGGGAACATGGAAGAGGTATGCCGAAAACCGTCGGATCCAGCGATGGCAAATAAAATTGAACCTAATGACGTCAGGATGATGATAAGGACGGCCGAAACTAGAAAATACATCAACATCATAACAATATGGTTCAAGTCTAATCATAAACAATTCAATTTTTAAATCATTGCATTTGTTATAAATGTGTTCAATGTGATCGGTATCGCTGGACCATACACTGGCTGTAGTTTGTCCTTTTATGAAAAAACCAGACAGAAAAATAGTTACAACTTTAATTCTGCAAAGTTATATGTTTGTATCTATATTTTCTATACGCATTCATCACTTCGCACGAGTTAAAAATGGAAGAAAATCAAAACATTGTGCTGGATAAGCCTTGCTAATGCAGGCATTCAGTCATCACAACAGGATAGCCTCCTGTTTTTCTTGTCTTTGTTTATGGTATGTACTGATTTATGCTCTCACTTGAATTACCCCTGTTTGAAAAACGTATTCCATAAATATAACAGAATGTATATATTGACGTTCCTTATGTTGATGTATCCGGTAATATTCTTGGAGACAATGACGTCTTCAACGGTTAGACATTGCATTATTCTTTCCATATACCAAAACATGTGAAGATTCATATGCAATAGAGATTTTTTTCCAGAATGCGGGTAAATTAGAGAGGGGGGGGGGGGTGGAATATAACTTCCATCAGTTAATGATTTGTGTTGGTCGACTTACCGCGGTTTCCTATTCTGTCAATGACGTAACCAGAGAGCAATGACGTGATGGACGATCTGACGTAAAGAGAATGTTAATCAGCCATGCAGTTACTGTATGAAGCACTTACAGTGTATAAAAAAACTTGTATCAAACGTAAGAAGGTAGACGGTAGATATCTACTGCATTCTTCTTGAGATGAAAAGCTTGGGACGAAATAACGAACTACGACAGCTGATGATGTGCCGAAATAGGTGCAACCATGCAGACAATAAACTATGACAACAAAAACAACAACATGTTTCGGTAGCCGTTTCGAGATAGGGCATACACGTCATTTTACATAATCAAGTCATGAAAACAAACTCTTGTTAATCTCTAAACTGGTTTACAATGTAACTTGATACAAATCTATGTCAATATTGTTTTAACCTATGTCACATTAGTTTCTATAGAAAAAATGAATAAGGGAAATTATCAGAATGTTTTTACTTCAAAATTTCAAACGCATATCAGTTTTTAAAAGTAGACATCTTCTACATAATCAGTGCAAGAGAGATTGTTACGAGAGTACTTACGTCCAATAGAGAAAGGCATGGAGGAGGTTGTATCGCGTGGGTCCAAGGTTGAGGCACGTGTCGCAGCACGCACCTAATATCGACGTCTCGTTCATGTGACATTTCATAGCCTGATCAATTAAGAATGATGATACAGGGTCGGGAGGGATGTCACGAAGTTTAATTTCATCGATTGCTCGCTTATTTCTAGATATGTAACATCATTGAAGTTTTACTAACTTTCTTTTCACACTATTTATCAACGAAATGAGTATACACATATGGAATGCATAGCGAGTTTTATTTTACACATTGTTGTAGGAATATAGAAGAAAAAACGAAGAACAAGTGAACAAAAACAGAAAGGAATGTCTACTATCTCCATATTTCAGCACTTTGATAAATTCAATTGGTTGAACGTTCTGAGATACAATAAGTGCTCATATACTAAGCTCATTCAATTATTTGAAAGAAAAACTATATTACTACTCTAGTAGGCCAAGGCAAAAACGTGCAGGTGCACATGGTTTCAGTGTAGGACGAAACCATCATTTCACACGTGATCAGAGAGTCGATAACGGCTTCCTCAGAACCTCCCGAAGACCAAGCATAATTAGTATAGTGTAAGTCACGAATTCATGGCATAATTGTATACCCAGATAATACTACACTATAATGTTTCTCGCAATGTTTAAGGTTAGAAGTGTTGAAATCAATATCAGTCTTACCTTGCCTCCCTGGAAGTCGACCTGTAAAGAACTAGGCATGTCGACACAGAAGTACACGCCAAACACCAACACACAGTCACAAAACAAAATGCCATACCGCCATTTCCCTTTTAAATATAAATTAAATAAATCGAGAAAACATTTTCCAGGCAATATAATAACAACAACTGTACATTTATGATGTAAGTTTGCGATATTTCATGTGAAACATGCAAAATAACAAATTTAAAATAACTTCTTATTCATCATGAAGGAATTTGACCAACATACTTCTGGCAGTCTATTTATACGTGTAGAGAATTTTAAAAAGGTTTTGACGTTTTAAAAGGTTGAACCAAAGAGTATACACATTTCATAGGATTCAGTTGATTAGTATACATAAAATATGAGATATATGTGCAATTTTAAACTTTTTCACTCTGGAATGAATCTCCATCGTTTTCACATGCCTACAATCTAGAAATTAGAAGACATGGAAATGAAATAGTTAAAAACAAACTAATTTATAAAATACATGTTTAGACAGTGATGTTGGGGGGAGGGAGACTTGCTCTAAATTTTAATAAATTTTGTAAATTTTCAATATGAAATGATTTAATAGAAACATCAAATATATCAAGAGTATTTACAAAATAATCTGAACAAGGCTACCATTCGTATGCGTAAATCTTCTTCGGCTATCCAAAAGTTTAAAAAACTACGTAACAAAGTCAATAATATGAAAAAGTACTGCAGGCTACAGTTTTATGAGCATGTACATGGCTTTATTGATAATTACTGATCTACTGATGCCAAAGTCTACTGGAGATTAATCAAACGGTTAATTAATTCTTGTGGTACATCTAATGACATACCAATTCTGGTAGACCCTTTTACTAATACTGTAATTACTAGTGATGTGGATAAAGCTGATCTACTTAATGACTATTTTTGCAGTATAACTAGTATTGATGATTGTGACGCCCAAGTTCCAGATATTGCTCCAAAAATCAATAAAACTTTTAATTTTATTAGAATTAATTATATGGAAATAAAAGATGTGTTGCAAATACTGAAACTTGAAAAGGCTTCGGGCCATGATGAAATTAGTCATTATATGCTAAAAAATGTTTGTAATACTGTTTGTAAACCACTTGAGTTACTATTTAATATGTCACTTTCTGTTGGTGTTTATCCCAAAGTATGGAAATTAGCTAAAGTTATGCCGTTGTTTAAAAAGGGTGATAGACACTTTCCTTCTAACTACAGGCCAATATCTCTACTGTCTACTGTTGGCAAAGTTTTCGAACGTGTAGTTTTCAATTATATCTATAATTATTTCATAGAAAATTCGTTGTTTTATCAATATCAGTCTGGTTTCTTGCCCGGACATTCTACTTTATATCAACTGATTGAAATGTATCATAATATATGTCTAGCACTCGAAGAAAAAAACATACATGTATCGTCTTTTGTGACATCTCAAAAGCTTTTGACAGAGTTTGGCATAAAGGTTTGTTTATTAAGTTAAAATCATATGGAATAGACGGAGAGCTATTGGCTGGGTTGAAGGACTATTTACATCAGAGACATCAAAAAGTATGTGTTCATGGGTCTTTTTCTAAATTAGGTTTTATAGATGCTGGGGTTCCACAGGGTTCTATTCTTGGCCCTCTTTTATTTCTAATTCATATTAATGATATAGCAGATGTATTTGATTCAGCTTCAAGACTTTTCGCAGATGACATTTCTCTCCAATGTTCTTCTTCCTCCTATCAAGAAATTCAAACTATCCTTAACAAAGACATTGAATCTCTTAATTCATGGGCTAAAACATGGCTTATAACTTTTAATCCTGACAAAACGGATGTACTTTTCATCTCTAATAATAATGAAATAGATGGTTTATTAGAATTAGAATTAGATGGAAATATTTTAGATTTCACTGATAGTCACAGACATCTAGGTGTTATTCTCAACTCACGTATTAAATGGGGGGATCATATTGAAGTGATTTACTCATCTGTTATGAAAAAAATAAATGTTTTGAGAAAATTGAAATTTGTATTAAAACGGGATGCGCTTTTAAGAATTTATCGTACTTTTATATTACCCATTCTAGAATACGCTTGCGAATTGTGGGATGGTTGTTCAAATTTGGAATCTGAAAAATTAGAAAAAGCCCAATGTGAAGCAGCTAGAATTATTACAGGCCTTCATTTTTATGCTAGTATTCATGCTTTGAATTTTGAAACGGGTTTAGAAACTTTGTCTTCTAGAAGGAAAAGAAGAAAACTTCAATTCTTCTACAAAATGCATACTAACCAAACACCTGAATACCTTCCTAGTTACTTTCCTCTACTGTACAAGATCAAGCTCAATATTCTTTGAGAAATAGTAATAATTATAGAATTCCCTTTTTCCGTCTTTCTGCAACTAATTCTTCTTTCTTGCCGTCTACTATGCGTTGTTGGACTAATCTAGATAACTTAATCAGGTCGTCATCCTCATTAAGTGTTTTTAAAAAGTCTCTACAACCTATCGATCACATTTCTCCACCTTCTCATTTTGGGATAGGTGACCATAAATTAAATATCATACTAAAGAAACTTAGACACCAGTGTAGTTCTTTAAATTATGATTTATTCAGGATAAACCTTGTGGATACCCCCAGTTGGTCTTGTTGACCTTTATGTGAAAATTCTTATCATTTTTTCTTTATGTGTTGTCATTACATTTAGATGATTGAAATTTACCCATACATTGTGATTTAGATTTGATATTGTATGATAATAATGATCTTTCTTTTGGAACAAACTCGAAAATTTTCTTGAATGTCCAAAACTTTATTAAATCTAGTAATAGGTTCACTTGACGTCATCCGCCTAAACTACCCTCTCTCTCTCTCTCTCTCTCTCTCTCTCTCTCTCTCTCTCTCTCTCTCTCTCTCTCTCTCTCTCTCTCTCTCTCTCTCTCTCTCTCTCTCTCTCTCTCTCTCTCTCTCTCTCTCTCTCTCTCTCTCTCTCTCTCTCTCTCTCTCTCTCTCTCTCTCTCTCTCTCTCTCTCTCTCTCTCTCTCTCTCTCTCTCTCTCTCTCTCTCTCTCTCTCTCTCTCTCTCTCTCTCTCTCTCTCTCTCTCTCTCTCTCTCTCTCTCTCTCTCTCTCTCTCTCTCTCTCTCTCTCTCTCTCTCTCTCTCTCTCTCTCTCTCTCTCTCTCTCTCTCTCTCTCTCTCTCTCTCTCTCTCTCTCTCTCTCTCTCTCTCTCTCTCTCTCTCTCTCTCTCTCTCTCTCTCTCTCTCTCTCTCTCTCTCTCTCTCTCTCTCTCTCTCTCTCTCTCTCTCTCTCTCTCTCTCTCTCTCTCTCTCTCTCTCTCTCTCTCTCTCTCTCTCTCTCTCTCTCTCTCTCTCTCTCTCTCTCTCTCTCTCTCTCTCTCTCTCTCTCTCTCTCTCTCTCTCTCTCTCTCTCTCTCTCTCTCTCTCTCTCTCTCTCTCTCTCTCTCTCTCTCTCTCTCTCTCTCTCTCTCTCTCTCTCTCTCTCTCTCTCTCTCTCTCTCTCTCTCTCTCTCTCTCTCTCTCTCTCTCTCTCTCTCTCTCTCTCTCTCTCTCTCTCTCTCTGTAGTTAGTGTATTTGTTGCCATATGGCTATTGCGTTGTCGAACTATATTTTGTTATATATTGGGGAAAGGGTGTTTCATAAATTGTAATAACTTGTACCTAATCCTGTTGTAACAATTTTTGCAATAAAATATGTTTAATTCAAAAATTAAATCAAAATGCGTAAATCTATCATTCATAAACTACAGTAAGCTTTGCTGTACTGCAGACACGCTCCAATAATTAGGTATCCTATGCAAATTTTATTGAAGGATAAGGTTTTCCCACATATTTTGGTTCTCTTGTGGTGCTTTCTTTTTATTCCTAAGCAATTGTTTGAATGGAAAAATTATCAGCAATTAACAAGTATGTTGTTCTTTTTCCTATGTAAGCTTTAGCATTAACGTGATATGAATGGACGAAATTAACAAAAATAAATCCAAATATTTTTTGATGATTTTACACTTAAGTTGATAAATAAGAAATGAAACACGCAATGTTGTTACCACGCATTAAAAAATATACGAATTTTAACAGTTAAAAATATTATTTGTAGGTTTATATTATACAGCATTAACCGATTGATCTATTGATTTTATAACGTGATGCCATCACATACATGTATACCGATATGTATAGTAGATATGGTATGTATCTGATTATATCTGGGATACCAGAAGATTGTATCTGGACAAAATTTGTTATCGGAATAGTCATCATCCAGACATATGTGAGAATGCTTCAGTAAATACGTTGTTAGAATTGTAAATATACATCAACGACATGTGATATCCTATCTACTCCTACTAACACTACTAATGAAGCTAACAGCTGCTAACCTAAGCGTTATTCTAGTCATTCATGATATTTTCGCCGAATTTTTCAATCAGTGACGTGAAAATGAAGTGCTACCTATAACTACACCATGGTTTTCTTTAGTGATATCTAGTGCTTATCACTGGTTAAAATGAAGTGCTACCTATAACTACATCATAGTTTTCTTAAGTGATATCTAGTGTTTATCACTGGCTAAAATAAACAGCGCTATGATGGTATTACTTGTCATAGGAAAGGCAAAGAGTCAACTTCTGATCTAAAAAAGTTACATAATTTTACTACGGTTGGCCAACTATATCTTGGCTAATTGTAAAACGCTAATTTGGTATACAACAAATTATTCAAAACACACTTTTATATATATATTAATCTCCACATCTAGGCATGGAGCACCTTCAGTATGTACACGGATTATGTTCAAATTTGATTACTTTGTTCACATTCAACATTATCTCAAGGCCCACGTTCAACGTTTGACAATTTATCATCTGCCTGGCGTTAAATATCTATGAATGGCCTCAATTTCAAACTTTATCACGAGGCCCATGTTCAATCATTTTGTTTACATTCAGCAATTATCATTTGTATGTTGTTCAACATTTATCTCATAGCCCATGTCCAATATTTATTTCATAGCCCATGTCCAACATTTATCAACTGGCTCCATGTACTCTTTTTTTTCGTGTGAATCACATTGAGCACTTGATTTATATCTTTGCATGGATTAGAATAAATAACAATCATATTACATTGACAACGCTTTGTTAATATTATATATCAACATAATTCATTCCACGTTTACCCACTATTACCTGGCACAATAGTTAAACATCCTACTATTCATTACGGTACACATAACAACCATGTGTTATATATATTGGACGAGATAACGGTGTCTTAACAACAGCGACATTTTGTTGTTTGATCACATAAGCTTGAGTTTTCATCGGCAGATCAGAAAATAACCACGACCTATTTATACATTTGTTCATTTGTCGATAGAAACCCAAGCAGTTGTGGTATTATACATACTTACATTCATATGGTTTCATCTTCTCGATATCCCAGTCTCACCACCAACAGTCCCAACATCTAGGAATAAAACCAGATGAGTACATTTCTTTACAGACTCCTACTGATTTTAAACAACCTTACCATCACTCTATACCTGACAGAATTCGATTTGTGTAATTTTGATTTTCCTCGGTAGCCTCCTTGCACTTTAAGCTCGAGCATAACTGACACGCTTACTACATATATAGATATATACATATAGTTATGTGTAGTAATTACTTTGTAAAATGTCTTTCTAACAAACAGAATATTCAGCAATTAATTGCAAACAAATGAACCACTAAATATGTCTACTTACAGGTATAGCCGCTTAGGCTTTAGAACGTCCCTTGGCTTAAAAGATAATGTCTTATGTATATTTTTGTATTTATCTTGGTTCTACCCATCCATTCATAATTAACAACGTGACATGTGGCAACACGCCGTGTTAAAAATGTTATAATGATACAGTGTTAAGATATACGATTTAAAAAGTACTGCTTAATGATTCCGTCTTTTCCATGAAATATGTATATATTTATATTCAAAACGGGAGGATCTAATGCGAGTCAATTAGTAGTGGATGAGATATTTAGATATTCTGAAATCTGTAGCCAGTGTGCGGAGATTAAAATCGCAAGGAAACATATGCCTTTTGATGGTATAAGGATGCAATTTATTAAAACGTTGCTGATGGTATATGTTCATGGTGTGGATATCGGTTCTAATACAGTACAGTGTGTAGGATAGCTTGATGTCAAGAGGAAGATTTCACCAATAAAGAAACAGGAAAACTCAAAGAAGTTCGAGTGTTGCTTGGTAAAAGCCAAGGACACGGTTAAATTTGTTGAGAGTTATTGTCGAAGATCGTCTCCTTATGCAGCAGTCTATGTGTAAATCTTTCATTTGTTAATATTTTGAGGGGATCCAATCCCATACAAAATTCGATATGAATGATTTATTAAATGAAGTAAAATGTTAAGACTCATCAGTATATAGCTTATATTAAAACTATATTTGATTATAATCACAACATTACGGTTGGCTTAATAATGAATACTGCCATGTTTGCTTGTCAGGAAACCATATTTGTTGTGGTTGTATAGAGTTCGGTTAATGATACAACATGATTAATGATGACTGTATTTTGGATAATGAAACAACAGGATTAGTGGTGGTTCTGATAAGAGGCTGGATCATGAAAAATCAGGGTTAGTGGTGGTTGTGTAAGGAGGTTGGATAATGGAAAGTGAAACATCAGGATTGTGTTAGGAGGTTGGATAATGGAAAGTGAATCATCAGGATTGTGTTAGGAGGTTGGATAATGGAAAGTGAAACATCAGGATTGTGTAAGGAGGTTGGATAATGGAAAGTGAAACATCAGGGTTATTGGTGGTTGTGTAAGGAGGTTGGATAATGGAAAGTGAAACATCAGGATTGTGTAAGGAGGTTGGATAATGGAAAGTGAAACATCAGGATTGTGTTAGGAGGTTGGATAATGGAAAGTGAATCATCAGGATTGTGTTAGGAGGTTGGATAATGGAAAGTGAATCATCAGGATTGTGTTAGGAGGTTGGATAATGGAAAGTGAATCATCAGGATTGTGTTAGGAGGTTGGATAATGGAAAGTGAATCATCAGGATTGTGTTAGGGGGTTGGATAATGAACCATCAGAATAAGTGGTGGTTGTGTTAGGAGGTTGGATAATGAACCATCAGGATAAGTGGTGGTTGTGTTAGGAGGTTGGAGAATGAACTATCAGGAGAAGTGGTGGTTGTGTTAGGAGGTTGGAGAATGAACTATCAGGATAAGTGGTGGTTGTGTTAGGAGGTTGGATAATGAACCATCAGGATAAGTGGTGGTTGTGTTAGGAAGTTGGATAATGAAACAACAGGATAAGTGGTGGTTGTGTTAGGAGGTTGGATAATGAACCATCAGGATAAGTGGTGGTTGTGTTAGGAGGTTGGATAATGAACCATCAGGATTCGCCTTCTGCACTTCATTTTTCTAACAGAGGTACAATGCTTGTTGGAGATGGTTTGAAGCCAGAATATTCTTAAGATTATACACAGAATATAAATTTAAATATCAATTTAATAGTTGCAGTCCCAGTGACTTTCATGGTTTAATGTATGACCTTGAATTTCCCTTGTCATATTCCATCTCGTTACCATGATATACATATAAAAAAATTAGTCCTTACGCCTGCATTCACATCTGTGTAAAATTTTGCATGGCCCATAATATTTTTGTGAAGTTTCATTGAAATAGGTTGCCCAGTTCTTGAGAAGTCTGGACAATACATTTCTAATCATAGGTCTTCTTTGATTACCATTGAAATCAAACGACACCAGATGTTTCAGAAAATAATTCATTGTAACTACCATTCTTCAAAATCCATCCATGTTCTGCATAATCGGACAATAACTCAATTTCGACCAATCAGAAGCCTCCATCACATTTCTAAAAGTACCGGTTCTGCAAACAACTGTCAAATTACAGAATTTGATAATTTACATCATAATTATAATTGGGCTAAGGACTGATGAGCTATGTGCGATTACACAGAAACATGTGCATAGTGCCCCTGTTACCATGGCAACCAAAATGTCTTCTGGAAATGACCTGCCTGCACATCTTCAGATAGTCCTTAACATTCCTGTGAAATTGACTGATTCCAGAATAACCACCTAATTTTGATGCGTGAGGTTATATTAAGAACTGGTCTGATTTGATTGCCAAATAAAAGGAAAATTATCTCGCTTTTCAAGAAGCAAACAATATATCAACTCTATTTCTGCTGATTCGTTGGCATTCAAAACTGATTATATATGCAGGGATGGACATATGGATCTTCATATTTTAAAATTTTCTCACGTCATAAGATTCCCTATACCAAATATTACATAGTACATCTGGCTAGGTTAATTCTTCATACCCTTATCCAAACTTCTTTCTTCTATCAAAGCAGGGTTACAATAATCATACTTACTTTCCTATTGACATAAAAAAAATGTCATTAATGGTATGTTGTCAAAGTAAGGATCATGTCAGAATATGGACGGTGGACAGCGTAGAGTGACATAAGATTGGTAAGTAATGAACTACCGAACTCAAGGGATACATAAAGGTACTTGTAGTTTCAAAGCAGAAATATGAAACACTGACATAACTGTATATTGTAAGTTTATTTTGTAAAGATGTTAATCAATGTATACAATTAACTCAAAGTAAACAGTAGTTAATATCCAAAGTAAATCAAAACTGTGACGTAAACTATCAAACAACCATCCAAAGTCATTTCTAAAATAAGTTTTAATTTCTTATACACATTGGGAAACAAATTGGAAAATCAAGTCAATCCTTAAATTAAAACTAATTTGAATTATGTTAACTAATTAAAGCTTTGTGGATATCAATTGTTGTTACTTTAAAATGTCCTGATTTCCTCATGGAGATCTTTTATCTTCCTAAACTCAACCATTTGTCAAATACCACGTGATATTTAATATTGTTTCGAAGACTAGCAAACATGCGATGGCAATTGTTCATGTAATCATTATTATCAAAAGACGAGGCATTATCAATGAAATGTATATCTGAAAATGATATGAGAAGAACTCAATAAAAAGAGCCTAAGTCCGGTACACAATGATGCACCGCTTTTCGTCGATTCCATGTTCACAATTGTTCCTAATGCAGCCAACAACTAGAAGTACAGTACATACAGGTTGAGGTTAACATAAGACTGTGGAGAAATGATATGGCTGTTATCATGATTTTACTGGGCCGGTTATTTTCTTCATTAAGTTACATGTGTTCTATGCACATTAGTTTCAATGTCATTAACATTGCATGGTAGCTGCTGTCAATGAAACAAATAACACCTTCCTGATCACCTGGTCTTTTTTCCTTGTACTTTCACTTAAAATAAATAAACTTAAGTGGAACGAAACTTTCAGAATGATTGTAGAAAAGAAACACAAATGAATGGCGCTTTTCAATACAAATTTAGAATTTGATACCCTTAAGTGAGTCCAGTCCTTTGAAAGGACAAAGAATCAATATTAAAAAATTCTTTATTAGACGTTGGCAATAGAAAATATAAGAACCGCATAATCGCAAATAATTAAACTTCCAAAATTGATCACAACATCATTATACTCCAACATAGCATTCCATTGTTTATATAAAAAGATCACATGTAACGATTCTGACATCTCACAAACAATGAATCTTCTATATAACATTTTCACACAGTTGTACTCTGAATTATTTCTACAATCCTGCTGCCAACCACTTCATGAAAATTCTGCAGAAAAAAACGGCTTTCTTAAGTCTATATGAAAACAATAACATTCATTATATTTAGGCACAAACTGTAATGAAATAGTGTCATCTGGCCTTTTTACGATTACTCGATAAATGACCTGAAATCACAAGCATTGCATCAATGTTTATATAAAACCTCTATAGTTGCACAGCTTGTTAAATTTCATATTTTTTCAGAGAAAACAATTTTTTTTTATTGCCAATGTCGATTCTATCCCAAAAAGTGACAGATCGGCCCAGTAATCTACAGTTTTCATTGAATTTTTAATGAACACGGGGATCCAGTTGATTTTCAATATGATTGTGTTTCACCAGATCAAACGAGATTGATCCCCATCACCATTTGACAATGACATCATGATCAGTGATTTTAACCTTGCGTTTCAACCATTTATAGTTATTTCTTCAAAAGTACATGTAATTGCGACTTAAATAGAAATGTTCGATCTTAACTTACACTTCAAATGTAAATGTTATTGTGATATTGTCAAGATACAAAAATATTGACAAATAATATTTCATCAGTTACCAAGTTCTATAAATGATAGTGTTGTTCTAATTTATTAGTCTTATTACAATAATCATTTTAAATTAAAACAAACCTCCATCTCTGACGACAGTCCTGTAAATAGATTTCAATACATTTTATACAAAAATGTTAATCGTAATAAGAAAAAAAACAAGCTAACAACCGACTTGAACTAGTGGCTTTCATCCATTGAAGACTTAATTATTAAAAGGCGATAGAATGACATAACAATTGATCTGACATCATCAAACACATGATACAGGAAAACAAAAAAGCACAATTCTACTGGGCCTGTTAGGTCTTATTCAAAGATTTATTTTCTCGATTTGTTTTCTTTCGTTTTTAACAGAATTGTATTGAATGAATCCATATTAAATCATATATCTTTATTAGGTAATGCATTGAATATGTCATCGGAACAATCTGAAATATCTTGATTAACATAAATCTTGTGATGAATCGATTCACACAGTGGTTTGTTGTCCATGTACAATCATATATCAACAATTGTGATGTTTATGCTGTTAATTTGTCCAATAATAGTCAATAATGTAATATTTTATACATTATGCCAGGGTATGTACAGGTATCAGAGGTTTGTTTCTATGCAATAACAACACGCCATAAAACAACATTATCAATAGATAGTTGCTGCGAAGCAATTCAACAAAGGTACAATATGTATATATGTATGTGCTTGTCATCAATGTCATAAGAACTGACTATCAACATTCATGTAAAGACGCAAATCATATCACAATGTATAAATCATGGCGATCTAATGTTCATATCACAGACACATTGAGCTCAATCTTCTACAGAATAATTAAAACAATCCAGACGAGGTTTCTACCTCTGACATAACAATACAAATACACACTGAATGTCTTCACCGTCAATGAAACTAAAATATACAGGAATAAAAAAAGGCATATCACAGTTTGATAAATTTGTAAAACTTGATCAACACTTGATGATTAAGTCAATGTTTGATTTAAAACCATGCGAGACATAAGGTAATACAACAGTTCTTTTTGTTATAACAAAGCACTACAAAATCTATATAACACACAATCCTGTATACTGACATGAAAATATGATGAATTTTAATCATGTTGCATATACAAGCCATGGAATATCTTTTTGTATAATCAATAAAATTCAAAATGTCCATACTAAAAACATGTAGACATCCCACATGTACCTGAATTTATTGCTTATATAGATACCTCACGGAAATCAACATCACATACATGTATCAACTCTCAGCTTTTACGTACTTGTAAATCTACCCTGGTTATCATATCCATTTATACTAAAAATGTTGCATAGAATTCAACGTCAGTATCAAACAAAAATATAATAATACTTCATACATACAATCACATATTTAATTAAAAATATCAAAAATAAAAATATATAAAGATGTCTAAATAATGGATGGTTAGGGATACATGTAAAACTGAAGTAATAAAAACTCACAAAGATTCATAAGAAATGTCATTCTATAAAGAACAAGGAGAGACAAATTTCAATAAATGTAAGAAAATGATAAGTTAATTTTAAAACATGATTGTATTACTTATATGTAAATAAGAAAGTTAATAATATATGTTAGGTTATCAAATAAATATTCACTGAAAATTTCTATGCACATATTGCATATATGCTTCTCATTCTAAATATTTCTACAACAAACATAATAAAACAAGTAAGATTTTATCAACAAAAATTGCCAGGCTTGCATGGTTACTTTATGTAAATATCTTGCTGCGTATATATGCATGTCATTGTTATGATTTGTGAAATGAACATTACCAATACAAATGTACATCATAACATAATCAAAAATACAAACGCATAAAAAAAAATCATGACGTTATTGCAAATAACAGAGGGTCAATATCATAAGATAATACCTCTACTCCTGTTTACAGTAGTGTCCAATAATGTACATCTCTTTATATGTTAATAACTTTTTAAAGGATTTTTTCACAGGATTTCTATAAGACTGAATACACAATCAGTATACTACAGTATCCTATCTATATGTTATGTACAGATCCAGTGTCAAATCATGTCACATTTAAGTGATGTCCCTTAACTAGTTTTTTTTCTGAAAATCACAATGACGATTTAGGCAATTCTTATCAAACTTAATACTTTTCAATTTACTGGAAATGATGATTTGATCATAAACAGGTATCACTACAGCAGACATCATATAATGATACACTGTACTGGCATTTAGGACAAATAGTATCATATATTGTACCTTGTAATCATACAATATAAAACATCTTATATATAACAGTCACAGTATCACCACACTTGGCCTCAGCTGTTGTGCTCTTTCTTCTACTTTGTTACACATAGAGACTTTTTTATACACCTGTTAATTGTCTGCAATATCACGATCAAATTAAATTTGAAAAATAATAAAGGAGAAATAACAGAGGAGAAATCGCAGAATAATATATATTTGCTTTTAAGAGCAATATGTCCTTATCAATCATCTTGTTCCTTCCCTTCATCTCCATCATTGTCCTCATCAACATCATCATCGTCATCAGATTTCTCATCTTCGTCATCATCTGGATCAAGCATGTCTTCTTTTTCATCTTCGTCATCCTCATCCAATACCAAAGTCAAGTCAGATTCTGTATGATTAGAACATGGTATATCAATCCATGTGTCAGTAGGTGTGGATTGTAAACTGACAACAATGATTATGTATTGTAATAAGAGATATAGAAATCAAGTACCAAGGGAATAAACAAATTTCCAAAGATAGACAAGTGGATAGCAGCTGTTTGAAATTATGAAGTTTAATTCATAGTTTGGCACTATAACTGTAGCTAACTCCGTTTTAAACTTCATCATTGCATGTAGCTGTTTCTTCCTTTTAGGATTCATCAGTGATGCCCAGGGCCTAAATTTTGAAGAGTAGGAGACCAATGAAAGAAAAGTCAGAATCCAGATGGATAAATGCACATGAAATAATTAATTTCGTAAATTTCTATACTACATATTTTATAAAAAATTTTGAACCATGCCACTATCTGAATGAATGAAAATTGAACCAGACTTAGTGATCAAAGTATGTCTTCCAAATTACCCTCCTGATCAGTCAAACTCCCATGAACCTTTGGTTTCCATCAACTTAAATCACTCAAAACATGCAATTTTATCCCACTAATATAACTATCACATGTGTAAGCTCTGTAGAGAAGATTCAAAGCAAAATATCAGCCCCCAAGGCACTGGAGGACGTCGGATATACATGTAGTTCACAAGCAGAAGCTAAAGTAAAACAGTCATGTCCTTTTTTCCATAGATACATGTAATTTGCTTTAGGCATGAAAGTTTTTTCAGCTTCAACTATCCTCAGGTCTATTTGATAGATTAGACAATTTACTTCTAATCACAATACATAGAGCCTAAAGCAGAACTGACCTTCTGATTTGAATATAGCAGGTTTGGATTCCAGGTTTGAGGCAGTCTTGGTGCCAACAAGTGTCCACTGTACAACGTTAGCAGTTGGAGACCTTGTGGTGCTGATAAAACACAATCCATCCCCACACACTACTGTATCAGCAAGCTGTCAAAATATAACAGATATACACACTACTGTTTGAGCAAGCTGTCAAAATATAACACAGATATACACACTACTGTATCAGCAAGCTGTCAAAATATAATACAGAAACACACACTACTGTATCAGCAAGCTGTCAAAATATAATAATGAAACACACACTACTGTATCAGCAAGCTGTCAAAATATAACACAGATATACACACTACTGTATCAGCAAGCTGTCAAAATATAACACAGATATACACACTACTGTATCAGCAAGCTGTCAAAATATAATACAGAAACACACACTACTGTATCAGCAAGCTGTCAAGCTGTCAAAATATAATACAGAAAAGACACACACTACTGTATCAGCACACACTACTGTATCAGCAAGCTGTCAAAATATAACACAGATATACACACTACTGTATCAGCAAGCTGTCAAAATATAATACAGAAACACACACTACTGTATCAGCAAGCTGTCAAAATATAACACAGATATACACACTACTGTATCAGCAAGCTGTCAAAATATAACACAGAAACACACACTACTGTATCAGCAAGCTGTCAAAATATAATACAGAAACACACACTACTGTATCAGCAAGCTGTCAAAATATAATACAGATATACACACTACTGTATCAGCAAGCTGTCAAAATATAATACAGATATACACACTACTGTATCAGCAAGCTGTCAAAATATAATACAGATATACACACTACTGTATCAGCAAGCTGTCAAAATATAATACAGAAACACACACTACTGTATCAGCAAGCTGTCAAAATATAACACAGAAACACACACTATACAGAAACACACACTACTGTATCAGCAAGCTGTCAAAATATAACACAGATATACACACTGCTGTATCAGCAAGCTGTCAAAATATAATACAGAAACACACATGACTGTATCAGCAAGCTGTCAAAATATAACACAGATATACACACTACTGTATCAGCAAGCTGTCAAAATATAACACAGATATACACACTACTGTATCAGCAAGCTGTCAAAATATAACACAGATATACACACTACTGTATCAGCAAGCTGTCAAAATATAACACAGATATACACACTACTGTATCAGCAAGCTGTCAAAATATAATACAGAAACACACATGACTGTATCAGCAAGCTGTCAAAATATAATACAGATATACACACTACTGTATCAGCAAGCTGTCAAAATATAACACAGATATACACACTGCTGTATCAGCAAGCTGTCAAAATATAATACAGAAACACACATGACTGTATCAGCAAGCTGTCAAAATATAATACAGAAACACACACTACTGTATCAGCAAGCTGTCAAAATATAACACAGATATACACACTACTGTATCAGCAAGCTGTCAAAATATAACACAGATATACACACTGCTGTAACAGCAAGCTGTCAAAATATAACACAGATATACACACTATTGTATCAGCAAGCTGTCAAAATATAACATATATACACACACTACTGTATCAGCGAATTGTCCAAATGTAATAAAAATACATACACTACTGTATCAGCGAATTGTCCAAATGTAATAAAAATACATACACTACTGTATCAGCAAGCTGTCATAATATAACAAAATGAAACAAATTAAAGAATGTTCCATATTATGACAATACACTGTTAACACCCCTAACCCCACTTTCTGGTATATTTCTCATTGTCCCATAGTTTACTGTTCTTGAGCTTTTGCTTACAGACACCTCTACATGGCAAGCTTTATTCAGTATCCACAATGCATTGTTCACAATTTTCTAATCAAGGCAAAATATAATATATAATGAATAACAAATACATATAATATACATATATACATGATGAATATATATTTTTTTTAATTCTAAAATCATAAATGTTAAAGTAAATTGATTTTCATCTGTATTAATGATTATAACTTACAGTATGATCGAGTCTGAAGCTTGTCACACACTCAAGAGTTTTCTTGTCCCAAACACGAATAGCATTCTCTTCATCATACTCCGCCAAAGACAGGAAGTAGGGACTCTTTTCATTTGAAACCAATTTGGGTGCAATTCTGTGTCCTTCCAGTCTCTTTAATAACTCTCCTAGGTTAAAAGCAAGCACAGAGGATGGATAACTTTTCTATTTATTTCACATTGTCAGTTTGATCAAGCTGTCACCAGTTTTGACTACTGTGGAACATACCATGTCCTAAATTCTAAAATTGAACATCAAGTTAACATGTAATTGGTCGTGTAAAAGATTTTATAGACAATGTTATGTAAAGATGTCTTTATGGTCAATAGATCTTTTACATATATGTATCAAAGATAATATGAGCACTCAGATCTGTCAGCTTTACCTGTAATAATCAAACTGGGTAATGGTAATTTCTTCGTTAATAATGCCCTTCTTTTACATGTTGTGTATCTAGAATAAGTCCATGAGACTTCTGTTTCACCTTATGTTATAAAATGATCACTCCTTGTTTAAGTAACTGGTATGCTACCCATTAAAAAGTCAACTCACTTTTCATCATTATGATAAAGACAGGTTACCATTTTTGAGTTATAATCGTGTTATACATATGACCCCAAATCCATATAGCTGAGACTTCAGTCTGCTTATAGATCTGTTATACTGAGACCCAAGTCATCGATCAAACACATCCTTCCTCTCTCAACAATTGTTTATTGGAGATTCTCAATGAAAGTCTTATTTGGTCAAATTTTTCTTTGTTACACTAATGTTATGTTTTGGCATGTTATCACTTATAAACAGACCATTTGTTTGCAACAACAAGTTTGAATTAATCCAGCAGGATATTTGTATAAATTACCTGTTTTCAGACTCCAGACACGAATGATAAAGTCATCACTTGAGGTAACTATTCTATCATCATCCAGTAACATGGAGTTGTCTATACTGACGTCTAGACCTTTCCGATTCTGCTGTGTATGGTACTTTGTGAAATATTCTTTGTCCATTAACCATCTGGAGGCAAATTCCTCTGGAAAAAGAAATCAAAAGCTCAAAATGTTGATTTGTTCACATCAGGAAAATACTCATTAACAACTAGTCAAGGCATCAAACTATATGATTTTTATATAGTTTTCCAATTCTTAAACAATGTATGTTTAAGTTATGTTAAGGTATGTTTTCCTACCTTTCTTGATATCATATATGGCAATACAGGTAACAGATACAGTGTCTGTTTTCTTCTTTGGATTAGGAACATCCTGCTCTGTTTGTAAGGCCAGGATGGAACCATCTGATGGAATAAATCCTGCCCAGAGCATCTTGTCTTCAGATGTCAACAGCTTATCTCTGATGACATGGACACAGACGTTCTTCTGTAGATCAAACACAGCGATTGGACCGTCCTCCACTCGACAGACACACAGGTTACTTTTACTCACCTGGAGTTGAGGGGAAACACAGAAATACACAATATAAATGCAACATAAAACAGTCTCAGGCTACAGTATAAGATGTGGTTCTATTTAGGATTTTTCCTCATTAAATTTCAATAAATATGGAATATGTAAATGAACTGAATCTATAATTTCATAGTTAATTGGGGTCATCTTCATATCATTTATTGAACCATTGAACAAAATATTGATAAATAAGCTATTTAAGATCTAAACACAAGAAAAAAAAAAGAAATTCTGTATTTTTCTTGAATATAAATAAGATTAGTAATTTCTAGCTATAACACGATACAAATCATGTGATCTAATGATCAGACAAAGTAATATCGGTTTTGAAGCAGACACTAGATCTAAAGAGTTGTAAACCTACCGACAATGTTGAGTTGTCAAATCGCTCAGGCAAATCCCTAACATCAGATGGGGGGTACAGGATGGCTTTTGTTTTTCCTGATTTTCTGTCATAAGTCTTCAAACCTTTCTGACCTCTTGTCATGGTCAGAACCTCTACAACAAAGTGATGACAAGTAAAGGTCAAAGTGATATTCAAATTTCCCTTTTGTAACAGTGACCTTGACATCTGACAGATTATGTCCTTATGCAACTAATTCGGAGGGTGTTAAAGGTTAACATAGCTGTAAAGTCTGTGTTGAAAAAGAAAAGACAAAAAGAAGAAGATCAAGGGCCATAACTATTACTGGAGTTACAATGCTGTTGTTGTAATGTGTGAAAGAAATAACCCTGTTTACAAAGTAAGATAACTTGTATTACATTGTACATGTAATGCAAATGTAAAATGTGTTTATATTAATTGTGCTCCAATGCTAGGGCTTCTAACCATGTTTGAGTTAAAAGAAATTACACTCAAACATGTTAGTTACCTATATAAACTCTTTCAACCATTATATACTCTATCATATGTTGGTAATGAGAAAAGTTTTTAAATTTGAGATAATTTGACCCCTTTTGACCTTGTCCATCAGCCCCTAGGGGTCAGCCAAGATCAATATGTGTATAACATCATACTGCCACCTTATGTTCACAATATTTCCAACAGTAAATATAAAATTTATTCTAAAAAAATGTCAATTTATTTCTATAAACTCTTGTAAAGTTTCCCGCCTCCCCAGGGAGAAATGTGAGGCATATCTTTGGTCATGAGATTTACAATTTTGGTAAAGCACCATATAAGTCTCGTCGACCCATGAAGAGTATTCAATTATATCTATACATATAATCAAACCTATACTAAGAATTCTAACCAAGTGTGAATTATTTCCATACCTAAATAAACAAATTATGTTCAAAATACAATTTTCATATCAAACTTTAGTAAACATTACCCCCTCCCCGGGGGTAAAATGTGAAACCCTGAAGTCATGAAATTTACAATTTTGGTAAAGCATCTTAAGACCCTTCCATCCATGAAGAATACTTGATTCTCTACCATACATGTACTTGGCTACTGAAAAGTGTTTTGAAATTTCAACAATTAGACCTCTTTTTGGCCTGTCCCTCCCTGAAGGGTTGGGAACTACATACAATTTACAATTTTGGCTCACATTTACCTTTTCCATCTTTTATCACTTCCAATGCATTGCAGTATTTGCACACTTTACCCTGGAACACAGTTGTGACTTTCATGGTGTCTACGTTGACAGTTTTTAACTTCCTGTTGTTATTCAGCATCAGTACCTCCTTATCACCAAGGCTTTTCATGGTCCTTGGCAGGTCAGGCTTAATAATGAGTAAATAATGTCGAGCATAACACATGTTCTTTTGGTAGTATATAGTCACTATATTCATGAAAATATCTAACAGGTATATTTATACATAGTCACTAGTTAAATAAAATATTTAACAGCTATATATATATCTATTGAATGATTTTGTATGTTGTTTTGTTTAGTCTAAACATCAAATCATTTTATAGAAAAGGAAACCTGATTTATATCAATGCTGTAGTTATTGTGAGGATATGAAGTTTCCAACACCTTCATGACCTTGGATTTTAAGCTAGCTATATATATATAACATTACTTTCCACAATGTGGTTCATGATATAAAACTTATTGAAAAATGTTGCTGTAATATTTTGTTCAAGTCACAATATAAGCTATATCAACGCCATTTGAAAATTTCAACTGATATTCCTTTTACCCAGCAAGGGAAACTGCTACTTTTGTTACTCCAGGCTACAAAGCTATAAAGTTGCAGAGAAAAACTCAACACTAAGCTAATATCTAAGACTATCCATAGATTTACTGTCATTAGACCCCAGTGCTAGGAGATGGTGCACATATACTCTTTAATGATCAGGAGAGGTAAATCACGATTTCTTTTTAAATATATTTCAAAATCAATGATCAAAATGGCATTGCTGAAGCCACATGCACTGTATCTTACCATAGTTGCCTTGCGGACAATCTTCTTAGTGGCAAGGTCATACACAATTAACGATCCAGCGTTGGTTTCCTTCTTGTCAAGTCTGATGATCAGGGCAACATAACGTGGATTGGGCAATAGACAGAAATGCCTGATGATTAAATAAGATACTGATTTACATGCGAAACAAAGGGTTTCCTCAGTAAATGATGAAAATCGCCTAGTATGGAATACTGAATAACAACTTTCCTTAAAAAGTAATTATCAAGCTTCATTATGTAATATCATGATTCACTCCACTACCTGACAAGTCTGTTGTCAAAACCCGGGCTTGCAACATCCCAAGAAGTCCATACTTTTACCATTTCCTTACACTGATATCAAGTGGAGATGAAACAGACTAAATAGCTGTGCCCAAACGTTTTTCGTTGATAGAAATGGAGACAAATACAAAGTTTAACAAGACATTAAATTGGGCAGAGAAAGTATTGTTTGAATTTTTTTGGTACACCCGGTAAAGCTGTGCACCTTCTAATTTAATATTCCGGCAAAAGCTGAAAGATAATCTAATTCACCACTTCTTCAATGTTAAGATAAAGATCAGAATGTTCTTCACTCCAGTCTATTCTTACATGATTCTCTACTGCAGGGAAGAGCTGTCTGTCTGTTCCAGTATATACTTACATGACTCTGTACCCCAGGGAAGAACTCTCCGTTTGCTGTTTCTCTGGTTTAGTGATATCCCAGATTCGAACTGCTGTGTCTTCCGATATCGTAGCCAATGTTTTCCATGACTGACAGATGACGCCATTGACAGTGGAAGGATGAGACAAGATTTCACTTCTTTTCTCCTTTTCAAGGTCATAAACCACCACACTATTATCATGTTTGAAATACAGTTGTTTGCCATCCGGAGAAAATCGGTAAGTATCACAAAAGTCATTTTCATTTCCTAAGTAAAAAAATATGTAAATGATACAATATAAGGTGACAGTTTTAAATGAATTTCTAACATTGAAAGATAAAGAGTATTTGTAAGTCCTACATGACAGCTTCTCTTGCTTACTATGTTTGTAATATAACAGGCTGTGAATGAAGACAGTAAATGACCAAACTTGAAGTGATTATCATTATGCAAAAAAGTCTCACCTACCGATATCGAATAGAATTAACTAAGATCATCTTACTATATAAGCAGAATATAGATCTGTTTCAAACTTAATGTTATCATGTTGAACCACTACCCTCTGATGACTAAGGTCTCAGCCCTGACAGTACCATGCTGAACCACCAACCACTAATGACCTAGGTGTGAGCCCTGATATTATCATTCTGAACCACACACCACTAATGACCTAGGTGTGAGCCCTGATATTATTATGCTGAACCACCAACCACTGTTGACTAAGGTCTCAGCCCTGACATTATCATGCTGAACCACCAACCACTGTTGACTAAGGTCTCAGCCCTGACATTATCATGCTGAACCATCAACCACTTATTAACTAGGTGTGAGCCCTGATATTATCATGCTGAACCACCAACCACTTATTACCTAGGTGTGAGCCCTGATATTATCATGCTGAACCACCAACCACTGTTGACTAAGGTCTCAGCCCTGACATTATCTTGCTGAACCACCAACCACTGTTGACTAAGGTCTCAGCCCTGACATTATCATGCTGAACCACCAACAACTTATTACCTAGGTGTAAGCCCTGATATTATCATGCTGAACCACCCACCACTTATTACCTAGGTGTGAGCCCTGATATTATCATGCTGAACCACCAACCACTAATGACCAAGGTCTGAGCCCTGTCATTATCATGCTGAACTATTTTCCACTAATTACCAAGGTCTCAGCCCTGACATTATCATGCTGAACAACAAACCACTAATGACCTAGGTGTTAGCCCTGATATTATCATGCTGAACCACACACCACTGTTGACTAAGGTCTCAGCCCTGACATTATCATGCTGAACCACCAACAACTTATTAACTAGGTGTAAGCCCTGATATTATCATGCTGAACCACCAACCACTTATTACCTAGGTGTGAGCCCTGATATTATCATGCTGAACCACCAACCACTTATTACCTAGGTGTGAGCCCTGATATTATCATGCTGAACCACCAACCACTGTTGACTAAGGTCTCAGCCCTGACATTATCTTGCTGAACCACCAACCACTGTTGACTAAGGTCTCAGCCCTGACATTATCATGCTGAACCACCAACAACTTATTACCTAGGTGTAAGCCCTGATATTATCATGCTGAACCACCAACCACTTATTACCTAGGTGTGAGCCCTGATATTATCATGCTGAACCACCAACCACTAATGACCAAGGTCTGAGCCCTGACATTATCATGCTGAACTATTTTCCACTAATTACCAAGGTCTCAGCCCTGACATTATCATGCTGAACCACCAACAACTTATTACCTAGGTGTAAGCCCTGATATTATCATGCTGAACCACCAACCACTGTTGACTAAGGTCTCAACCCTGACATTATCATGCTGAACCATCAACCACTTATTACCTAGGTGTGAGCCCTGATATTATCATGCTGAACCACCAACCACTTATTACCTAGGTGTGAGCCCTGATATTATCATGCTGAACCACCAACCACTGTCGAGTAAGGTCTCAGCCCTGACATTATCATGCTGAACCACCAACTACTTATTACCTAGGTGTGAGCCCTGATATTATCATGCTGAACCACCAACCAATTATTACCTAGTTGTGAGCCCTGATATTATCATGCTGAACCACCAACCACTTATTACCTAAGTGTGAGCCCTGATATTATCATGCTGAACCACCAACCAATTATTACCTAGTTGTGAGCCCTGATATTATCATGCTGAACCACCAACCACTTATTACCTAGTTGTGAGCCCTGATATTATCATGCTGAACCACCAACCACTTATTACCTAGTTGTGAGCCCTGATATTATCATGCTGAACCACCAACCACTTATTACCTAGGTGTGAGCCCTGACATTATCATGCTGAACCACCAACTACTTATTACCTAGGTGTGAGCCCTGATATTATCATGCTGAACCACCAACCAATTATTACCTAGTTGTGAGCCCTGATATTATCATTCTGAACCACCAACCACTTATTACCTAGGTGTGAGCCCTGATATTATCATGCTGAACCACCAACAACTAATAACCAAGGTCTGAGCCCTGACATTATCATGCTGAACAACGAACCACTAATGTCTAGATGAGCCCTGACATTATCATGCTGAACTATTGTCCACTAATTACCAAGGTCTCAGCCCTGACAGTACCATGCTGAACCACCAACCACTAATGACTTAGGTGTGAGCCCTGATATTATCATTCTGAACCACCAACCACTTATTACCTAGGTGTGAGCCCTGATATTATCATGCTGAACCACCAACCACTAATGACCAAGGTCTGAGCCCTGACATTATCATGCTGAACTATTGTCCACTAATTACCAAGGCCTCAGCCCTGACATTATCATGCTGAACTATTGTCCACTAATTACCAAGGCCTCAGCCCTGACATTATCATGCTGAACAACGAACCACTAATGTCTAGATGAGCCCTGACATTATCATGCTGAACTATTGTCCACTAATTACCAAGGTCTCAGCCCTGACATTATGCTGAACAACAAACCACTAATGTCTTAACACAGATTTTATAACTGAACAACCAGCCTCTCATAACCCATGTGTGAACCCTGATGTTATGCTGAAGTAATTATGACCTCAAATGACTTGAGTCTGAGCCCTGAAGTTTGGAATCCTGTTGAATAACTTACCTTTTATGACCCGAATCTTCTGTAGAGTCTCTATGTTGTAGAAGTGCAAGTCATTGTCCATACAGTTAGAAACAACAAAACTTTCTTGGTCTGGCGTGATGGCCACAGCATCCACATTTTTGTCATCAGCATCATCATCATCAGGTGGAGGAGGTTCAAATATGACCAGCCAATCTGACATCTCTCCACTCTCTGCATTGACCACGGAGATTCTGTACATGTCTTCATCCACCAGTAGAATATACTTCTCACTCCCTTTAAATTTGAACACCAGAAGTCATGAGAATCAGACTCAAAGAAATGAGAAGTATAGATAAATGTTTATACCTTTTTCAATTCTTCCTCTTCTCAGCCTTAAATTAACACTTACAAAAACTTTCTTTGCCTTAATTTGTATATTCATGCTTCAGAGCACAATCTCTTCACTTTCAACAAGGGCCATCAGAGACAGGTGACACTCCCAAAATGGAACATTTAAGTATAAAAAATAACAAAGGACAATAAGAGAATTATAAATATTGTGCACTACCCTCATTCTCTTTGAGATCTATCTACTCATGAAGTTTCATGTTAATAGCTCTTACAGTTTTGGTGTAATATTTCAGACAAAATTTAAGTATGAAAAATAACAAAGGGCAATAACTGCAAAATTATGCAAAAGGGAGTGATGGTTCTGATGCCCTGCACTTCTCTTTGTTAATATCTATTTACCTATGAAGATTTATGTTGATACCTCTTAAAAGTTTCTGTGTTATGCTTTGGACAAAAACTTGATGGACGTACAAACTGATGGACGAACAGATAAAGTGGCAACAGTATACCCTCGCTTCAGGCAACATAATAAAACTTTAAGATTGCCAAATTTAAGTCATTCAGAGTTCAATCAATCCAAATATAAGATTGAGAAAGATTTTTGTAACAAATGACAAAAAATAGAATAAATACTTACCAGCAATGGTACTAGGATTATTTGATGAAATATCTCTCATTGGTCTAGATTTCTGCAGGAAGGTCACAGATGACTTTTTCCCAGTATAGGCATCAAACAAGGCACCCACCTTGCTCTTGAATATGGCCAGCAGACTGCGGTCCTTGCCTGTAGTTGTGTAAGCTCCTGTGGAGTAGTTAAAAGTATACGCTACCTCTCCAGTGAGCTGAAGAGCCTTCAGGTTTTTAGAGTACTCCACTAACATCAGGGTATCATTTGCTATAAATGTGACGCGATCAGGACATTCCCCTAATTTATTGAAGGATTTGATCAAAGTGCCGTCTTCTACATTCCATGTTTTAACACTCTGTTCATCATCATCAGCACCTGAATGTATTAAAACAAAGTATTTTTTATATGATTTTGATAACTGACTTCACCAAAAGGATACTTTGTTACTTCCATACTACTTAATGTCATGCTTCACTATGAAAAGTCTATTGATATTTTCTAATTCATTTCTGCTTATACATAGCTTAAAAAATTATCTGTTTATAAAACAACTTTGAAGATGTCCTTTTAAGAATTGCCTAATAATAGAATGTTGCTTTAGTAAAAAACATATACAAACTAGGAAGAATGAAAAATCTAATTTACCTAGTGAAAGGTATATCATTATCTAAGTTTTACCACTATTCCTTACAACCTTCTATCATAGTCACACCTACATGTAACAATGATTTTGCCATCCTTGGTCATATCCAGTCCAGTTACAGCAGACGTGTGTTCTGACAGCATGCAGACCATCTGACCACCTGGTTTGACCAATATGTCCTTGTCAGGCATCAAGTAAGGTGACGGGAACTTCTTACATTGCAGGCAAAATTGAACCAATTCTGGATTCTATGATAAACAAAAAAGTATCAAAAAATTAAAAGTAAAACAGAAAAAAATAAAATTATAAATTCTTACTGACATTTACAGCTATATACTGTTAAGTCAAAACGAAAATTTATTATGACATTATTGTATAAAATATAACATGCAGGTAGCAGACTGATTGGACAAGACAAATCAAACACTGAGTTGCGTATAAGATTTTTAAGTCTCAGTTTGTAACATGAGGCCCATGGGCCTTAACAGTTATCTGACTATAAGGACCTATTGATGAAAAAGGCAAAATAGTCCTCAAATAAATTACTCAACTACTCAACTATTCTATATACATGATCTACACAATTGCTTGTTGAAAAATCAAGCTACAGGCCCAATATCAAGACCCTTGACCTGTCAGTTATTGAGAAGAAGTTGCTTCAGCATTTCAGAACATTTGACCCCTGTGATCTTGAAAGTTGGTCCAATATCAGCAAATTGGTCCTTAAGTTATTGAGAAGTCATTTAAACATTTTAACAAATTTGTTACTGGTGACCTTGAAAGTGGGTCAATGTCAATATTAGCGAAGTTGATAGCCCTTCATCCCAGCATGCTACAGACCTAATTTCATCATCCTTGACCTTTTGGTTATTGAGAAGACATCATTTAAAGATTTTAACATATTTGATCCCTGTGGCCTTTCAAGCAGATCAAGGTTGGGGTTGAATCGACTTTCTGGATCTAAGAAATGATTACCCACTGCCCATGATGTTTAAGACTAAATTTGGTTGAAATCCATTCAAGCTTTAAGAAAGAGTATCATTTTGAAGCAAAATCTTGTCTAACTTCCTTGTTTGAGGCCCCATCCCTGCCCCCAAAGTCCCTAGGTGTTAAATTAACTTTCTGAATCTAAGAAATGATTTCCCATCCCCAATTTGGTTGAAATCGATTCAAGCATTAAAAATAAGAAGTATCTTGAAGCAAAATATTGTCTTATTTCCCTTTTTGAGGCCCGCCCTTAAGTCTCAAGGGTCAAATCAACTTTAAGAAATGATTCCTCATGCTCTATGATGTTTCAGGCCAAATGGCTATAAATCATGATGTTGTAAGAACTGTAATCTACCATGTGCCTGCTCCACAACAAGCAATATGACAGTCATATGACAATCTTACCTGTTCCCTGGCCAGTCATATGACAATGTTACTTGTTCCCTTGCCAGTCATATGACAATGTTACTTGTTCCCTGGCCAGTCATATGACAATGTTACTTGTTCCCTGGACAGTTTTATAATAATGTTACCTGTTCTCCAGCTAGGCGTATAAGGATCTGGGGAGTCAGCTGGTATGGATCATAGATCAGGGCCTGCTGCGACAGCTGCATACAGTCGTGAAGCATCTCTAAAGCATAGTCCTGTGGCAGCTCTTTCTTGGCTGCCTGGAAGTCATACACCACATTCCTGCAAGAATACCAGAGGGATCAAATCAAAGAGAAGCTTTCAAATTTCTTGAAGAGGAGTTTAAAAGTTGAAGATTTTGGTCCTTTTCAAAGAAACTGTCATACTCCGTTAAATGCATTAAAATATACTCTGTTGGGTAAGTAGATATTGAAACCTCCGTTTATAAGGCGTACTGACCTTACGGAGGTGGCAATCAACTTGGCGAGGAGGAAGTGGAAGTTAATCAGGCACTCCATCTTGACTTCTTCCAAGTGACCAGCCATGATTCGATGGAATGGAAGGTTGTTCAGTTTTCGAATATTGTATGCATCTCCGTATTTCATTGGCTGAGCTGCTACATGGCGATCCTCTATTCCTTGTTTTCCTGATCTGTCTGTGTAGGACTTTTTGTTTCCTAAGAAATAATATTAGTTTTGACTGCACATAAGAGTAAAACCACAAGATGTTGAAAATAAGTTTGTTTCCATATAATGCTTTATCATGTGTCTGTTAAACTCTAATGGACATGTAGTTGTATAGATATTAGAGTTGACATGTAATACATGTTACTATACACAACGAATCTTCACTAAAACTTTAGTATGAGGGGTCTGATTGTTTTCTTTCTGAATGCCTGACATAAACTTGATATGATATTTTCAGTACTAAAGCAGACCATGACCTGAAAGCTTTCTTCAATCTAACACATAACACCACTTCATACATTATCTTCTACCTCCATCCAAGAATGAGGCTGTTTTATGTAGACTAAATACAGTTATTAACCTTATTTTTTGCATTTTATTTCAGCAAATTAATTCAAGGTGGTACAGGACTGAACAGCAGTCAAGGCTTAAATCACTTCTCTCCTTAAATCTCATTTATTCATATCAATGGTCACCTATACCATTGACATCCTGTCTTGTAGTTTTGGTACTAATGATGTCAATTTATAATGCACAGCAGCGCCTACCATAGCTCATTCAATAAAGATTCAGACTTTATAACCTCACATGACCATCCAAATATAAGGTTCAATCTCTAATTAGTTCACATTGAGATCAATGACATTCTGTGCTGTCATGATATGGGCAAGATATTTTACCCCCAATCACTCTGGATTAGCAGGTGGCCTTGACCCTTTATGGTTTTTAGTCAGAAGCAACCAGCTGCTACTACTACTCTGGAGACGTCACCTCAAAACACATCGTTAAAAGTTTTAACTATACCTAATTTATGATACTGACCTTTGCTCCATGTGCCACTGAAGAACTCGGCCAGCCCAGTGTGAAGATGTTTAATAATCTTGTCACCACAGTAACGTGACCTTGCTGCCTCTATAAACTGTCGATGGTACCAATACATGACCCGCACACCATCAGCTCCTCTCTCCACTGTAACAGGTATAAAGGTCCAGTATAACTGTACATACAGTGATCTCCTGGAAAATCTGTGATACTCATTCAAGCTACTGAGTGATTTTCTACTGATATTATTTTGCAGTTAAGCCTGTTTAGGAGAAGTTTACTGGGAATGAATTCTGTGCATGGCCTTATATTAATTATCTATATCAACATATTCAGGCATACAAAACACATTTTCTGAAAAATTGATTCACTGCAAAATATCAGATGAATATTGAATTTTGCATTCTCTTTCAATGACAGTTCCTATAGCAAAATCGAATTCCTCTCGAATACCACCAATTATACTTAAGTGGCTGGGGGAATAAGATTAACTACAGATTTTAACATTAGTCATTTAACAAATAAATCTGAGCAAATACATCTGTTCTCAGTCAGATAAGAAAGAGTGGGGTAGACATTACCTATATATTCCTGTAGATCAGTTCTCAGTCGGACCAGGAGGACAGGGGGCAGACATTACCTATATATTCCTGTAGATCAGTTCTCAGTCGGACCAGGAGGACAGGGGGCAGACATTACCTATATATTCCTCTAGATCAGTTCTCAGTCTGACCAGGAGGACATGGGGAGACATTACCTATATATTCCAGTAGATCAGTTCTCAGTCGGACCAGGAGGACAGGGGGCAGACATTACCTATATATTCCTGTAGATCAGTTCTCAGTCGGACCAGGAGGACAGGGGGCAGACATTACCTATATATTCCTCTAGATCAGTTCTCAGTCTGACCAGGAGGACATTTACCTATATATTCCAGTAGATCAGTTCTCAGTCTGACCAGGAGGACAGGGGGCAGACATTACCTATATATTCCTCTAGATCAGTTCTCAGTCTGACCAGGAGGACATGGGGAGACATTACCTATATATTCCAGTAGATCAGTTCTCAGTCGGACCAGGAGGACAGGGGGCAGACATTACCTATATATTCCTCTAGATCAGTTCTCAGTCTGACCAGGAGGACATGGGGAGACATTACCTATATATTCCAGTAGATCAGTTCTCAGTCTGACCAGGAGGAGAGGGGGAGACATTACCTATATATTCCAGTAGATCAGTTCTCAGTCGGACCAGGAGGAGAGGGAGAAACACCTTATTGTATGGATCCAGAACATATACATTACCTATATATTCCTGTAGATCAATTTTCAGTCTGACCAGGAGGAGAAGGGGAGACATTACCTATATATTCCTGGACATCAGTTCTCAGTCGGACCAGGAGGAGAGGGGGCAGACATTACCTATATATTCCTGTAGATCAGTTCTCAGTCTGACCAGGAGGAGAGGGGGAGACATTACCTATATATTCCTGGAGATCAGTTCTCAGTCGGACCAGGAGGAGAGGCGGCAGACGCCTTATCGGTGGAGTCCAATACATGTACACATCATTCAGAACAACATCATCACAAGACAGAATGTCTTCTAATTCTGATTCTGATAAACCACTTGTTGCTTAAAAGTAAAGAACAAAATATAATTCATATTATTATACAAAATCTTATAGTAAAGGCTGAAAGTGTTTTAACTCAAAAACCTGGGAAACTCAAAATTTTTCATCACCATGATGACTTGGGGTTAGAGTTTGACTGTAAAGTGAAAAAGCACTAAAATTGTATACTGCAAGACTATTGACGATAAAAAAAAATGAATTAAGAGCTGTAACTCTTGTTTACATTATTATATAATTGTGAACTATAAACTCAGATAGGAGCTGAATTGATCTTTAAGAGGATGCAACCATTCATAATGGAAGGACAGGTATTATAAAATCCTACTTACCTGTTGTCAAGTATCCAAGAGCATGAGAAACAAAGATTTCGCCATGCCTGACCTCAAGTCGTGAGTACAACATATTGATGCTGTCTCTCACTGTAGTCTGTAGTCTAGTGTCATCAATGGATGAAAAGGAGTTCCACTTGCATGCCTCATCAAAAGAAAGCTTTAGAAACAATGGAATTGGACACTGGTCAAATGATGTGGTCAGTACCTTACGTTGGTCACTGGTCAGTGTACGCTTGTTAGACTTAAGCCAACTGTCTAAGATATTGTTGACATCTTTTTTCTCCAGGACAGGGACAGGTACAAATTGACTAGAGGTTTTCAGTTTTTGCTGAAACATACATGTGATACAATTTTTTATTTCACTTATTCTATCCATCAACCTCAGCAATGAAATGGAGTTTAAATATTCAGGTTTCTCCTTTTTAACCTGATGTGCTTTTCATTTTGTGATCCTGATTATATGATCTTAACAATATAACTATATTTTTAGGATTCTAGTTTTATGACATTGAAAACTAGTATTATGTACAATTATTTTGGTCTTAGGTTGTATTTAGCCAATATGACCTTGACAATTTACCTATATTTTTCTGGTTCTAAGTCAATATGACCTTGACATCTTATCTATTATTTTAGGTCCATGCACAGTCAATATGACCTCGACAATTTACCTGTAGTTTTTAGTTCCCAGTCAATATGACCTCGACAATTTACCTGTAGTTTTTAGTTCCCAGTCAGTATGACCTCGACAATTTACCTGTAGTTTTTAGTTCCCAGTCAGTATGACCTTGACAATTTATCTGTAGTTTTTAGGTTCCCAGTCAAAATGACCTCGACAATTTATCTGTAGTTTTTAGGTTCCCAGTCAAAATGACGTTGACAAATTATCTGTAGTTTTTAGGTTCCTAGTCAAAATGACCTCGACAATTTACCTGTAGTTTTTAGGTTCCCAGTCAATATGACCTCGACAATTTATCTGTAGTTTTTAGGTTCCCAGTCAAAATTATCTTGATATTGTTCTTGTAGTTTTGGGTCTCTAGAAGAACTACAATAATTATGCCAAGCTGACATGGGCCATCAACTCAAGTTTAGATCAATGAATTTGTGACTTTACTATAAATTTATCTATTTATCTGCAGCTTTAGGTAACGTATAACACAAAATATGATGACCTTGAAAAATATCTATATTTATATACTTATAGTTTTGAAGAAACATTAAAAAAATAATATGAACTTTAAATTAATACAACACAAATCTATACTTACCTGTAGTTTAGGGAAGCACTCATATATGTCGTCCTCTAGCGTGGACACCACAACCTTGACACTAGTGTTCAAGACTGTAGGTAACCACTGTAGACTACGGGCATTGTTTGTTGGGTCCAGCTGATCCAGTGAGTCCAGCATGAGAACCAGAGGTCTGCTGGGTTTGGCATGACGTAGTGCGAACTGAAGCTCTTTAATCAGGTCCGTCAAGTCCTGTGGTTCAATGGAGAAGCAGATGGAAGGTAATACAATACTTACGTTTTTCACTTTGTAACTACCAGTATGTATTTTACAACATATTTAATTGATAAATTCTAAGGATACAGTGTACAACATTGTGACATATAGCAAATTCATAATCTACATGATAATGGTCAAATTTTACCAACGAAAGATGATAAAGTCATACAGTACTACATGTGGGTATTGTAGGTGTATAGCTGTTGTTTCTGTACCTATTGAAAACATACCTAAATATATCACATCACAAATATCAAAATAATTCTGTTAAATTACAAAAACGCATCTTATAATATTTCACTTTCCACAGCAAAAGAAAATACATCACTTTCAGAACTAAAAAACAATGTAATGTTCCACCTAAGTGGTTAGATGAAATTAAAAATCTTCATCAACATACAACATAATGGAATGACAGAAGACAGTTTCAAAAATAGTATATAACAGCTGACATAGAGAGAGCACCTTAATTGTGCTAGTACACTACATATATCAACTTTTCCACAATTTAGTGAAAGGTTGAAAATTTACAAGTCTGAGAAAAGAACATGAAATTTAGCACCTGGTACATCTGAAAGTTTATTTTCAATATTCATATATTGATACAGTTCATCATTTCTTATCTCCCTTAAATTGACAATTATATACACTTAGGTGAACAAGGTATTTGAGGGTAGAAAAATCATGCTTGAGAGTGTAAAGGTCAAGGTCAGAATAACTAATCTGCCACAGATCTGTACAAAATATTCCCCATCACAATTATATCACCACAAAAGCAGAATCTACTTAACCTCATTCCCTGAACTTTGTCAAAACTGATGATAATGAAACAGATGTAAGTAGTCATTTTCTTATCATAATTAAAGAAAGTCATAGTCAGAAATATCACGAGAAGGTATATCAAACAGATACACCTAAATGTATAGAATTTCCAAATGTTTCATGTAGTAAAGGTTTATTTTTGTCACCATTGACTGACCGTGACATTTGGACACCACATTATATACAACACTCTTTCAATGACTAAAACTGTACAATCTGTGAACATTAGTCATAAATTGAACTGACTTCAATACTGTAAACATACCTTATTTGGCAGAATCCAATTTTAGCGCATTATCACTTTTTGCCAAATTAGCACCAGAATGAAAAAGTTCATTCCTAATAATAGCTAGGTAGAAAAACAACATACAGATACTGCAATTAGCATGATCAGATTCAGTCGCAATATCTTCATTGCTAAATGTGCTTAAGATTACTGCTAAACTATGTACATTTACAGTATCCAACGTGCAAGCTGCACTCTCTGGGATGAAATAGGAGACACATACAAGTTCCTGGGGTCACCAAGTGCAGCTTCATGATGTCTTAAAAAAAATGGCTGTTCTGTATAAGACATTGTATCATAGAAAGCAGAGTTAGGAGAAAAAACCGGTCTTGGTACTTGAGTATTAATGAAGATTCCATACAAATGTTTTATCTGCTGTAAACAGTTTTTTGTTGATGGTTGAAATTTATTTTTGTAATTTCAACATTACTTTGGTTCAAAAGGGAAATTTTCACAGATGCCATGAATTAAAGGCTTCATTATTGTTTATTTTCAAGGTATCTATTTCATTGAAATTTTAATCCGTCCTTGAAAAAAAAGCGAACAGAACTAAAAAAAAATGAAGCCTTCCATAACAACACCTTTTACAGCATGTGTACTGTTCGTCACAACTAGCAAAGTATTATAGAGAGTTGAGACAAAGCTGTGGACGAAGTTTCTGGGTATGACAGTGATTGGTGTAGTAACAGAAAAGTAGTCACTCATTTCAACAGCTCATTGATATTCATACCTATCAGTGTGAGAACAAAGGAATAGAGGTCAATGGAGCAAGTGGTGATGAAATATTAAAAGATATAAACAAAATGGCTCTGAGAGGAGTCTGGGGCATGTTAGTGTGATATGATGTACATCATGATGTCTTTTATCGCTTTTTACTTGATGTTTTGTTTCAATATTTGTGCTGGTAAAATTAAAGTAGCATTTCATCAATTTTAGTGAAATTATTGCACAAAGCCATCTGTGTATTTGGTATCATTACCCAGTTGTACTTTGCATTTTATATACATGTTATGGTGACACTATATATAAGAATTGACATTTATATACATATCCCTAAATAATACATAATTCTGCCTAGGAGGTAACTTTTATCAATTATTATCTTAACTGGGTTTGATCTGAATCTTTGCTAACCAAAAGAAACCCTATCAGATAGATTGGTCGATGATCACTGTTCAGATTCTCTCATTTTTGTCAACATTATGGTAAATATGATATTGAAAGAAGAAAAATTCTGTTTCAGATTCAAACTTTTACTGGAAAAAAGGTGAAACAAAGCAGCCATTACCCATGTGTTGAATCTAACTCAGTGATTAGTGATCAATATCACTCTGTATTCTGACTTCAAGTGTCAACTTCAACACATTTCTTATAAAGACTTTCGTGCCACACTCTGTGAAAAGCTTTACAAAGCTGTTATAAGATCAAACCTGACCTTGCCACTGTCAATGATCTGGAAAAAAATATTTGTCAGGAACAAAATAATCCAACAGGTGCACTATAAAGACCAGAATATAGAAGTTTAATTATATGGCTGATTACACATACTTTATATGTACAGGATAATACCTGTTGTACTACTACCTGTTAAACTGTCACACTTACCACATCAAAAGCACATACACAGTTCTTGAACATGTCATTATTACCACATAAAACATTGCAATTTCCCTGAATAAAAACTTCTCATAATATGCTATTATAGCTAGAGTAGATAGTGAAATGTAGATGTATCACCTTGAAGGTTGAACACAGTTTTCTCCCTTTGATATGATAAAGTGATGTGGTGATCTCCCTTACATGTCAATGAACTTACATTTTATTACCATAGAGTGAAAATGATATAGAGTTACTTCCCTTACATCTGATGTTATATATGATACTCACCATGGAGTGAATATTAGGTTTAATCATATTGCTTAACTATGACAAATTGAGGTGGTGCATGTATATATGTTGCATTATATTCAATGTGCAGTGACAATGAGACAGATTTATCTCCCTTATCTCACAAGGACATGGCACGAATTCCATACCCACGGTTTGTATACATGTATTATAGAGACAAGGGTAGTAACTCCTGAGAAAGGGAAAAGGGAAAATTTTGTTTAATTATGCTTTTAGATATTCATAGGATCACAGATCTTAGTAACTCATACATTACCTATGAAAGCAATGTTTTTCTTTCCCATGAGTGTCTGATGAATGAGATTAGCTCGATATTGACAAAGTTATGACCTGACAAATTAGAAAACATATGTAGAAATGGTCAGTATTGTCTCCCTCACCTCTGATACCTCAAGGCAGTAAATGTGTTGTTATAGGATACTCACAACACAGTAAGATTATACAGAATTATCTCCCTTACCTCTGATACCTCAAGGCAGTAAATGTGTTATATGATTCTCACAACACAGTAAGATTACACAGAATTATCTCCCTTACCTCTGGTACATCAATGTGGTAGCCGTAGATGATGTTAATCTGTTGTATAATGCTCATCAAAAGACTATTGATGTTAGAACTGTCAGGAGTCGTACCTAAAAATCTACAACAAAAATAAGCTGTCAATAACGCAAATATCCTGATAAAGAATTTAGGTATGTCAAGTTAAACTATCCTTTGAAAATTCTAGGTTTTAACAAACATATCACTGAGGCACAAAATTGACCTCCAATACAGTGTTTTCAGCCTCTCACTAATGTCCAGTACTCTAAGACACACAATACTGACTCCGTAAGATCTCACACACATCACTGATGCCATACATTCTCAAAACATGGTTCTGACACTCTATCACACACAGCTCTGACTCCCTCTCAGCTCTGAGAGCTCCAACACAGCTGTGACACTTACACACACTCCCTCGCTGTGTGACACCTACACACACTCTCTCACTGTGTGACACTTACACACACTCTCTCGCTGTGTGACACACACACTCTCTCGCTGTGTGATACTTGCACACACTCTCTCACTATGTGACACTTACACACACTCTCTCGCTGTGTGACACTTGCACACACTTTCTTACACTCTGCCACCACCTGATACAATGTTCTCACATGACTCTGACACTCTCGGATACACAGCTCTAAGACCCCTAACACAGCTGGATACTCTCTCACACTTACCTTTGACATCCTCTGACACAGCTCTGACACCCTCATATTCACCTGTGACATCCTCTCACACAGCTCTGGCAGTCTATAACTTACAACTCAGGTGTCTGTATGTAGCTCTCACCAACAAACTCACCTGATAACTACCACAGGTTCGGTGTTGGTCATCCAACTAGGTACCAGTTTGGCAGCCATGGCAATGATGGAGGTCTTTCCACACCCTGACATTCCATGAATGACCAGTGGTTTTTGATTGGGAGTCGTCAGGTATGTCTTGATTTTCTGTAGATCAATCAAACCAGTATCATAATTTATATCACACTCTGGTGATTTCTACCTAAAATTCTCCTGGAATAAAGATTATTTAACAGGTGATCCCTTGTTGTGATCTTAATTAATCTTAATGATAGTTTGATATTATGTTCCTCAGGAAATATTTTCTGGGCAAGAGAATCAGATAGACCAATGCTGTCATAACCTTTCACCAAGACGTTTACATAAGATGAGATTCACAATTAAGGTAATGAATAGATTGTAACAGATAGACACATACTTGATTTTGTTCATACCTCAAGAGTTGTCTCCCTTCCATGGAAGTTGGCACACTTTTGCTGACAGAAGCGAATGTGCTGTAGAGACTCTGTAAAGAGCGGATCGGAGTTGGAAGATGCCTCACGCTCCTGTATACTGGCTTTAATCATATTTGTTACAGTGTTCACAAAGTCATCTGTCAGTTTCTTTAGGTATTTCTTGTGTTCTGTAACCTCTGGGTTTATACCTGTGTCATCAAATTCATTATCATGATGGTCTAATGTCTGCATACTTAGTTTATAATGAATTTATAAGTCTTTCATGTATGGATATATAGGTATAATAATGAACAATAATAATGAACAGCTCTCCTACTGGAATGTGATCTGAACATTGAACATGTCAATACAGCACAAAGGAAAATCTATTGCTTACATACATAGACAAAGCAGCTTGATCACATCGTAATTCAAGACTCTGGTCAAAAGCAGTACCTTGTGCTATGAAATTTTACCACCAGAGGGTGCTGATTTTTATTTCTTGTTTCAATCACCAGGTGTCAACAACATTACAACAATAGGTGTACGATAGTTTGTGTTTCCTGTTTAACAGAATTAAAGCAAGGATATATATACCGTACGTGAACATCAACTCAAGAGAAGCAGGCCACGAACCAGAAAAAGGAATATATGAAATGATCTCATCAAAGAGGTTACAAAAAAGTGTAGCCATCTTGATAAGGATGTGTAAACTGCTGTTCACTGAAAACATATAATAAACAAACTTCTCGTAAGCCTCATTTTGATATAACAGAGCCACCTCAAAGACTAGTGGCCAGATACTCTATTGTTGTACTATGTGAATACAACATGAGTCTGATTGTGCACAAGACTAGTGATAACAAATCACAATTGTAAAAATCCAAGATGGCTCCCTGTTGGCTATTTTGTTTTTTCAAAAAAAAAAAAATCATTCCCAAGATCAGCTATGCACAATTTGGGATCAAGAGGTACCAACCTTTACAGATGATCCATCTTGTCTTTCTCCAGAAGCAGTGATAACAAACTGTCAAAACCTAAGATGGCCTCTTGTCAGCCACTCTGTTTTTACTTACCAGTATTGAAACAACCAATTTATAACTGCATGTATGAGATTTTGAGAATGATGCATAAAAAATTTGTGATATCAAGAATTGCTAAAAGACAGTTGGACAATTATGGCCCACAGACAATGAGCAATTTGAACAACCCACCATCTTATGATGATGCGATAGCAATAAAAGAGAACTTGACAACAACTATCTGGTCCATACAATCAAACAGCAATTACAAATGATATACAGATATATACAAAACTGAAACTTACAAATGCATACAAGATTTTAAATTAAAATGTTTATTATATAGGCTATCAACAAATGATACTGAGGATATTAGTTAAGTGTACTGCATGTATGAGATAAACAGGAAATATTTTCCCTGTTTGGTACAAAATGGTGAGACTTTATCCATACCCTAATTAATTCATCTCATCTGTTTAGACACACTGAAAAGTGTTGAGGATCAATAATAATATCATACAAAGAAAAAACAAAACCATTATGTTAAAGATTTTGTTATGTCACATCATCAAAAAGTAGTGGAGAGATCACAACAGGTTTAATATGTTTAAAAGAATTATGGCACGTTTTATTCTGAATATTATATTTTCGTGCAATCATTATATTTACTAATCGATAAACTTTAAAATTTTAGAAATCAAGATGGCAAAATATTGCAGACTTTCACATCTACACAATCTTTACTGGAAGTATTTGGATATTCATAGCTAAATGTGTAAATAAGATAAAAAATAAATATCAATGCTGAGAATGTTCATTGCTAAAGTCATCTGAATATCATCATTACAATTTAAAACATCTTAAAAGTTTGTCAGTCAGAAGACATGTCAATGGCCCATGATGTATGACCCTTTAACCTTGACTGATGATAAAGAATAGAACTTCCTGTCTTTATACTATTGTTAAAAATTTAACAAAAAAAGTAGAGCCAACGTTAGATCCCAGAGAGTTGGTGAGTGAGATGCTGCACATTGGGTATGAATATCAAAATGAAATAAAATGACAAAATCAATTCAAGTACGTTTCAATCACAACACAGACCATGCACCACCAGTGGTTATTGACTGGCCCAACAGTTATCTAAAAATTAAACAAATCAGTTGAGAGGTTCTCAAAACATAACATTGATTGGAATGGAATGGCATGAACACAGCAGGAGATAGACCTGAGTGATACTATATAGCATCCCTCCCTCCCCCACTCCTGCACCCCAATTATCCAGGCTCTACCCCCAACACAGACATGGTAATGGAAAGATTAGGAGGATCTGAAGTGTTATGGCACAGTCATCTTTCCCAATTAAAGACACTGGAGCATTACTAGTTTGTAAGATAACTATAGGAGATATATGTTAAACCTGTGATATGTTAATTGTCATTTTGTGATGACCAGCCAAGATATTAGTGAACTCATTGTCATTAGATCTCACAACTAACACTTCCTTAGTAGTTTGTAATCATTTTTAAATTAGATTCAACAAGAAGAGGTGTCGTGAAACATTTTCTTCAGGTTGATTAATGCAGATGTTCTTATATCCCAACCAGAAAAGAAAATGTTTATGTAACATTTTGATGACAACTCTAGCTATCACCTTTATCAGACAAATTACCAGTGTGAAGTGTATCAGCACTGATGTTTACAATGTACGAGAAGGTAATCAAAAGGGCTTTAATATACATTGTACATTTACTCTCAGTGTTTACTGAGGTGGAAAATAGTGTGACAAAATTGTGGTAAGATATAAAGGTGTAGACAAAACAAACAGGTGATCTAGCTTCCATTTGTACCTTAAATAGTAACTATTAAACAGTGGGATAAATGTTCAAAACTTGGTTTCAGATGAGTGTTTCAAAATGGCCTTCCATCTGATGATGAAGATAGTGTAGTCATCAAAACACACTACATACACAGTCTTACTGATTGTAATAGAGGAACCTCTAAGTAGTCATCAAATAATGGATGCTGTCAACAGTGAAATAGGAATTCAACATTTGATTACAATTATGAACAGTTATGTTATAAAAAATACCAAATCAATGTCCATTGATTCTAAACCAAGTGTATGTTATACATGTTACATCAATTAAACAGACATTAGAGAAAGTTGGGAACATTAGAGGATTAATTTCAAACAGATTATAACTATAATCAATACCATCTTTGTATGCTGCTCCTGAAAATACAAAATTTTGTAGCATGATTCACCAAAGCTAACACTGCGTAAACTAAACAGAAGAGAAAATAGTCTGAATGTTTCTTTTAATTGCACAGACTGGATTTCTAACATATAGCAGAAATTCAGATGAAGAAGGATTTAAGAGTTAAGAAGGTAATGAAATGTTTAGGAATATTCTGCAGTAAAGTGAAATGTATAAAATCTAGCAAAGAAACCTTATATCATTAAAAACATTTTTGACATAATTATACTTTTTTAGAAAAAAAAAATCAGCAAAAGGAAATAAAATCAGGAAAAAATGACTTCACAAGTATTTTTTAACTCTTATAAGCCCAAAACAAAATATTGTATAATACAACTCAAAAAGAGATAATAGAGACAAACTAAATGGAATGTTTATACCTGTATTTATCAGTAACTACACTTACAGAACATTCTCCACAGTAACAGTAAGAATAAGTCCATGCAATAACAAAACCATCTCCCTCAAACTCAACCAATGATATAAACAGTATTTAGCAGTCATCTCATTTCAGGACTTTTCACATAAAAGTCTTTCACTGAAATATAATTACACCAACAGGTTTTTGTATATTGTTGCTAATTTGCCAAAATGTGATGATATAATAAACATTGCACATAAATCATTATGTTTTTGTTGTTCTAAATGTAACGGTAAGTTAAATCTTAATGTAGGACATCCTCCTATTTTTTGTACATTATGGTACATTGTATGTGTATTGTCATATTCATTGAAAGCAATTTATAAGATGGTCATACACTTAATTTTAAAAGATATCATTTCTTAATACCTTGGTAACCCAGAGTTGAATATTCAAGCATTAGCATGCACACAAGAAAACTGCATCAAAATGCTAGAAAGTCAGTACTTTATGAAAACAGTGCATCAACATTCAAGTCTTTTATAATTACATAATTTGCCTATTACATGGTACATGTCATCCATAACTGATCCACATCAGTATAATGATATTCTTGAAAAACTCATTTCTGTTAATGTAATACATGTACTGTTGATTAATTTCATCTCCAAAACGTTTCACTACAATCATTCGCAAAAACAAGGACTGGCTAATTTTCAAACCTTCAATTAACCATAAAAAAAATAAAATTCTAGCAAAGCAATCCTCCACACTCAATAAATAAAGATAGATACAGGCTATAGATAGAAAAACATTTACCACTCACTGAACCTGAAACACAACAGGAACACACACAACAATAACAAAAAATACTGACCATCACAATAATAAAATTGAAAGGAAGTAATAGACAGGTTCACACAGTTTTTAATTGACCTCTGAGCTCATCAGCTCTTTCGACTCTAATTTTCTTTGTATTGACATCATAAACAAATATTTTTTTCAACAATGAATCGTATATAAAAATATTGTCTTTAATAACAGCAGTTTGTGTATGTCTTTGTCCCTTTCTTTGAACAGATAACAAGCCAATATACACTTTGTACAAATAGAATTTTAGAATAAATCATGTGAAAATGTTCAATACAACTTGGCATATCAAAGAACAACTTAACCAGGAAAATCTTCCAAATAAAGAATAACAAACCTTTATCCGTCCAAGACACATTGTAGGAGATGATATTTTTTTCTGGTAGACAGTCCGTGATTTGTCGTTCTTTAAGATCTGCCAGTAAACGTTGGGCCTTCTGCACTTTATCCTCTGGGCCAAGACATTCTGCACGATAAGTATTCCAACATTTCATGAATTTCATCATGATGATATCTTGTAAATGATAGATTACTAATGACAATATTGTCACAGTTTTTCATACAATACTTGTAACCAACATTGACTCAATATTTCTGGATGTTAAACTTTTACTGTCTTCTGGATTCTTCCTTTATTGATTTATGGTTTAAACTTCTAAATACAAAACAAGAATATTTCATACCCATGTATCGTGAAAGCTGGTAACTGGCCGTTTCCTTTTCAATATTCTTTATCACTCTGTTAAACCACAAACAACTCTTTCCTGCCTTCTCTTTGTCCAATGATAACAGGCCCATCTGAATTTCTTTTTCTGTCACTATCATTTTAAAAACAACAGAGTATATTAAAATAGGTAAACAATTAAAAGCCACATATTTTCATATTTTCCGCGTTTCGGAGAATCGCGGAAAATAATTGTCCTATAGGTACGGTAATCGGGTATCTTCGCGAGAGTTGTATGGTCCAATGCGAGTGCGAAGCGTTGTCCGCACGTGCAAGTTAAGAAAGTGTGTAAGGGTAGGCGAGGTATCGGGCATTCTAGCCGTGGACACCCACAAGTACAGTCAAGAGAAATGGACCCGGCATCATTGGAAAACAAATTGCAAGAGCGCATTTCTGCTTCCCAGCACGACATGTTAGGCCAGCTCGAAACTATGTTAAGTAGGAAACTGGACTCTTTCAGAACAGAAATACAGGATTCCCAACGTCAGTTATCGGCAGACCAAATCTCAAAATTTGTGGAATTGAACACTCATTCTTATTCGTTCAGACATAAAGGCAACGAGGAGCAGTTCAAAGTTAACACCAAAGTTGTTGCTAAGTTGCAGGAGGCTCACTCTAGCATAGTTGAACGGCAGGATTTGGTTACGGCGGCCGACAAAATAACCGAGGGTATGAACATTTTAAAGTACAGGCAGAAACTCATAAGGTTAGCGGATTCTTCTGAAACGGGGTGGAAAATCGTAGCGGAATATGAGGCTAATGAGCTGGCTGAGGCTTCAGACGATGAAAAACGGATACAGAGGGCGGAAATCAGGGCTTAAAGGAAAGTAAAGGCACAGAGACAATCCAGGCAGAGGCGGTTCTCCCCGTACGGTGCCCCTCGACCACAGGGACCTGGAGACTTGTCACACGTGGACGCAACAAAACTGGCGATTCCGGCGTATAACAGGAGGCCAGGACTATGTTACTCTTGTGGAAAGCCAGGACACTGGAGGATAGAGTGTCAGCAGCAGCAACGTAGCGTTGGGCAGGGACCAGACAATATAAGTATTCATGTTTTTCCTGAAGGGAGAGTGTCTGTGTCCAATATTTTTGTAGCGAGCGTTGAGTGTGGTTTTACTACAGCGGTAGTAAAAACAGCTGATCAGCATGTTGGGTCAGAGGTCAGGTCACCTATTGGAATGTTACGGCGAGCGTTTTATGAATGGGAGTGCATTGATGCGTGTCCAGTAGTACTCGATATTATACGGTACGGGTATAAGTTACCTTTGTATCAGATTCCGGACGTCATAGTTCTCGGAAATAACAAGTCAGCGAGAGATAATGCTTCATTTGTGAGAAACGAAATCCTGAGTTTGTTAGAGAAAAGGTGTATTTCGGAAGTCACGGTCAGGCCAAGGGTAATAAATCCTTTAACGGTGGCTGGTAATACCAAAAAGTTGAGGTTAGTTTTGGATTGTAGGCACGTCAATCCATGTCTTCATAAGTTCAGATTTCGGTTTGAGGATTCAGCCGTTGCTTTAGAGCTGTTGAGAAAAGGAGATTGTTTGTTTCCTTTCGATTTGAAATCTGCTTACCATCATATTGAGATTTTTTCTGATCACAGAGAATATTTAGGATTTAGTTGGGATTTCGGTGGGGTCACGAAATACTTTGTTTTCAATGTTCTGCCATTCGGGCTTTCAACTGCAGGTTACGTATTTTCCAAGGTTACGAGGGAGTTGATAAAGTATTGGAGATCCAAAGGTCACAAGGTCATAATGTACTTGGACGACGGTTTAGGAGGCCACGGCGTGCAGGAACAGGCGCTAAAGTTGAGCAATGAAGTAAAGGTGGATTTAAACCGTTTCGGTTTTTTAATAGCTGATGAAAAATGTAGCTGGAAGCCATGTTTAGAGGCAGATTGGTTAGGTTTGGTTTGGAAGATGGGCGAAGGGAAGGTTTATATAACCGAAAAGAGATTGAGTAAGCTTGAATGCAGTTTAAGGGCCGTATTGGCAAGTCAGGGCGGTGATGCAAAGGGCGTTACCGCACGAGCTTTGGCGGGCGTGGTCGGTCAGATTATATCCATGAAAGTTGGTATAGGTCCCGTTACAAGGCTTATGACAAGATACATGTATGCCAACGTCTTAGCAAAGGCCAGTTGGGACTCTCGTATCTATATCACAAGCGACGCTTTGTTTGAGGTAAGATTTTGGTTGGAGAATGTTCGTAGTTTGAACGGACGTGTCATTGAGCAGCCAAAGTCGCATGATGTGGCGGTTTTTAGCGACGCCTCCGGTATAGGGTACGGAGATTATATGTTGAATGTCAATGACAGTGAAGTACTAGGGGTGTGGTCCGAGGCCGAGAAGGCAGAGAGCTCTACATGGCGAGAGCTGGAGGCTGTGAGACGCATGATGAGAACGTATGACGAAAGCCTGGTAGGGCACCGCCTGGTAGGGCATAAGGTGTTATGGTACACTGATAACCAAAATGTGGCTAGTATATTGGTGAACGGTAGCAAAAAGTGTTGTTTGCACGCACAGGCTAGAGACGTTTTCAGAATGTGTTCAGAAAAGAACATCAAGTTGATTTCGGCCTGGATCCCAAGGGAGATAATCTGGTGGCTGATTTGTATATCAAAGCCGGAGATTCAGAGGATTGGGGTATTAAGCCGTCAATTTTCAATTTTTTTAATAAGGCTTGGGGCCCTTTTTCGGCGGATAGGTTCGCAAGTCCCTATAACGCAAAATGCGAGATTTTAAATTCCCGATGGTGGTGTCCGGGTACTTCAGGTATAGATGGCCTTATGCAACCCTGGGGTGGGCTTAATAACTGGTTGGTTCCCCCTCCTAGTTTGGTGCCGAAAGGCGTCAATAAAATGATAGATAAAAAGGCTAAGGGGACTTTGATAGTACCTTATTGGAAATCGGCTCCGTTCTGGCCTGTTTTGGCTCCCTTAGGCGGAAGTTTTGCTAGTTTAATTAAGGAGCATATAATATTGCCCGCAAACAAAATTCTATTGTCCACTACTGGCTAGCGGCAGTCATGTGTTGGAGTTATTGTTAGGAGATGAGTATAGAGAGGACATATATATTCCACCTAATCAATAGTATAACTGGTACTTATTGTCTGCTGTATTTGCAGAAGAATCCCAGTACTATGGTTGTATGTCACTGTAATACAGAGGTTGCAGGCCCTGAACTTGACACACTACACATCCTCTTAGTATGACCAATGTATACACCGAGTTTCATGATCCTAGTTTTAATGCAAGCAAAGCTATGGACACAGAATTTTAACAAAGAGTACAAACTTTGTTATAGAAGGTTCATGGGCGTTGACTTTGGTATACTGCACATTGCTTTTATATAACTAATGAAAACATCAGGTTTTTATTATCCTAGTATTAATGCAGGCCACCTTATGTAATGGACACAAAATTTCAACAAAGGGCAATAACTCTGTAAGGGGTTGTGGGCCCTGAATTTAGTACACTTCACATTGCCGTAGTATGACCAATGTATACACCAAGTTTCATGATTCTTGCTCAACTCTGGGCAAAGTTATGCTCTGGACATGAAAGGATGGAGGGAAAGATGGATGAACAGACAGATGAACAGAGCGGCAACTTTATGCTTTTTGGGGGCCATAAAAAACAAAAATGATGTGTTTGCAAGCCTCTTTTTCATTTGATTACCTGAGATAATGAACTTTTTAGCTGCCTCTGGCCCTAGAGCCTGCTCTGCTGATGACTCCAAGGCCGCCTGCATGATGTCACTCTCCTGCCACCATTTTGTTTTTGCTTCCTTGCTGGCGTCCTTGTCACTGCTAAGAAAGTCTGGAAGGTGTTTACTTATGGGAGATAACAAGTACATAGGTGGAACAGCATTGTTATCTTTCTGGTACCACCTGTGAAACAAAATATCATGATATACAAATTATTCATCATATTCATCTCCATGTATCCTTCTGTAAGTTCCCTTACACACCTGGCACCAGAAGCTCAAAGCTTGGTTAACCAGTTGTTACTGAAAATTCTCAAACATTTATTAAACATGATGGAGAACATTCTTTATCATTTAATAGTTGTAGGTGTGTTCAGACACATCAGAATGATACTTTCAAGTATCAAAAAATTTGTGTTAAAATGTTCTTGACTTTTCAGAGTCAACAATTTAATTATTTGATTAACCACTAGTTAATAATAACTAGAGCCCAGCTGATCTTCTTATCTCTCCTTTCAAATGTCAATTTTATAAAACAAGTCTTCCCTTAAAATGAACTGAAATAGCAGAATGTTCTACTTAGTTCTGGGGTTCGTAAAAGATGTCTTGATGCTGCATGACCTACTTTTGTAAAGTGTGAAGGTTATACGTTTAACTCTACAGAAGTTCTCTTCCTAAATGAACTTACTTCTGTAACAATTCTTTGGCTTCAGTTGATTCAATCAAAGAAAATATTTTCTCAAATTCTTCTGCATCAATTTCTCTTGTTAGAGACCTGTACCCATACTTGTGTGACAGCAGAGTCTATTTGAAAACAAAAAAGTTAAGGATCTGTAACAGTGGAAAACTAAAAAAACAAAACTTGAGTGTCAACTGTCTGTACAAAAAACATCCTTCCAAACAAAAAATTCCTGTTAACATTTGGTTTGTTGCAATATATATTCCATCATTTCCACAAATTTTTAACCTGGAAGATATCATTTTTTTATGTGAGAATACCTGTATTCATTAAATGTAGTTATTATTGAGGAGTTCAAGACTTATTGTCCAGTATTTTAGAGGATGACATAAACTGAAAGAAACAGAAAGCAAGAAAATAAGATTTGGAATTAAGAAAACAACAGTCTATTTCATGATCTCAGCAAAAGAAACAAATTCAAAGAAATTTTATGATCAATGAAAAATAACCACCCTTTCAACTAAAGTCGACAGTAATCATTCCAAAACCAGTGGAAATAGTTGTGGTGGTTTTATTGTGACAATTTTCTTCCGACAAAGGGGAGGTAATTGGTGATATACATACCACAAAGTTTGGACCTGTTGAGAGTTTTTGACACAGTTGAAGTTCCTTCAGACAGAGGTCAGTAGTACTATGGTCATCCATAGCCTCGTCTCGTACTCCCCATCTCATGTCCACCACCTGGAACTCATACCCGAGCTCCTGACAGAACATCTTCACACGAGGGTAGGCCTCACTCATCCACACATTCCTCTCATGCATGGTGTCTTTAAAAAGAACATGTATATACGATATACTTCTGGACACAGGTCATTGTAGATCGAGTATGATAAGCCTACCATATGCGAAAAAAAAACTTTGCAAAAGAAAATAGAATTATATCATGATACTGAAAGCCACTTGAAACAAATATATCTATTGCAATTCTTTTTCATTCCTTCCGACACCTGACAGTCAGTAAATTCAGGGAAAAACACTTTTACATTGTCAACAGGGTTTACTTGTATAACATGACCTTACGTTCACAATTTTCCTTTTAATAAAGCTTCAGCATCAGATTGAACACATGAATTTATTACCAATGTTCCTTTATATCAAATCACACATACAAATGAGAATATGTCAGGGCTCATAGCTATATATAATTTTAAAAACAACAAATGGTCCACTACCAGCAATGACGAACAAACAAAAACAAAATATGAATTACAAGACTCTGGAAAATATTTCAATTTAGTTACTTTATAACAGTTGTTTAACTAGTAACTCAACTTGTTGACCAAAGTGGAAGCACATGAGGGAGTCTTACTGTGGAACCCAGAGTTGGAAGGGACGGTGGGTAACCCATGTGGTCGGGCAGGTGTCCCCAAACTATTTCACGTCCATTTGGAGATGTCTTGGTGAAAGGCAAGTGTGTTATCACTGCACCATGTGATGACCCAAAATACTGTCAAAATTTATCTAATATATCCTTCTAAATGATATTCTTTGTATCTGTATATACATCACTAGCAGAAGGTTACCCGAAACTATTCGGCTACACCTTAGTTAGAGACTAGTTCTGGTGTCATGATACAGGCGATGACATTACATCATATTGAAAATAGTACAACAAAATGGCTGCATGTCATTGATTTCAGCCTCATAAGCTTCCATTAATAAGAGGCCTAAAAGGCCTGATCACTAACCTGATTTAATTTACTGTAACTGAGTAATTGACACTAAAGGAAAAATATTCTGAACACTTATATCTGCTTCTCCTTATAAACTCTGTCCCTCTGCCCCAAGGTGGTTAGATGCACAGTTTATACAATACTAAATTACCTTCACCTAAGGATGCTTCAGAACAAATCTGGACAAAATTTAATCATTCCAACAGAAAAAGGATTTTAAAGAGTTTGCCCTATTTCTTCTATTTGGCCATGCCCCTCCTGTCCCAGGGGGACTTAAAAACCATTCTTTATACAAAGTTGATCCCTTTTATCCAAGCATGCATCAGACCAAATTTAAGCAAAATCTAAACATTCCTACAGAAGAAGTAGAATATCAAACAATTTACTCTATTTCCCCTATTGGACCACACCTCTCCACCCTAGGGGGGCCATGACAAACCCTTTATATTAGGAAGGATGCATCAGAACAAATCTGGGTAAATATGATCCTACAGGAGAAGGATTTTAAAATTTCCCATTTTGGGCCCTGCCCATCAGGCCCCATTTAAAGTTCCTTTCCCAAGAATGCTTCTGACCAAATTTGGTCAAAATCTACTAAGCAGATTATGACTACTAGTGATCCGTAGGGGGAAAAGTTGGCAGACTATAGACATGTGATTGACGACAGGTGCTGCAGTATGATGCAAGTTCATCAGTCCCACCAGGTGAGATGACAACATGTCAAAATGTAATTTTGTGAATAAGAATAAAATAATCTCTCTTTAATTTGTTTTCATTTTATACAAGATTTTATAAAACAGCACACATAATTCTTCTACTGGTTTTCATATACATTCAACTAATGTCTTCTATTCTTCATGCATGTATGATTATATGTCATGTTGATAATAAGCCAATAAATCTGTAGTTATGCGTTATCAACTTTGACCAAAAAAAAATTTGATCATTGTGATTCAAATATTAATTTGCAGCATTGTGTATACTGAATAATTTTAGTCAACACAAAAATACAATTTGTATTGTTCAAGTTCTATAATCACATAAGTATATATGGAACATGTAGAAATATTATCCAAAGAATGAATTGTATATGTGTTTTGCTTATTTACAATTTACACCAACAATTCTTTAAGAATTTGTGTACCACACAAGTTTAAAGTATGGCTGAGTGAAAATAAAATCTGTCTGAAGTCTGGCTTAATGTATTTCACAGGTAATAATCTAGGCCTTCAATCTCTCTCTCAGATAATCGCTAAAATGCTTCAATGTGTTCAAATGGAATAGATGAGGGCAATATAAATTAATTTATTATAAGATTGTGAATGCATGGATAGGTGGTATAACATCCTCAAGGTACCAGTTCAAAGGCAAAATAAGTAAGGATAATGATAAAACATTGTTCACAGTACTACAGTGTTCACATCTACAAAGTATGGTCAGCTTAACAACAACACATCTATAACATATGTACACATGTGTATGTAGAGTATATGGAACAAAAAGTCAATACCTTAACTTCCACCTAACAACCAATCATTTAGAGACAACATATATAGTAAGGGGGTAAATGCTGTAAACTTGTACTAAAAAACTGATATAATAATTTTTTTTTACATATTTACAGATCTTGAATGAAGTGAACAAAGCATGAAATATCCCAGAACTTAAAGTGCTGGTGGAGTTTTGAGTGTCATTAACATTTTTATATACAACTTTTATCTTTCAAATCATGAAATTAAATGTGTGAAATTTCAAATATCCAGGTACTGATAGCCCCGTAAATCCAAGCTGTCCTGTTTTCATATGCCGAGCTCAATTAATCTTGTTGGGTGATTTAAATTGAAGTTAGAAGTGTATGTAGAGTAGAGTTTTATGGATTTCTGTCTAACCTATCTATAAATATTTAATAAGGCTATGATCACATGGAAGTTTTGTTTGGTGACATATAATCATAGCATTGTCAACATTTCAGATTTTAATGTATATTCCAAATCAGATGGTAAGAGAACAGGGACACTTGAACAAGGTTTAATGATACACAAACATTATTGATATGGCAGGTGGCATGGTTTGTGTAGTGGGCTTAATTCAAAAATAGCTAAACATTTTAATATCCAGAGTTTATACAAGGTCTTCAGTTAAATTTGACGTCATAAACAATTTTCATATCTTGATATGGTAATTAAAATCTGTGTTAAATCTACTGAGTAATATATTGACCATTGATTTATGCTTGTGGTGGTTTTTAAACTGAGATTTTTAAAGGAATATTGATTTTAAAATATTGAACAATATACAGTGTATCAGACACCGAAAGAATTTGATAGGAAATTTCATGCCAACAAACGTTTTATGAATATTAAATCGTTTCATCCAGAAACAGGTGTGAAATGATATGGTATTTTTTACAGTTAAATAGTTCAAAGTTACTACATATTATCATTTTGATATCTCTAAGTTTTTCACTTAAATTATCACACTACAATTGAACATCAGAAATGTTTGTAGTGAAGCAGATTACAAAATTGAGATATTATAACACCCATAGGCAGTTGTACTTTGTAACAGAGTAACTCAGCATGTAGCTTTGGTGTTTCTCTCCAATAGTATCTTACAAGAAAAGTGAAACCAGAACATTGTGTAGACATGAATGTGCCCACATCTTCAAGCTTTTTCCCTTGAGAGTTCCCATTGCAGATGCAGTAAAGTGTGACCTCTGAATATTTAACCTTGACCAATGACCACCTTTATAATGAGTATAGGTGTAGATCGCAATGTTAGGATACTATGGGGAAGTAAATTATCATCGCAATGTTAGGATACTATGGGGAAGTGAATTATCATCGCAATGTTAGGATACTATGGGGAAGTGAATTATCAACAACACAATGTTAGGATACTATGGGGAAGTGAATTATCAACACAATGTTAGGATACTATGGGGAAGTGAATTATCAACACAATGTTAGGATACTATGGGGAAGTGAATTATCAACACAATGTTAGGATACTATGGGGAAGTGAATTATCATCACAATGTTAGGATACTATGGGGAAGTGAATTATCAACACAATGTTAGGATACTATGGGGAAGTAAATTATCATCGCAATTTTAGGATACTATGGGGAAGTGAATTATCATCGCAATGTTAGGATACTATGGGGAAGTGAATTATCATCGCAATGTTAGGATACTATGGGGAAGTGAATTATCATCGCAATGTTAGGATACTATGGGGAAGTAAATCATAAAGATATGACAATGATTCAAAACAGGTGCAATGGCCCAAGGTTACATCACAATATAGTGTCTATTTTTTTAATTGGGGAGGTTACAATAAGAAAACTCGACCCCTTGTCGTTGCATGCACATGTTTGTGTGTTTACGGATATATGTGCTGTCTCTTTCCTGTTGTTTTCACATCTTATGGACAAAAAGGCCTAAGGAATAGATAGAACTTGAATTTGAAATGTCGGATGACCAACCACACAAGGAGTTAATGCAATTGAAAAGGAATATTTGAAAAACTAGATCAGACATGTTTGTAAAATTTTGGCACTGTAAAATGGTGGTGGGCTATTAGAAAGATCTATTTTTTGCTAGCATGGATGAAAGAGAGAATTGGGGTTGATGTGGGAGGCAATTTCTACTTTCTAGCTGTAGATTTTCCATAGAAATTATTGAATTATTTTGAATTCTATAGACAATTAGTTCAAAGACATTTCCTACAGAGTATTGTAAAACAAGAGATCCCACAGCACATTTGTCATCAACACCATTGTTTGATCTTCATTTGCTCTATGAAAGTTGGATCTTTTTTGTTTTTTTGCTCTTAATTATACGAAATTCCTTTCAAGAATGAATGATAATAATCCACAATCCACATACATCACAATGTATGTAGGCAAAAAAAAAAAAAATACTTATTTGCTCCAAATGCGGCAGGGACAAGGGACAACCCACCTGAAAAGCAATACTCAAACAAGTCCCTTTGATTAAGAAGTATTGTATGAAGTTTCGAGTTTAAATGTCCAAAGAAAACCCAAGAAATCACACAGAACCAATTTTTGTTTTACAGCTACAATGACCTTGACCTTTAACCATTTGGTAAGGATATTTTACGGAAACAAATTTTCTATTTATATTAACAGTGACCTTGACCTTTGACCTTATAACCTGAAAAGCTATACAAAGCAAGCTCCTTCGGTAAGGAAGCAGTGTATGTAGTTTGAGTGTAACTGTCCTAGGAAAACTCAAGTTATCGCATGAAAACCAATCTTATATATATATATTGTAACACTGTCTTTAATCTCTGACCTTCATATGCCAAACAGAATCCCATGGAAGCACTTTTGGTAAGGAAGCACTGCATGAAGTTTGATGTTTATCAACCACAGAAAAAAGTTATCACGAAAAAAAAACAATTTCCTTTGGACCTGAAAAGCCATCCAAAGGAAGCACTTTTGGTAAGCACTGTATGAGGTTTGAGCTTGATCGACAACAGAGAATTGAAGTTATCGCCAAAAAATCTTTGTGCAAACAACGTCACCGCTGCCTGCAATATAGTAATACCTATATGTCACCTTCAGCATGTAACACAAAAATAGCAATAACAAAATTTCCTTGTCAAGGTTCAAGATGACTAACAGGTATTGCAGACACAACCAAGGATCAAGGGAAATCTACATATGAAATTTGTTACAGATCCATCTGATGATGGGCTAGCGATTCTCAAGAATTCTGCAGACATCAAAGAAAATCGCATTTTCCTTCATCATGATACATATTTGTTAACTTGGCTTTGAGGTCAGCATGCGTTATGTTGAACCAGAAGACTTAACCGTTGACTGAGGCTGAAGGCCGAAGGTAACAGTTTGGTCGGAGAGTTCAACATAACACATGTTGACTGAAAAAATCCAGTCTACATATGTTATGCTTTAACTCTACTGTTGATATCTAAGAAATTGAATCATTATAGATAAATATGAATGATAAGACAACATCGGTTCAACACTACTGCTTGATGGCGGAAATTGTCAAGTAACGACCATAAAGTACCAAACAGTAATGAGCTGTGTCGTAAGCAGTCAAGATCAAGTTGTTGACTAGTCACCATTGTTCTCGGGCAAACATCTAGAATTTCAGATTTTATTCACCATAAAAAAAGTATAAAGAATAAACGGTAAAGGTGTAACAAGCTTATATTGCCTGTAGGCAATGTTCACCAACAACAGATATATTTTCCATGGACATAGCAGGCATTTTCCATGAATATAGCGGATACTCTACTAAAGTGCATCCTCAGAATTATACAATCAGGGAGTCACACCTCAGTTTTCTTTGTGACAGGAAGTGTCTTATTGACTTTGTTACCAAACTATATACTTCTTTGTCTTACTTAATATGTGTCATCACAAACTATCCTACAGGTAAACAAAATATGTTATTTACTTTATGTGATAAACTTCTAAATCAAATAAAACTAGACCATGTCTAAAGATGTATATGAACAGGGACATTGATGTGACACTACACCTAAAGCAAGACGTATAGATCTACAGGAGGTATTAGCTTTACAATCAATATTGAAATAATACACTCTTGTTTTGTTGTCTATTGACATTGGTGACAAGAAATATGAAGGTAATCAATGGTGAACCAGGACATTTAAAACTAGAACGGAAGACCTCACCCGCTCTGATAGTAAACATAATGTCTGGACAATTGGAGACAATAACTAACATACAAGTAAACACATACCTGCCAAATGCACTACATATTTTAATTTGTAATTAATCAATACATCATCTTGTTCGGAAATTAATCATATTGATCAAAAGATCAGATTTTTTTCTTAAAAGTTCATGAAATGTAAATAAAAACAAAGTGAGCAGGGTCTCAAACAGCTTTTTAGTTGCAAAGTGGTGACCTTTGACCTAAAACATTGACTGATGGTCACCAAACTCTGATAAGATTTATATCTAGTACAGACAAACATGCATTATTACAAGTGATATGGTACCTTTGTAAACCTGGTAAAATGCTAGCCGCAATATACCACTTGGCTAGAGAGAACTTCTCTTTAGCTCGATTGGACTAGTAAGCCAGGGGTCCCGGGTTCGATTCCTATAGGAGGCATTGAGATGAAATATGACCTCTATTACATTGGCGTCCATGTAGGGACCCGAGAATAGTACTAAGCCATGCCCCACCGGCATTGCTGTGACCCCTGGTAAATCAAGGACGAGTTATTTCCTGGAGGGGGAGTATGTAACCCTGGTAAAATGCTAGCCTTAATATACCACTTGGCTAGAGAGAACTTCTCTTTAGCTCAATTGGTTGAGCATAAGACTAGTAAGCCAGGGGTCCTGGGTTCGATTCCTAGCGGAGGCATTGAGATGGGAAATGACCTCTGTTACACCTTGACCCATGTCTTCTCCAGGCCAACTAAAGTGTGGAATTTGCTTGTTTGATTTGCATCAACTGAATGCAATTTACATGTATGTAAACACCTTTTACACAAGGACACTTTCTGATGATTTGTAATTCAAGGTAAACACAAGATAAGTCAAACAGAAAGGCGAGATCAGCTGTTTTGTAAAGAAAGCTGAATCATTTTTCTACTTTTGAATAGCCATATCCTCACACATCAATGGAAATTTTCAACACATTTTTTACAACCATCCAATAATCAAGATTTCTGAGCAAGCCCCACCCTTAAATATAGGTATTTCTTCCTTCTAAACACCAATTACTTTATACTAAAGCCAGATGACGATTGTCAGTAAACTAAGAATATTTCACAAAGCCTCTCTTAATCAGAGCTGAGTATTGCTTATTCCAAAACTATTTCTACTGAACCTGTCAGAGGAATAAGGATAAAAAGTAAATAACTCACCTGTAAAAGTGCTGCTGGTGAAGATTCTTACAATTTTTGCAGTGGTAGGTACATCCACTGATATATCCCCTTGTAGAATAGGACTGATTTGTTCAGAATCTGTTATCCTCTTCATATTCATTCGTGTTTTCTCTCTAACTGTCAGCAGCTTCATGGTCTCTTCAATTTTTTTTTCCAAAAGCTTGTAATCATCCAATATTTTCTGCCTCTTTGCCTTTTCTTCATCAGTAAGTTTTCGTTTGCCATCAGGGGTGGTCTCCCGCCCACCTACCGGAGGGCCACTACACAACAAATACATGTTACATCTATATTAATTACATCTAAAAAGAAAAAGATACGAGAATTTGGAAATCTTACCAATATCAGTATCTCATACTACCTTTAGCAGTGAAATCTGATGAAATTTCTAAATAATCAATTTCTTTGGATTGATGTCATTCAACAAGGAACCAAACATCCCCTTATTCTTCAGGCATTTTAAAGTTAAATATCTACAGATATTATTTATAATTTGATAAAATTTCTTAAACACTTAACAGGAATGATTTTTAGAAAGTTAATGTACAACCACGTACTTGAAACAGATCCAAATACATGTTAAAACAATATATATTAGGGAATATCAAAACGTTTGGAGTCTCACAAATTTTTTTTCTTTTAAGAAGGTGAAATAAGGCACATTTTTTGTAACTGCTGTTAAGAGTTGTTTAAGGGTACAAAAATGTTGGAATCTACTAATCAGACATCAATTACTGGCCAACATGTATGTTGAGTTGGAAGGGGACTATGTTGAAAAATAAAGCAATGTAAAACCAAAGAACTTGTTCTTTATGGGTGAGGCTCAAAGCTGTTCGACATCCCTCAAAATATATCTTACCCAATTAAACATACACTTAATCATTTTTAGCATACTGTTAATTGATCTTCAGGTGTACCTAAATACTTAAAGTGATATAGTATTATCTGCAAGTGAAACCAACTGAAATTCAAGAATATTTTTAACATCAATGTGTTATAGCCAAACCTTATAAATACAGTGCTGAGAGTTTAATGGTTAATGTGTGATAAAGAGAAAAAAAACATGCAAGAAAATTAGGATTATCTCCATCTCCAAGAAATAATATTCAGAGATGGCATTTCTTGTTTTACTTATCATATATAAGAGGAGTGATGTATATGGAATATCAATGCCAGGTATCAGAAGACAGAAGAAGCAATGATACAACAGGAGACATATAATGCTGTATGATGTATAGAACAGGCCTGAGGTGACACTTTACTGTAATGATTTAAAAATCAAATGAGAAATTCAGTAATCAATAACACAACACAAAATTAAGACAGAATTCATAAATACATTGGCTAAAATACATCCTATAGGAAAGAGAAAAATCTAAAAGGTTAAAAATTGTGCCGTAGTTAAACCTGTCTATATTGAACTGCACAGGTGGCGCCCTATCCACAATGACTGTAGGTATGGACTGTTGTTCTTCAATCTCCACAGATTCATCAGACGAACTACTACTATCCCAATTTATTGAATGCAATCGTGGTGAGCTGTCCTTTGTTACCAAAGGTAATTGTGGTGAGCTGTCCTTTGTTACCAAAGGTAATTGCAGCGAGTTGTTCTTAGTTTCCAATGGATATTGTGGTGAGCTGTCCTTAGTTACCAAACGTAATTGTGGTGAGCTGTCCTTAGTTACCGAAGGTAATCGTAATGAACTGCTAGTTGCGATTACAGATGCTCGTCTTGAACTGTCCTTGGTTACTACAGGTACTTTAAGTGATCTGTCATTGATTACAATAGGTACCTGAGGTGACCGAGGTGACAGAGACAACCTATCTTTACCAGCCACAGGTGCACTAGGTTTCAGTTTGTTATAACCTACAGATCTCCTTGGTGTACGATTACTAATATGTTCAGTTTCAAGAACTGGCTGCTTTTTCATGGCAGCAGGTGTACTAGTTGATCGATCTTTATCAACTACTGGTTTCGGAGGAGACCATTCTTTCACAACCAGAGGTACACGCGATGACCTGTTTACAGAGGTTTTTGTTGTTTTGCCATGCCGCCTGTAAAATATTTCTAAAAATGAGGATTGATGTAGTAAGTAACTACTCGACAATCTTATAAATGAGGATTGATGAATTGACTACTGGACAAAGTAAATTATACAAATGAATGAGGATTGATAAATTGACTGCTGGACAAAGTAAATTATACAAATGAGGATTGATAAATTGACTGCTGGACAAAGTAAATTATACAAATGAGGATTGATAAATTGACTGCTGGACAAAGTAAATTATACAAATGAATGAGGATTGATAAATTGACTGCTGGACAAAGTAAATCATACAAATGAGGATTGATAAATTGACTGCTGGACAAAGTAAATCATACAAATGAGGATTGATAAATTGACTGCTGGACAAAGTAAATCATACAAATGAGGATTGATAAATTGACTGCTGGACAAAGTAAATCATACAAATGAGGATTGATAAATTGACTGCTGGACAAAGTAAATCATACAAATGAGGATTGATAAATTGACTGCTGGACAAAGTAAATTATACAAATGAGGATTGATAAATTGACTGCTGGACAAAGTAAATCATACAAATAAGGATTGATAAATTGACTGCTGGACAAAGTAAATTATACAAATGAGGATTGATAAATTGACTGCTGGACAAAGTAAATTATACAAATGAGGATTGATAAATTGACTGCTGGACAAAGTAAATTATACAAATGAGGATTGATAAATTGACTGCTGGACAAAGTAAATTATACAAATATGGATTGATGCACAAAGTAATTACTAGACAGTCTTACTAATGAGGATTGATATTTTGACTGCTAGACATATGTAGTAGATCTTAATAGATACATAGATACAGTAAATCTTACGAAAATGTATCTAATCCTACACAAGCTTTTGTCTTCAAATAACGTAAACAAGTTTTGGTCTAGGTACTACAGATACAGAGGTATAAAATTTTATAGTCTACCTAGCTGTAACTTGTTTTTATCACTCACTATTCAAGAGCAAATTTAGTGACATCAACACAAAAATTACACAATCATATTGTACGTATACAAAATTAATATTCTTACCAACTTCAAATAATTTCTGCCCACTCAATATTCAAGCTACAGAAAAGCACTATCTTAGATCTTCATCTGACAAACAAACATTTTACAATGGATTTTTAAGTTCTAAAAGATAGAGAAGTTTTACTAGTAATACATCTTAGATTTGCTCGAGAAAGAAAATATCATTGGGTTTCTGTTAAAAATAGGTTGTGTTCACAACAGTGGATGATAAATTTGAAGCTGAGTTCACTTTTATGGTAAATGAAATGTTAGTATGAGAAATTTGAAGCTGAGTTCACTGGTATACATAGTAAACTTGTAACTCAGTCTTCAGTACATGATTACTTCATCATTCAAACATCATGTATAAGAATTGTCTCCTTTTGTTAATGAATAGGGATTGTCTCCCTTCATCAATGCATAGCTATTGTCTCTCTTTGCAAATACATGTTGTCCGTTTTTTCTTGTTTCTCTGGATTCACTTCTGTTTGGATTAAGATTATGAATCTTGCATAGGTTTGATTTAATCTTCTATCCTATTCTGGAATGTGGTCACATGTATGACTTTGGGATGAAACTTTCTGACAATATCTCCACCTTATCTGTATTGTCTGGAGAGTGTGATAACAAGACACAAGAAGCTATTGAGGTACAATAAACATCAAACAGGTACTCCAATACGATATTACAGTTATTGTCATCGATAAGTTTCATAATATCTAAAATTCCAAAATCAATCAGAATGGAAAAAAAACATGAAAATGATACAGCAGTTGTATAGGGCTACACTGTTTTGTTATGTAGTCCATGTAAGTATGAGGTTTAGATGCTAATCGCATACAAATATATATGTACATCATTGTTTAGTGTACATATATATTTTTGTAGCATGTATCACAACAGAGACATCTCTGATCTCAAGAATCAAACAGAAATTAAGATTTCATTCTGAAGTAAAACTTATCCCATTCATAAATATTTTTTTCTAAATCAATCTACATTTTTATATGATCTATCAGGGACGTATATTAACGTGATATATACGTCCCTGGATCTATAGAGTGTACATTTATGACAGGAAGTAGAAATTATTCCTAATAGTATTTAAACAAAATCTGAGACTGTTCTGAAATTACCCTCTGAGTACCCCGTTACCAACAATAACACTTGTCGCTATCTCCTTTAGATTGACAGTAAACCTAATACACATGTAATAATACCCTATTCAGCACCTGATTGAGATAGTAATACGTACCCTCCAGCTGGGGCTCCCTTCGCAGGTTTCTTACTGCCTCCCGACCCCATGTCAGCGAGATACTGACGATACATGTTGGAGTCGCTGTCTGTACACCGTGAATCTTCGCTTCCCTAGCAGCTGACTTGACCCACAATTCATCATGTTTCCTTTTTAGCCTGGTATTAATATTCTAATTATCGGTATGTCCGGTCGCTCTTCCTATGCAATCACATTGAACTGCCACGGCGTAAAAGTGTAGGGTATTCCTGTGTGTGATATAAATAGCGCCTGTCACTGGTAGTAAATACACCTGGGGTTGTCAGGGGGTACAACATATCACAACTGTGTTATACCTGTTGTTTATTGTAACCACTGAAGCTTGTCTCTTCAGTGCATAATACCTAACTATTGTACAATATGTCAAGGAGACGTTAAATTATTAATATACAAATATACACGCGACCTACATAAGAATCGTTAAGAAATTTTGGGTTAAAACTCTTGCATGTCAACTTCAGCTTTTTGATATATAAACGATTTTATACCAACATTTTTTTAAATTTTAGTGTACTTACAAGAATGTTTGACAAGACAATTACCTTAATGTTGAAAAGCACACCTCTGGAAGACAATGAATTGATGATACAACATGTATTTACGCGAGTAAAGTAGAGCTTCCCATCTAATGGTCTGTGACACCGCTATAAACGTTCCACGACTAGTAAAACTATTATGAATAAAATATGTCCAGTAGAATATTGCCCTGATTTTTTCCTGGTCATTGTCATGCAGGTAAGGCTAGAGTATCTAGTCAACGGGGTTCTTCTGACCGTTCATCCGAGATCACAATAAACTATACTGATTTTTTTTCTGGTGATTTTCATGCAGGTAAGGAATATCTAGTCAAGAAGGTTCTGACTGTCCATCCGCGATCACAATTTCGGTCGACCGCTATTTCCCTTTCACCATGTACATGGAATTAAACCACTTGGGCTTTATATAGTCTATTCAGCATTGACAGACATCAGGTTTCATTAAACTTGATACCCTCTCAATAATAAACATCTTTAATTATAATATCATATTTCAAGAGCAATTTATTTGATTTGTGCTAAATGATTCGAGGTTTTAGAAATGGACCCAAATCTCTGTGATGTAATTTAACAAGTACGTACATATGTATGCCTATCACTTAAATAAACATCAATGAAGTAGGGAAAATAGTGAAAATAATCGAATTCCATTGGCTGTGGCTAACAATGTATTCGGCGAGGCGGGTGGTATGTATACCTTTAGGAAAATGTCTTTTAATAACAAGCGACTTTATCAACATTGTCCATCGTGTATACCCACCTGAATTGGAAACAAGGCCACAACAGATTAGAGTGTGACGTTTCGATGACTACACGGTCACCTTCATCAGACTCCAAATGACCAGTGTGAAGCGTGTTAGAATTAACGTATGTAGTGTACGAGATGTGGATACCCTGATTGGGTAATCCAGAAAGTTAACAACGACTAAACACCAAGAGACGAAACACCAAGGAAAAGAATAAAATGACAAGTAGTAATCCCTCACATTATGACCATGGTATTGCAACAGCCATGAAACATCGCATTGTTTATCGGAAAAACAGACAAGAAATTCGGAGTCCGTCTTCATGAACATCAGAAAGATACGGAATCTCAAGAATGTAAAATAAACAAAAAAATAATAATAAATCACTCGACCAGAGCGGAAGCATTCTCAGTCTCAGATCAATAAATCGGCACTTGCAGATAATTCCAAAATTCCAAAGTCATATCACTAACTGGGAAATTTCTTGAATAGCAGACAGGGAAAACAACCTTGTCAGACTAAACTGACTAAACAGGGACAGGCGAGGCCACTTTGTGACCAAGTGTTAAGCCAGTTGTAGCTGGATTGACTACAGTGCATTGTTGCCATCTTCTGTAATATTTAATCATAATCTGTTAACCATGTCTGTCACACTATTGTCGACCTAAGTATACGTACGTCAGTGCTAGTAACTTCACATAGGTCATTTGTCTGATGAAGGTGACCATGTTGTCATCTTCTACTGGTTGTGCTGTAACAACTATTCTATTAATATTACCAAACTGAATGTTCCCAAATTTTTATTCTTGTATTTCTCAGTCTATTGTGTATTGTCCATTTCTATACAGAAATATGCCTGCTTCGGATCCCCAAGTCTATAACGTTTACACGTTTGTATGTCGACAACAGTGGCAGATGGATGCCAATTGCTTAAGATAATGGGGAAATGCTTTGGTCTTCATGATGTTCAAATAAAGAATATATTATTTCCTTGTGTTAAAGTATGTTATCGACATGTTTGATGCTCGTTTGTTCGGGAACATGACATTACTTACTTGGATTAATCAAGGGTCATCAATGAAGCAGAAGATGCTAAATTTTCTGCAATTCCTGGTATTTTCTCCTCGTACTTGTTCAATGGTCTACATGGAGTTAAGATCAAGTTGACATGTCGAAAATTTCATTGTTGTTATTATTAGCGGGGATGGCAAGTTAGAACCATTTTGACTGTTTTACAGCGTATGGTTTAAACCTTTTCCCCCGAGTACGAGATACAAGTTTCCAACCCCAACATCTCCTCACATATACTACTAATTACAGATTATGTCAAGTCCGTGTGACACCAACAGTAGCATAAGGATTTTAATGTTGCATGTACGAAATATATACAATGTCTTTAAGAGAATCACAGAAATACCATAATGCAATCAGTTTCTCACAGACTTATACATGTAAATCGTTTAACATATATTGAAATGTTGTATCAAATTACAACCACGGACAAACAAGTAGATACCTACCGTAGTCATGAAGTGAAATTAGACACTTTTGAATATTTCCTCCAAGACTCCATGCATTTTGGCTTTTAAACTATTCCCTCAAAAATATCCTTAAATAATATACTTATTCAGTTCAGAAATTGAGATGTGTATTAAAATCGTCCAATCTCGAGTGATATGAGAACCAGTCTGTACTGAGCGAGATTCACCGAGGTGTAGAATCGTCGTGTCATCCCTTCACAATGGTACCAATAATAGCATCGAGTCGTTCAAGGTTGATTGGCACTGACACCAGCGTCTAGAGAAATCAATGGATATCGACGAAAAAATTTGTCACAGACATTTTCATGAATATTTTATATTGCTTTCCTACCATAGATATAGTTTCCAGTTGATTAAGTGTCATATTACAAACTAGTCTATCTATAATACAGATCAAAGATGTACATTATGTCAAGTACTGATGCGCAAAGTTGAAAACCATTACATACACTTATTGAAATATATATTTTTGACAAAACAATCACTTTCCACCGATACCGAAAAATGCAATGAATTGCTATTTTGATATCAACATAGGTATTGTCGGATGAATTTGAAAATCGTTCCTTATCACATCTACAGACACTTAGATATATACCCACTTAGCGTATAAAAATAAACTTGATCTATTTTACAACTTTTACAACAAATTATCCATCTTAAAGTGATCACTCTTACTAACCCGAATTGAAGCGCGCGAGTGGTCTTACTGTGGGAGGAAACTACATGTGGTTAGGTAGGTGAACCCTCACAACATCCGTTTGGGAAATCGAACCCTTTACCACTGCGCCATCAGATTGCCCGTGTATAAAACCCTGTGGTGTGTATTTGCTTACAATACATCACATTCGTACTCTGTAACACGACATTGTCTACATTGGCAGGTATGTGGTTGTATACGATACCTCTGGGAACAGCGATATGAAATGAAACAATACTATTGTTTCAGGAACACTAGTATGATTACTGTTCCTAGATAATACGTGACTTTCTGTACTTGTTTCCATTACCAGTGAAACAGAAATACAACAATGAGATTAAACAAAACTAAAAATAACATTTAAAATGCTTAATTTGACACAATACTGATTTTAATGCTGAGTACATGATAATTATTTCGATATACCGGTCGCTTTTTCGAGCTCAATACGACTACTAAGATAACTGGGTTTCTTTTCAAATATTCAAGTGATGTCTGGTAATTGGAAAACACTGCTTGTGGACGTTCGTCTCGTAAGCTACTATATATGGTCATGACGTTCTTTGGAAACCATTCCGTATTGAAATGTATAAACAAATATTGAATCTATGTGGCAAGTACCCCTCGATATATCTATATACAGGATTATATGACATACACATAAACTTTTGTGGCGAAACCCTAACGAGATTTTCTCTGCGGTAACAGTAATAATACTAAATTTCCATTTGTAAAAGTTGTTAGAATATGTTTGAAATAAATTGATTTGAAGTCAACAAACAGGCGAGATGTTAGCTGTACATTATCACGTAGAGCGTATAAAGGATCAAACACGAACGTGGTCTGTCTATTGAAATTTGGGAGTGCGCTCCCTTTTACAGTGTATTCGCAGTCAGATAAGTGTTTATATTAGGGATAAGGCAGATGCCTTTTGACGTAGTTTCTTCATTTACATAAATAATTTACTCTTGTACTCTTACACGTTACACATTCATACATACTGATTTTTATTCAGTTGAATTTTCTATAGCTGTAGAGTATCTATCGACTCCCTTTCCTGTAAAATATCAAATAACTATACTTGAAGGATATCAACTATGTGTATATTCAGATAACTATATCATGCAACAGTTACTATAGGTGACGACTATAAAAACTTTCAATTTTAATTTGAATTGTTGAGAACTTAGTAATCTTGAATTAATTTTCTGATTTTTGTTTTTTTCGTAATTAAGATGACCTATTTCATAAATAGTGTGGTTTGGTGACCACTAGAAAAAAAAATTGAATAAATAAATAAACAAATAAAAATGATCCAGTTAATGACCAGGATATGAACACGCCTTGTATACGTAATATTTGGTTCCCGACTTTTTTAGACTTGAAAAGTTGTTAATCTTAACCAGCTCTTCAGCTCTTACTCTCATTACCTATAAATCAAATCTACAGTCTATTGTGATGTGATATACTATATAATTAATATTGATCTAAAGACCTCCAAATGGCTTTTCACCAATCATAAACACTTGTTCCTCTTCTTTTCTTTTCTACTCTGCTGTTATGTATACACATATAGGTAGCTGTATGTAAACCATCCACAGATGGTCAAAGGGGAGGTAACTTCGATAACTGTATTACATAATTGCCTTCCTTGTCTGCTGTAACTCTCATGTGTTAGGAGGAGATAAAGGAAGATAGTTGAAGAGGATGGTTGTTTTATGTATATCCCCTCTCACTACCAAGAGCCTTGTTTCCGACACTGCACACTAAAACACTTCGCTCTAAACTTGAAAGAACGCGTCTATCATCAGTTACAGAAACTTTCTGTCGTAAAATGGCGAGCTTCAATACCAATTTATTATTGCTGTGAATTAAAATTTACTGAGATAGCGTTTTTCTATCAATCCTTCATTATGTAACATTTACTTACAATGTTTATAGCAAACAGCTTCTGAAAAGCTGTACGATAACCTTGATTTTTTTCAATTCTTCGTTTGAGAAGTTTCTATATGTTGGTAGTAGTCTTCCTGATATCAATCTACGGTTAACTATGTCGCTGATTATTCGAGAGACGCAGATGTATAAACATTATGGATGATTATAGGTTTGTTTCGCCTTCATCTTATAGGGAGGTTTTCTATTTCACAATGCTGTCTGTCGTTCGACGTGTTTAGTGGTCGCTAGTGATGTCATTACTATGATTTCATCTCAAACATATATTACATATAGTTAAATCTCAGCATCATAATCAGATAGCTGGCTATACAAATCGCCTTACGTCCGCGGTCTGTGGTCCGTAGTCAGTCCCTCTGTCCGTTTTAATATTACCTCCGTGTCTTGGAAAATGTTGGACGGATCTTTCTCAAAATCATACGAAGATTGCCACTGGTTCATAGATGTGCCTATTGATTTTGGAACTGATAAAAAGAAACAAAACAAAAATACTATATCTCATTTTAAATTTGAATTAAATGGTGGTACTCATTAGTATGTTACTTGTGCAACCCTTCGTAATTGCAAGGGAGGATTCTGGTGACGGACATCTACTCGACAGTAGTTGCTGTAATCTGCATTCCACGTTTTAATTCACACGAAATATAGAATGGAATCTAAACACATACATACCGTTCGTTTGAAATTGTTCGATATTGACGGGATTATGTTTTGGGTTAAGTGCATCCCTGCATCCATTGATATATTTTTTTAACAACCCAGGTGTTACTAAGTTGCCTCACAGGCTTCGATTATTTAGACCTTTAGCTTCACTAAAGCTTCCTAAAAGGACGAAAGGACCGAAAAGCTGTATAATGTAGCTTAATTTCGCTATACATGATCAAACTCCAAATTTGTACTGCAAAGTGTTATTCACTTCTTTGTCTTTAGTACAATTATTGGACTTGCACAGGTTTACAAGATGAGTGTCATTTACGAAGTAGAAAACGTTTATCATGAGGGACACCTGGACTTATCCCTCTAGAATCCTATAGCAATTTCAACAATGCCCATGCCATTTCCACCCGTTATGTATATTGTGATTACTATCACAATTTACCCACATGCATGCTCTGTATTGTTTCCGTAAAATAATCATCTTGTAAGAACTTAGACATTTATCTATATATTAATGGTAGTAGTGAAACAGGAGGACACAAATGAGACGGATGGAGTTGTCATTTAATTGGCAGTTTTGACGTTAAGGAATGGTATGGAGACTGAAAACGGTGGCCATTTCGCTAAAAATTAACCCATGACCATGTTTAAGTAATTCTTTACCAATCAATCTGTTCAGGTCTTTAAAAAATGAAACAGGAGGGCACTTGAACTGAATGTTTGTTCAAATAGGTATCAAAGCTTCTGTCTCAGCTTACTATTTCTTTATCACAAACATTCCTGAAATAGAACATACCTTCATTTTACAATCAGTGACCTCGAAAAGGTAACCGCTCTGTTTATCTTATCAAATAATACATACATGTCGTAAAGGTCGAACATTGGTTCGATAGTACTTCTATGGCCTGCGTTTGAAGACATACAAAGGTAAGTCGTTCTTCAACAATAATAGACCAATAGTGTGTACTACCTGCTATTTCAAAAATTGTACAAGACACATACGTGAATAACGCCTTTCGATATAAATTTAGCAGTGCTGCACTTCTCATTGCGCAACAGACGTCTTCTAGATATGCGCAAGAAGAAATATTCTCCTTTATTCATTTACGTCGGTGTGTTTGAATTTTCGCAATTTTCACAAAAGCATAATATTTTTCCAAGATCAAGACGTAACATCTTTGATATATGACGGTATGTCATGACAACCTTTGTTGAATTCTACCCAAGACTTTCAGAGTTATATATTAGAGGTTTGCCATAGCAATAGAAAAGTCTTCACAAAATTTAGTAAAACAAGTAAACTTGTTACAAAGTCGTACCGAGCGCTCTTTTTTGACCATAGGTACAACTTTAGATATAGGACACATTTATACCTCCATGAATTAGAGAAAATGATTAATGACTCGTTATGCAAACGTCCGATAGTTTCATTGAATTTACTATGCAAATTTCATCTCGTTATGATTAATTAGAAATGTTGTTTACAGCTTGTTTGATTTGTTTTGTAATGTATAATGGTTTATAAGGGTCAGCACGATGAAACGATTGGAATGCTATATGTCGGGAACCAATCAGAACTGCGCATAACCTCAAGAATGTTCCTACGTCAACCTATATAGCAAAATTCTTACCAATCATGTGGTTTCAGAGTCGGGTCATACAACACCAAAGCTGAAGTTTCGTCTACTCCAAATCCACAGTATTACTATGTAGCATTAAACCGAAAATAAATTACTTTCACAGAGACATTCTGTTGCAACTTTCTTATTTGTAGATATATCATTTCGGAATGGGGCCCTGTCGAATTGTTCTTCAGATACTGGCCATTCTTTCGATGTCAGGCGGAATCGAAGTGCAACATATGCACACAAAGCTTGGGGACATTGTTGGTGTTGTCGAACAAGTTCGGAATGAGAAAGTATACCAGTTCCGGAACATTCCATACGCCAAACCACCCGTCGGAAGTCGGAGGTTCACCAAACCGGAATTGAGCGGTCCTTGGGCTGGTACCCTAAATGCCACACAGTTTGGGCCATCTTGTATCCAACCGATGTCACCACCCCCTTATCATAAATACTTGCCAAATTTAAACCAATCAGAGGACTGCCTAATTTTGAATATATATGTACCACGTGATATATCTCCGAGTACCAGGAAGTCGGTGATGGTATGGATACATGGAGGTGCTTATATCGTTGGCCAAGGTATGCTTTATGACGCGTCATACCTGGCCTTAACGGGTGATGTTGTTGTGGTAACTATCAATTATCGGTTGGGGCTGTTTGGATTCCTCAGCACACCTCATACGAATGAGCTAAAAGGGAACTACGGTCTCTGGGACCAACGCCTGGCACTGCAATGGGTGAAGGAAAATATAGACAACTATGGTGGGGACCCAAATTCTGTAACCATATTTGGGGAGTCTGCTGGAGGATTTAGTGTTTCTTTACAAGCGATAATACCCCAAAACCAGGGACTTTTCCAGCGAGTCATTGCACAGAGCGGAAGTGCCTTTTCAGCTCTTTCCTACATTGATAGTAGTAATATGCATACGACTGCAAAGCTTGTGGGCATTCATGTTGGATGTGCAAACACTTCCGGTATCCCAACTACATACGCTGGATGCATGCGTAGAAAATCTGCAGACGATTTAGTTGCGGCACAAGAGGCAGTAACTGCATCTAATCTCCCACCTTTCACTATTGATGGCGTTTTTGGACCGATAATTGACTATGATATTCTTCAGTCGTTCCCCAAAACCTTATTAACAAACAAGTCATCGGAAACATTTCAATTCTTCCAAAATCTCGACTTTATGACTGGAAATGTAAATGCAGAAGGCTCAGTTTTCCTGAGTTTATTAAAACAGATATCGAAATATGATAAATTCGACCTGAATATCGGAATCCCTACCGAAGTATTTTGTAACTTAATCGTACCAACTTTTGTGAATACCTTCTTCAGCTCTCAAGTTAACAGCACTTTGCCAAGTGACTTAATATGCTCCCTTTATGGAACTTCTTCGGAAGGCCAAGAAGGTGATAACGCCATTGACGTCTTCTCAGATGCGTTTTTCATTACACCTACGATAAAATCCCTCATAGCACATTCCGAAGGCAATCTCCGAAAATCAACGTACCAATATATATTTAAACGCCCGGTGCCAGATCCAGACTTTAAAGTACACCTGTCTTGGTGGCGAAACGACTCTTCAGCTCATGCTTCCGAGCTATCATTCTTGTTCGGTCTTGAAGATTTCCAAACCAAATTTAACATGAGCGTGAGTCCCGCTGATATCAGACTCTCGAAAATCATGCTGAAGTATTGGACAAACTTCGCCAAAACTGGGTAATTATTTGAGCTAAAAAGAAGAATTGCACGTTTATTTAACACATTGAAACATTGAAAATCAAACATTTGTATATTCAACTTTCACATATAAATATAACAACTGATTTACAATGGCATCTATATAAGGGTTATATCTTAATCTTTGTTGTGTTAACCGCGTTTTTAAGTTCAGAGTTCCCAAAAATTCTACATTATTTATCTCTACACTTTTCAGAAATCCGAACTCTAATGACGTTCCGATGTGGAGTGCCTATAATGCAGCACAACAGGGTTATGTTGATCTAAATACGACTATCACCTCAGGTCAACACCTGTATGGAGAATGGATCAGTCTATGGTTAGATCGACTACCAAAACTACTCCTCACCCAAGAGCCTAGTGGTGCCATTGGGAAATAATGTTGTTAGTCTCAGCGAAAATAATTCCATGGCATTCTATTATTAGTTTGAATACACGATTGGAAATAAATTGCATTTCAAATAACTGGCCTACATTGCGAAACATCAATAATGATGCATCATGGCACACATACAGGAACAGCATGAGCAGGTATTAAACCATTTCTAATATCATTCGTAATTAAAGCAAAAGACAAAACGCTTCAGTACTGGTGATCTATGCTGCTTGTGATCTAATCATTTACTTAGCCGCCGTTAAATAGTTTGGTGAAGACACAAAAGCATCTCCATGGCTGCCCTCTTGTTTGTGTGGGATGAGACCCGCAAGGTTTTCAGAGCCTTAAAGAACATAAATGACTGCGATATTGATACAGAATAAAATTAATTAACGATAGAGGATAAATTGTCGTTATGAATAAAGTAAACGACATAGTGTTTTGATTTATTTGCACATTGTTTCAGATATTGAGAATCTATTGCCGTTTGGCGCCTTTGTAATTCATTTAAGTATTGTTGCAATTGTCGCTCTATTGTATGCATAGTCCTTGACTTTTAACAGAGAAAACAATTGTCATCCAATAACAATCAACTTGTTGGTGTAGACAATGAACAAAGCTGTTAGTTTAGAAATCGAAAAGAGTTGTGGTTAGAATTCATTCCTGTGGGACTTCCATGTCCTGTTTTGGTGTATCGTAGAAAGTTAAGTTAGAAACTGAAAAACATGCATAAATAATTATATGAAGTTATTTCATGATACTATATTGAGGAGGTATTACATGCTTTTTTCATATTGGAAAACACGTATTCTAATCTTCCGTTTTAGCGATTGATTTTCGAACTAATATTTTCAGTCATAAACATCATCTACCGTTTGCCAGAACAGAAGCAAAGAATGGCTCTGATTTGACGGACACTCTGCTGTTGTGGGACTTATCATATCACAGATACAATGAGATTACTAGTCCCCACATTTCACCTTTCCTATTAGCAGTTATTTTACGATCTTAAATAAATGTATCATGACTGAAACCTGCATTTGTGCTATGCCGAATTTTTAGATTGCAAAGTAAATATATATATCACAGAATGAATCAGATGAGTAGCGTTGAACTGCATACTAGTATTGTAAAGCGCCTTGCAGTGAACAGGAAACCTTCTTGTTCTTATGTTTCGTTTGAAGATGAATGTATGTTGGCTAAATCGTAGTCTGTATATTAATTGCCCGTAAGCAATATAGTTTCCATTATTTCATTAAGAAGAAGAGCTCGACGGTCATTTCAAAATTTATCTCTCTGTGAATCAAAACAACACAGCAACACAACCAGCAGTATTAGTAGTTTTGTAACAGCTATTAATGATAAAGGCATGTTGTGTAGCTTTTGTGGAAGACGGCACATGATCAGTTATTTGCATATATCATATTTAATAAAGTACATAAATTTATATTTCACAGTAGGCCCGGATGTAATCATCATACGGTTTGAGCTTCAAATGTGATTTCAGTTTTTATAATGTGAATTTTCCATTTCTGGATAGATCTTTCCTGCATTCCCAACCTATGATATTTTATTTTTTCAGACAATGAAAACTCGATTACGTGACTGTTAGTTTTACGGTGGATTTATTTACACGACAATAAGCATATAAAACAAATATGTCACCATATTACTTTTACTATCAGGGTCACTTATAGATACATTTTTATTAATTGCTGATCCAGATTTTGTCAATTTGAAAGTAATAAATAATTTAGTCGTATACACCCAACCGTATTTGAAATCAAGTATATGACAGACTCTTCTACATCTGCCTCTTATCTCGATCTTTTTCCTAAATCGAAACCAGCGTGGACAGCTTTCAATCAAGCTATATGATAAATGTAGTTCAGTTTCCTTATTGTGAGTTTTAAAGTTCTGTATTGTTACATCCCTGCATCCCTAACCTATAGTGTATACATGTCGTAGTTGTTTCGACATTCAATGCCATGTTCCCATTATCACAATTTGAAGTTATCAATTAAAAGATGCAGTTTGATAAAAAATATGGGGACGTGTTGCGGTCGTCATAGTCACCTCATTAAGAGACATACACCTTTGGTGTTTGATTCCGTTTTTTTGTTCTCATCCGATAACATGACATTATCTACTTGGATTGGCCAAGGTTTACATGGCTGGGGGGTCGTCGATGACTACACGGTCACTTTCATCAGACAAATCAAATTTGTTTGATGAAGGTAACTAGGTAGTCCTGAAAACTTCTCACTCCAATCTTCTAATCTTCTTGTAATGAGAGCTTCTATTCTGTCAATATTACCGACCGGAGGAACAGTTCTGAAGTACTTCAATCCGTTTCACAAATCCTATTTAGAATCTGACATAAATATGCGACTAACTGAAAGAAAATCCAAATATAACATTTTAGATTGCTGCAGAAAATCAATAGCGTTCTTGTATTCTTAAAAATATAAAAACAAAAAACTATAAAGGTTATCAAGTTACCCTCCCGTTCACCAAACGCTGGCTGATTATACAGATATATTTCAGTTACTAATATATTTTGTAGAAATCTCTGGATAACATTTTGTAGTGCAATAAGTCGGGTATGAAATTCAAAGATTGTCTCACAGAAAAAAAAACGAATTCCTTCACTTTACTTGTTCATTTCAATTTCGTAAAACGCTTTATACAGCATCTTAAACATTTATCAGTTGAAAATCCATCATTTGGTTTTAAGTTGTACAGATGCCGCGTCTGTCGAAAGAAGACAGGGAAATGACTGATGGTATACTCCAGGTCGGCGCAACGCACGCGAAGTTGCAAGACGGTTTTTTGGTGCAGCCCAAAGACGGAATTTCATTCAAGGCAAAGTTATAATGAAACAGCTTCGACATTCGACCATCCCAGGAACAGCCGATCATGAGTTTCCACTCTCGGTGGAGACCGTCTGATACTGCTTCAGTGCTAGGATTATGGTCAGGAGTAGAATCTGTAGGAGCCGCAAAACACGCTTGGGGGACATAAAACGCACATTGACCTCTCAATGATACGCTAACAATGTTCTTCTCTTAACCTCCTCTCGTGTATCCTTCAGTTCTAATGGTATTTTTCAACAAGATTAATATTCGGTGTCATACAGCGTGACGTGCAATGGACTATCTTCACCAAATCAATGTCTATGCATTACTTGATCTCTCTAAACTCCCTATCTCTAGCCAGCAGACCATATGTGGGACATACGTATGCCATTGACGAACTTGAACGTGCGAAATTCACTGTGCAGTAAACTTTACGCATAGCAGAATTCGAACCATAACAAATGCTAACGAGGACATACTTTCAATGGCTGCACTGTGTTATTTACTAGAATAGATCTGTATCTTCAAATGGTTGTAGGATTGAAACGGTATACATTTCAATAAACCTGATAAAATTATTGAAGGTTGCATTTCTTTTGAGAATCATACCCCCAATCATAACAATCAATTAGATGATGATGATCTGGATGACTTGTTCATGGATGGGATATTCTTGTATTTATGCTATGATGATGATGATGACGATGATGCATGTTACATTTAAGGATTGATTGTCTATTTTGTTGCTTGCATGGACTGATGAAGGGAAGTGAACCTCGTGCAAATGAAGTGAACTGCGAAGCACTTCATGTACCATTTGCAGGAGGTTCACTTCCCTTCATCAGTCCATGCAAGCAACAAATTATACAATCAATCCTTACCAGGGCTGAGTAAAATCTCAGGTAACTGGACAGCAAATTCTCCTAACTCGGTTGATTCTATATCGGAAGAAATATCTGAGCTGTCGCTGTAATCCCCCATGATTGAGCAGACGACCGATGATAGATACAGCGGCTGCAACTGTATTAATTCTTTGTTCAATATTGAGGATATACAGATTATATGATGTTAAAAGGTGTAAAAGCAACACAAACAATCAGAATAATATTTTCATTGATGTAATGACACACAGGTATTGTCTCGTACCTACGTGACCTACAAACGTGTAGACGGTATAAAAACAGATCTCAAGAGTAAACAATGTATTCCTACGCCGACAGAAAGTGATTCGTCGCTCAGAAAAAAGCACGCGACCCACTTCTTTCATTGGGAAATGCAACGAAGTGACATTACTAGTTTCATTGAGGCGGAGCGAAGTCAAAATGTAAATATATCCTTATGTGCGTATATTTTATCGTGTATGAAAGCAAGTATGTATGCTGTCTAGACTGTCTGTTGGGAAAATGAAAAAAAAAATCAAAAACAAAACCAATTAGATTACCGCATTTGCGTGTTTTTCAAAAACAAAATACAACCATTATACTGTATCACCGTTCTTTTCCTTTCCTTTTTTAATAGACATGGACATCTCTACCATGAAGGTATGTAATAATAGTTTATACGGCCTTGGGAGGGACTATCATTATTGATGTCTAATGAGAAAAAGTAAAAAACAAGGGTGACTGAATATAATGTCATAGTGTCAAAACTGAGAGAATAAAAACAACCGAAAGATGATTGTCACAGTAAAAGGATGATATGGAACCGTGATTGGTTTGACATGCTTTAACACTTACCAGATACACAGTTTATCAAATGATAAATACATCTGAATATGATGTAGTGTGATCGATCAATTATGATTTTGTAAGCGTTGTTGGCTAGAAACAAAATAGTTCTTAAAACCATACTTGTTCAAAGTCTAATATATCATAAGAGCATGGAGGTCTGTCGTATCGCACTTCCTTTAATGGACATTTATTCAACGAAACGCAGGATAGAAGAGCAATATTCAAACATTCCATACGCTAAACCACCCATTGGCGCTCTGAGGTTCGCCAAATCAAAATTAATTAGTTCATGTTCTGGAACATTGACTGCGGCGTGATTTGGACCATCCTGTATGCAACCGAAACTAACACCGTTTCAGAATTGTTTGTAAAATTTAACCAAATCACATAACTGCCTAATATAAAATATCTTAGGCCAAGATATGTATTTTGACGGGTCATGCCTGGCCTTAACGGGTGATGTTGTTGTGATAGCTACCAATTATCGGCTGGGCCTGCTCAGATTCTGATATGCAAAGCTGCTCGGTATTCAACTTGGTTGTGCAAACACTCCCGGTATTCCGAAATCATATGCAGGATGCATGCTTGGAAAATATACAGACGATTTACTTGCTGCACTGAATAAAGTCTTTCACCTCTCAACATTGATGAAATGATAAGACCAGTCATTGACTATGACTTTCTTCACTTATCACTAGAATATGTTATGAAAGACAGGACGTCTGCAGGTTTTCAATTCTTCCAAAACCTGACGTCTTCTCAAATGTGCTTTTTATAACCACAACGATAAAGGCATTCATAGCTCATTCTGACGACAACGCTCGAACATCAAGGTATCAGTACATATTCAAACGTAAGGGACTGGAGCCGAACTTTCAAGAATACCCGATTTGGTGGCGAAACGACTCTTCAGTTCGTGGCTCAGAACTCTTCTTCTTGTTCAATATTTAAGATTTTCCTACCAAATGTAACATGAACGTGCGACTCGATGATATCAGCTTCTCAAAAAACATGCAGAAATACTGGACAAACTTCGCCAAAACTGGGCAGATATGTAAACGTGCGACGTAAAAGATAATTAACTACCTATTAGATAAAGACATTTGATTGGTTAAATACTTGAGGAAGATATTTCGTTTTTGTCCGTGCAAAAACTGGTAATGATATTAAACCATTAAGAAGCTGTTTTTCATATTTTCCAGGAATCCAAACTCAAATGACGTCACGATTTGGAGTAGCTATGACGCAGTTAAACCAGAGTTATGTCGATCTTGATGCTACGATCACCTCTGGAAAACACCTGTATAGAGATTCGACCAGTCTGTGGTTAGATCGGCTGCCAAAATTACTGCACACTCAAGAACCCGGCGGTGCTATTGGCAAATGATATCTACATTGTTATCGTTTATTCAAAAAACATTCATACGTTATCACAATCCTATTTAATGTTTGTCTGATACACACATTGAAACACACTACAATGAGTATATTTTAATTGAAAGTGTCAGTTCGATTATCGACAATGATGACATTCTTGATGTTTGTTTACGTAATACATACTTTTTTCAAGGACGGAAACTAAATGATTAACTAGTAATTAAAACAGCGATGAAATCCCATTCATGATACTTTTGCCTAAATTATTTTCACTGAAACATGTGGCAGTTCTTTAATGTCATAAAAATATACCAATTTAAATGACCTGGTGACCCTGACGGCGAATTGACGCCATGCCAACGGGGTTTTAAAATTGAAACAAAAAAGAGAAAAGAAGCAAAACAAGATTGCCATGATTTAAAACGTGAAGAAAAGCCGTGACAATTATGACAATAATGACAATTTGCATTGTTTAAAATATTCAATTCTAACTAGAATTGACCAACAAGGTAACAAAATTCATAGGTATAATCTTTACAAAAGTTGGTTAAAGACACTTCCAAACTGTCAGCTGGATTTAATTTAAGTTGTGGTTTAAAAGCACTTCCAGCATAAATAGCTGTCTGTGTTTACAGTATTTCCTATTTGAGGTATTCATGAAATCCATTATGTCCCTACCCTTTTCCGAAAACAGTACAGTTTTCATTGATAAATAAAGATATGCTCTGAAATATCAGTAATGCTACATGCAATGTAATTTTCGTTGTATTCGATATGTATTTTCACTGACGTCAAGCCATAAGAAGTATTTATTTTATAGTCTAGGTAGGATGGTTTCATACCATGAATGTTTAATATGGTTAAACATTGATACCGAAAAAAGAAAAACAAAACTTCCTTTCTTACCTACATAATTTATCATTAGGGATCAGCGATGTTACACCTATCTTTTGTAGATGTTTACCTCATGTTGGAAACATTACACTTATACATACAATGAGACAATACAATATCGGCCATTCACCGATATTTCACAATCGTACATAACAGATTGGAACGGAAGAACATACTGGTAGCAATTGTAATTGTAGTAAATACTTCTTGTTATTTTCTCAGTTTTATCCCCAGTTATACATATTCTTTTTTTTTTTTTTTTTTTTTTATATATATATATATATATATATATAGAGAGAGAGAGAGAGAGAGAGAGAGAGAGAGAGAGAGAGAGAGAGAGAGAGAGAGAGAGAGAGAGAGAGATGTTTTCCGTGTTCCTAGACATATGGTTTGTTGGATTCTACATAAATGTTCAATGGCGTCGTTCAAAAAACGTCTGATGCCAGTTGCAGACTTAAATTGTGGTTAGGACCAGCTTCTGAAGTTTCGATTGGCCTACTGACCCATATACTATGGAACCAAAGTCAAGTTTGGATGTAATGAATGTCCGATAAAAGGGTCACGATGACCGGAAGATATAGTTAGCTTAGGGGAAAGTCTCGAAAGCATTCTTGAAAATATATAACTTAACATGGAAACTTGCATTGTCAGCTTTACCACATGTGATACAACAAATTCTGCGAAGTGGTATCATAAGATCGCGTCAAAAAAACACTGTCACAAAGTGTTCCGTTATAGAGAATGATATAAGGTGCGGGAAGCTGAATAAGGAGATCGCTCAGGTTATCATTATTAAATGCAATTTTAGGAAGGAAGTGTAAAGAGCATATCGTTATGTCATGTTTCACGCACAGCCTTAGTTCTTTACACTATTGGATTTTTTTTTATCAGAAAACCTTACAAAAATAGAATTGAAAGTCATTTCAATGACCTCTGCAAATTTGCATGGTTCCGTTTATCTTGTTAAACAATGCCAACTTATTCCAGGCTTCTCTCCTGTGTTCAAATGCAGACAAAGGTAAGCTATACTCCTTACCAATATTCGCTTTGCTGGTGACATAACACATTGAATAACGTTTGTAAATTTCGATATGTTCAAGTGATAATAATAACTCATTTCAGTCACAATAAATTGAGAAAAAATATCAACATAATATCATAACCTACAAAAATGGTATATTGCATGAAACTAAACCAACCAGTCATCAAGCAAAGTTTGAATTCTTCAAAAGATCAGATCTCCAAAATTTGCCAGAATATTGTCGCACAGATTAATTTGAACAAAATTGAAATATATGTCAAATACAGAGATAAAATTTGTTTGCATTATCTTTCTTTAATTAATGTATAGTAAATGAATTGCCATAATTTTGTAAACATTCCAGGTTAGATATTGATATAATGTACTTTTCTTGATATATCATTTACAGCGTTGGGACTGTCGACGTTACCGAATTTCATCTACATTGACAATGATAGTTTCGATAGGCCACAAATAGAAAAATACCTCAGAATACAATGCAATAGCTTTGGTCGAATCTCTTATCATTTTGAATGTTTTCTATACTCGACACAAAGTAGTTAAAATCATACTTGTTAAAGTCTAATATCTCTTTGCAGCATCATGGTGGGTCGGTTAGCACTATTTCTACTTGTCATTATTTCCACGACACGCGGGATAGAGGTGCAACATATACTCACTAAACTCGGGGACATTGTAGGTGTTGTCGAACAAGTTCGTAATGAGAAAGTATATCAGTTCCGGAACATACTATACGCTAAACCACCGATTGGAGCTCTGAGATTCAGAAAACCGGAATCAAATGGTCCTTGGTCTGGTACCTTAAATGCGACCAAATTTGGACCATCGTGTATGCAACCTATACAAACTTCATTTCAGAATTTTTTGCCAAATTTAAATAAATCTGAGGATTGTTTAATTTTGAATATTTACGTTCCGCGCGATATTTCCTTCAACAATAACAAATCTGTAATGGTATGGATTCATGGAGGAAGTTATGTAACAGGGCAAGGTATGTTTTATGACGGGTCATACATGGCCTTGACCGGTGACGTTGTCGTGGTAACAATCAACTATCGACTGGGGCTGTTTGGATTCCTCAGCACACCTTACGCGGGTGGATTACATGGGAACTATGGCCTCTGGGATCAACGTTTGGCACTTCAATGGGTGAAGGACAATATAGACGATTATGGTGGAAATCCAAATTCTGTTACCATATTTGGAGAGTCTGCCGGGGGCTTTAGTGTTTCATCACAAGCAATAATGCCACGTAATGAAGGTCTGTTTCAGCGGGTCATTGCACAGAGCGGAAGTGTTTTCTCAAAGTTGTCATACGTTGGCATGATTAATATGCATATGACTGCAAAGCGCTTGGGTACATATGTTGGATGTGCAAATGCTTCCGGTATTCCCGTAACTTATACAAGATGCATGCGTGGGAAATCTGCAGATGATTTACTAGCGGCACAGAATATATTGACTATGCCTACTCTGCCATCTCTCACATATGATGGCGCTTTTGGACCAGTCATTGACTATGACTTTCTTCACTCGTCACCAGAACAGATCCTGGTAAACAGGACGTCTTCAAGCTTTCAGTTTTTCCAAAACCTCGATTTTATGACCGGAAATGTTAATGCAGAAGGTTCTATTTATCTAAATATATTAACACTTTTATCAAAATATGAACAGTTTGATTTCAATGTTGGCATCCCTACCAATGTGTTCTGTAACTACATCGTCCCGGTTTTTGTAAATTTTTATTTTGGCTCTCAAGTTAACAGCACTACACCGAGCTATCTGGTATGTTCATTTTATACGTCCTCGTTGGAAAGCCCAGGTTACAATGCCATTGACGCCTTTTCAGATGCATTTTTCACAACGCCAGCAATAAAAGCACTCATGGCACACGCGGAAGGCAATACCCGAACATCAACGTATCAGTACATATTCAAACGTCCATCGCCTATCCCTCCAGTTAAAGAACACCCGCCATGGTGGCGAAACAACTCTTCAGCTCATGCTTCCGATCTCTTCTTCTTGTTCGGTCTTGAAGATTTTCAAACCAAATTTAACATAAGCGTGAGTTCCGCTGATGTAAGCCTCTCAAAAATAATGCAGAAGTATTGGACCAACTTCGCCAAAACTGGGTAATTATTTTATCTTTTGCAGAAAGGATAAGGAGGCTGTATTTCCTAAGACATTAGATTGGTAATATTTAGCTAATTAATGTATGTGTTTAAAGATATCAACGAGACGTAGCAGGTGTAGTTGTGAGTCAATCACTTATCTAATAACAACATCATGCCATAGGCTACTCTGTATTTACACTGTTCCTAATGATATTAAACCATTAAGAAGCTGTTTGCCAAATTTTCCAGGAATCCGAACTCTGATGATGTCCCGATGTGGAGTGGTTATGACGCAGTACACCAGAGTTATATCGATCTTGATGCTACGATCACCTTAGGTCAACATCTGTATGAAGATTCGACCAGTCTATGGCTAAAGAGACTGCCAAAGTTAATCAATACCCAAGAGCCTGGATGTGGTATTGGCAAATAATTTTTTAGTTGTTATCCTCTATAAAAAATAAAGCAGTGGCATTCAAATGCAAGGGCAATGATGATTTATTATATTTTCTAGTTAAAATAAATCTTCGTCTTATAAACAGCAATAACATTTATTGACACAAATGGTGATTACCTGAATAATAATAAGACATACAATCAAAAACGCGGACAACATCTAAATTCATTCTGGACATTGATGAACGAAAGCAAAAACGGGATGGTTTACTTACGTTAAAAAAACTCAGGAAAAATAAAATCGGAGAACGGCAAAATTCTTCTACATAAACACATGTAAATTTCAGTCAATAGTATCAGACTTCAAATTAGAACCATGTTTTCAACAACGAAAACACCAGAGGCATATTTGGCGTTATGTGGTGTAACACAGTTCCCAACATTCTACTTTAATTTATTCCACTCTCAGGGTGTTGGATAAATATAAGTGATATTCCACTAGTGGTATATGGCCTTCCGGATACATGATTGGTGAACTTTGACCAGAACTACTTTTTTCACTCATGTGATTTGTTCCACGTGCGATTTGTTTGATATCGTCTGCTGTCAACATGGCTGAACTGAATAGGCTTTAGGTGAATGTTATGGATGTTATCCGATCTAAACAATAAAAAAACCTGAAACGTGAGGGCAAAGGGAATCGTGAAAACACGGCTGATGCTATATCCGATGACGAGATCGACAAATTATACGAATCTGGACAGAAAGGCTGTATAAATGCCGAAAGTTTGCTTAGAACAATTTGGTTGAACAATACGGTATATTTTGGAATGTTACCGAAACCGAGACATGGGGTGATGTGAAATTATGTAAAGATTCTGAAAGTAATGAATATCTTGAGTTCCGAGAGCGTCAGACTAAAACTAGACCGGGTTCCAACCCCAAATATGTTAGAGAAGTTCCTCCGCATGCCTGGGCTACCCCCGACAACCCATCACGATGCTCTGTCGCAACTTATAAACCCTACCAAGTAAATCGCCCGCTTACGTACCGTAACCCTGAAGCCCCCTACTATATCGTAACTAATACAAACTGTGACAAATCAAGCAAGTGGTACAAGTCTCAACCAGTTGGCGTTAACAAACTAGGGACTTTTATGAAGACTATGGCAGAGAATGCAGATAAATGAGACTGGAATGTAAACAAAACCCAGTGTATGTTTACAAATCCTATACTCCACCCCTTTTACGTCAACTTACGTCATTTATACATTGTTGTACAGTGCACTTGCTTACACCTAGGCCTAACATTGTAGCCTTTCCATAATTTTAGTCGATTGAAGTCAAAATTAATCTTTTGAGCATAATTCCAGTCCAAAGTAATAAATTTCTTTAATTATTTCGGATGTCGCAATGGTGCATATATAGGCCTAGATTAAATTGCTTGTTATTTATTCAGTTCATATTCGGAGTTTAGATTTATGCCTGTTTTTTATATAACCAGGTCTGATCAACAAGTCTGGGAGTAACGATAACGGAAAAAGACAAAACACAGTGCCAGGAAGTACCTTGTACAAAAACTCAATGACAAAGGATAACCCCCAAATCAGATTATTCAGGTACAAACAATTTTCACATTGAAATATCTCAACTTGATCATTAGGGTCTACAATCGTTACGAGTAAATGGACACTTACCTTGTTTAAAGAAATTAAATCCCAAACAGTTTAACACTAATATAAATTTATAAAAAAAAAAATCTCCTGCTTTCATAATACAGGGCAATGCATCACTGTCTGGCTTAGAGAAGACAATGACTAGATCTCTACTTCCATTGGTCCTATAAAGCGTTGCCTAATTATGTAATTCCCTGCATCCTCAAGATTTCCGGGCACAAGAATATCCAGAGTATCAACAGTTACTCAACTTTAAACACCAACCAGCACCGGATGATTTCAAGAGCGATATTGTCATGCTTGGATCATTTTGGTGACAGGCCTTTCACTAAAGCTAATAGCACATCTAGTGCAAGCGTCATCGTCAGACCTCCAAATCCTGAATCAACTGTGTCTGCAAATCCCACCGGTACCCTTACTTCAGTATTTGCAGGTCCTATTCACGGTGGTTCATTCACAATAAACATTAACAACACAAACGTCTATAAACGTCCCAGACCAAGGGTGCTGTACTCTGATTCTGACAGTGATTGAGTTTGAAGTTTCCGGCTGGAACCAGAAGACACCACTATATGTGACTGTATAAAAGCGCGCCTAGTATAGTCCGCGATTTTCTACGATTATGTAGACAATTAATCGTCATTGTTTTATTATGTGTAAACTTTAAAATTGTGAAAATAATAAAGAAATAAATTATTTATCATAATATTTTTTAATGTTTAATGGAGCCTTTTCACTCCGAATGATATCTCTACGCCATATTTGCATATGTCAGCAAATTGTTTACAAACGTATACATGTGTTGGTCTTAGCCTACCGCCTGTGATCTCGAAATATGAATGAACTCGAGTGAAATAAACGTCGTATCCAACAACCATTCGTTGTGTAATATCTATATATATATATATTTGTTGTTATGTGGTTAAACATAATATATTTTTGGTGTTATGTGGTGCAACACAGTATATATATTTGTTGTGAGGTTGTTAATCATAATATATAGTTTTGGTGTTATGTGGTTAAACATTATATATATATATATATATATATAGCATTATGTAGTGTTACACAGTATATACATTTGTTGTTATGTGGTTAAACAAAACATAAATAATTTGTGTTATGTGGTGTAACACAGTATATATATTTGGCGTTATGTGGTTAAACATAATATATATATCTGGTGTTATGTGGTGTAACACATATATATTATACTTATGTATATATATCAAGCGTTAACCAATAACCACACCTAAGTAATTCTTTACCAATCATTCTATTCAAGTCTTTAAAGAAGGACACTTGAAGTGAATTTCTGTTAAAATTGGTATCAAAGCTTCTGTTTCAGCTTACGATTTCTTTATCACCAACATTCCTGAAATAGAGCATGCATGCATTCATTTCACTCTAGGTGACCTTGCAAAGGTAACCTATCTGCTTATCTTATCAAATAATACATTCATGTCGTAAAAGGTCGAACATCGGTTTGTAAGTACTTCTATGGCCTGCGTTTGAAGGCAGACAAAGGTAAATCGTCCTTTAACAATAATAGACTTTTTTGTATCGGTGATGATTTTTTGAAACGTTAGAGATGGAAGCCGTACAAAAGACGCACACGTAAATAACTCCTTTTAATACAAATTTAGAGTTAGATACAGTAACGCACCAAGTATGAAATTTTAGGACTCGTCAATGACACGAAAAGCCTAAATTTTGAAGTCTAGGAGGCGTCTTCAGAATATGCGTAATAAGAAATATTCATTAATTCATTTTCGTCGCGGTGTTTGAATTTTCGCAATTTTCACAAAAGCAAAATATTTTTCAAAGATCGAGACACTAAATTTGTGATATGTGACGATAATTCATGACATCTTTGACTGAATTCTACCCAAGACTTTCGGAGTAATATTTTCAGTAAAGATTTATCGTAGCAACAGAAAGGCGCTGAAACTGAATCCTGATGTCGCATAGCCGTCATAAAATTTAGTCAACAAGCAAATTTTCTATTGAAGTCATAATGAGCGATCTTAATTTATCTATAAGAACAACTTTAGATAAAGTACACATTTATACCCCCATGAATTAGAGTAAGTGATTAATTACAAAGTTCAATTGTTTCATTGAACCTACTACGTAAAATTTCATATTTGATACCTTCGAAATGTTGTTTACTTGTATGGCTGAAGTGTACTGCAATTTCGCGAATTTACAGCTTGTTTGTTTTTTTATGTAAAATGGTTTATAAGGGTCAGCACGATGAAACGCATTGTCGAAAGAATGTTCTTACGTCAACCTATAAATCCTGAATTTTTCACCGAGCTTACAAGCCATAAGGTTTCAAAGTCAGGTCATACAACACCAACGCTTAAGTTACTCCAAATCCACACTATTGCTTTGTACCATTAAACCGAAAATAGATTACTTTCACAAAGACGTTCTTATTTGTAGATACATCATTCCAGAATGGGGCCCTGCCGAAATGTTCTTCTGATACTGGCCATTCTTTCGGTGTCACGCGGAATCGATGTGCAGAATATGCACACAAAGCTCGGGGACATTGTTGGTGTTGTCGAACAAGTTCGGAATGAGAAAGTATACCAGTTCCGGAACATTCCATACGCCAAACCACCCGTCGGAAGTCGGAGATTCACCAAACCTGAATTGAGCGGTCCTTGGGCTGGTACACTAAATGCCACACAATTTGGACCATCTTGTATCCAACCGATGTTACCACCCCCTTATAATAAATACTTGCCAAATTTAAACCAATCAGAGGACTGTCTTATTTTGAATATATATGTACCACGTGATATATCTCCGAATACTAGGAAGTCGGTAATGTTGTGGATACATGGAGGTGACTATGTCTTAGGACAAGGTATGTATTATGACGGGTCATACCTTGCCTTAACGGGTGATGTTGTTGTGGTAACTATCAATTATCGGCTGGGCCTGTTTGGATTCCTCAGTACACCTCACACAGGTGAATTGAACGGGAATTATGGGCTCTGGGATCAACACCTGGCACTGCAGTGGGTGAAGGACAATATAGACGACTATGGAGGGGATTCCAATTCAGTAACTATATTTGGAGAGTCTGCTGGGGGCTTTTGCGTTTCATTACAAGCAATAGTACCACAGAATCAAGGACTGTTTCAAAGAGTCATTTCACAGAGCGGAAGTGCCTTGTCAAGCTATTCTTACGTTAGTAGCAGTAATATGCATACCACTGCAAAGCTGCTCGGTATAAAACTTGGTTGTGCAAACACTTCCGGTATTCCGACATCATATGCAGAGTGCATGCGTGGGAAATCTACAGACGATTTACTTGCGGCACAGAATATAGTGACTACGCCCACTGTTTCACCGCTCAACATTGATGAAATGATAGGGCCAGTCATTGACAATGACTTTCTTCACTCATCACCCGAAGAGATTATGAAAGACAGGACGTCTGCAGGTTTTCAATTCTTCAAAAACCTCGACTTTATGACTGGAAATGTTAATGCAGAAGGCTCTGTTTTTTTTAATATTTTAACAATGATATCGAAATATAAAAAATTCGACTTAAATGTTGGCGTCCCTTCCGATGTGTTCTGTAGCTACATCGTACCTGTTTTATTATCTTCTTATTTCAGCTCTCAGATCAATAGCACTCTTCCGAGTGATCTAATTTGTTCCTTGTATGGAACCTCGTCGCGCGGCCACGTAGACAACAATGTCATTGGCGTCTTCTCAGATGTGTTTTTTATAGTCCCAGCGATAAAGGCACTCATAGCTCATTCTGACGACAACGCCCGAGCATCAACGTATCAGTACATATTCAAACGAAAAGCACTTGATATGTCCTTCCTAGATTACCCGACTTGGTGGCGAAACGACTTTTCAGCTCATGGCTCCGAACTCTTTTTCTTGTTCAATATTGAAGATTTTCCTAGTAAATTTAACATGAGCGTGGGACTCGATGATATCAGCTTCTCAAAAAGCATGCAGAAATACTGGACAAACTTCGCCAAAACTGGGTAGTTATTTCTTATGTAACTGAATATTGGAATGTTTTTTTCCTCTTAAAGATATATTACTGCATTTGCAAATTATAATGAGGTATATATATGTAAATCTTAAACGTCAAAGGTAATTAATTTAGTAAGATAACGACATTTGACTGATTAGGTCAATACTCGAGGGAGATTTTTTTCTTTTTTTTTTTTTTTTTTTTGTCAATGCAAAAACTGGTAATGATATTAAACCATTAAGGAGCTGTTTGCAATATATTCCAGGAATCCAAACTCAAATGACGTCCCGATGTGGAGTGGTTATGACGCAGTAAACCAGAGTTATATCGATCTTGATGCTAAGATCACCTCTGGACAACACCTGTATGGAGATTCGACCAGTCTGTGGTTAGATCAGCTGCCAAAATTACTGCACACTCAAGAACCCGATGGTGCTATTGGCAAATGAAATCTACATCGTTAACGTCTATTAAAAAACATTCAAACTTTATCACAATAATAGTTGATGTTTGTCTCATACACACATTGAAACACCCTACAAAGAATATACATTAATTACAAGTGTCAGATCAATCATCGTCAATGATGACATTCATGGTATATTTTAATGTAATACGTATATATTTTATTTCAATGACGGAAACTAGATATTTAATTAATAATTTAAACAGATATGAAATCTCGTTCATAATAATTTTGCTTAATTTATTATCATTGAATCTGGTGCTAAATCTTCATTATAATGTCATGAAACTATATGAATTCCAATGACTTTATCCCTACACGTACACGGAAGAAAAACGGCGAATCAGGGCCGAATTAAAGATAAAAATTTGGAAATACGCCGCCTTAATCTAAACCGTGTAGAACAAAAGAAAAGCTGTGTCATTCATGGCTGTAATAAAAGGAAACCTATTAAGTATGCCCACATTAAAGTTTTAAGATTATAAAAGCATCGAATGTTTAACATATTCAACTCAAACAAAAGTGAAAATATCGATATGGTAACAAAATTCATATTTAAAATCTTTCCACAGAACAGAAGTTGGTAAATGACACTTCCCTGGCTGATCTCAGTTGTAGCTATATTCTACTAATCTACTCAGATGTTTTCTTCAGTCACGATTATCTGGTACCTCTGTTTAGTTGTACGTACTTCCAGTATGTATAGCTGTCTGTGTTTACATTATTTCCTACCTAGGGCATTCACGAAATCCATTATGTACTTAAACTTTTCTGAAAACAGTGCTACTAATATGTTATCTATAATTTTGTGGAATAGGCAAACTTAACTGTTTCCTACTATCTTATCTGTGGGTAACCCTACAGCCAATAGATATTTTCTTACATTTCAGTTTAATTACAACCTTCATTTTTCCATCAATGTACTTTACACTTGTGTCAAGCGTGAAAAATATTTATTATATAGTCCAGATAGGATGGTTTCATACCATGAATGTTTTAAATGGTTGAACATTGATATCGAACAAAGAAAAAGCTTTCCTTTCTTACTTACATAGTTTATAAACTGGGTTTATCGATGCTTTGTATATCTTTTGTTGACGCGAAGAATGTGAAATATGTCGCTGGATTCCTAAAATGATTGTTCATAACGCCGACTTGATGCTTAGCTCATGTTGGAAACATTACACTTATAAATATAATGATACAAGAAAATCTCAGTCGTTCACAAATACTTTACAATCTTACATGGTAGAGTGGAACGAAAGAAAAAAATGGTCATAAGTTAGTAGGCCATATCACCTTGACACTTCGGCGGGAACATCCAGGATATCAGTATCAATAAAAGCATATTCTAACAGACTTGTTGCAATTGTGATTGGAACGAGTAGCAAATGCTCCTTGCTATCGTCTCAATTGTATCTACAGTTATACATATTCCCGTTCTTTCCTTAACCACGGACAACGAACTGTAGAGAGCTTTTCTCTAGATATATGGTTCGATGAATTTTACATAAATGATCACTGGTGTCGTTCAAAAAACGTCCTATGCCAGTTGCAGACTTTAATTGTGGTTAGGACCAGCTTCTTAAGTTTCGATTGGCCTACTGACCCATATACTATGGAACTATAGTCAAGTTTTGATCTAATAAATGTTCGACATAAGCGTCACAATGACTGGAAGGGATAGTTAGGAGAAAGTATCGCTGTTTTGTTTAAGTTAAGAAAGAAGTTTGGATAATGTATTATGTGCACAACTAGACCAACCAGCAAACAAATAACGTATGAATTCTTCAGAAGCTTAGGATTCTAAATTATGCGAAAAATCTATCTAGAATAATTAGCGATTATTTAGTCATGAAAAAGATTAGATGTGTAGGTAGCGTTTCATATTCACGGGGATATCATCATAGTTTCGCAAATTGAAAAATAGATAAAACCACTGTCAAAAAATTGTTGCACAGATACTTAATTTTTTTTAAAAAAATACAGTATTTGAAACATGTGTCAGATACAGAGCATCAATTTGTTTGCATTATCATTCTTTGAAAATTTTATAGTAAAATTAATGTTCATGATTTTGTAAACATTCCAGATTAGATATTGATATAATGTCACCAAAATTCAACAACACTGACCGTGGTAGGTGTGATAGGTCACAAATAAAACAAAAACCTCAGAATATGAGAATGTGTCATTGGTCAAATCTCATAATCATATTTCAAGGTCTAATATGCATAAATATCTTTGCGGCATGATGGGGTATATCCTCGCACTTCTTTCACTGGTATTTATTTCCCCCAACACACGAGATAAAGGTGCAGCATATACGCAATAAGGTTGGGGACAAGTTCGTAATGAGAAAATATACCAGACTCGGAACATACCATACGCAAAAGCATCCATTGGTGTTCTGTGATTTAGCAAACCAGAATTAAGTGGTCCATGGTCTGGTACCCTAAAGAGACGCAAATTGGACTAATACCAAATATTGAATGGAATGGATGCAGGGCGGTAGTTATGTAACTGGGCAAGGTATGTTTTATGACGGGGCATGCCTGGTCTTGACAGATAATGTTGTCTTGGTAACAATCAACTATCGACTGGGGCTGTTTACATTGCCTCTGGGATCAACGCTTGGCACTTCAATGGGTTTCTCATAAGCAATAATAAGTCACATAATCAAGGACTGTTTCAGCGAGTCATTGCACAGAGCGGAAGAGTTCTCTCATAGTTGTCTTACTTTGGTATAACTAATATGCTCACGACTGGAAAGCGACTGGGTACAAATGTTGAAGTGACATAAGCAAGGTGCAAGCCTTGGAAATCAGCAAATGATTTACTAGCGACACAGAATATATTGACAATGCCTACTCTTCCATCTCTCACAATGACTGAAACTATCTTCATTCGTCGCCAAATCCGGTTCTGAACAACAGGACGTATCCAATCTTTCAGTTTTTCCAAAATCTCGACCGGATTTGAAAATGCGGAAAATTCCATTTATTTAGGTATATTAACACTTATCAAAATATAAACAGTTTGATTTCAATGACGTCCGGATATGGAGTGGATATGAGTACACCAGAGTAATATAGATATTGATGCTACAAACACCTCATTACGGAGATTCGAGATTCAATCTGTGGTTAGACCGACTGCTAAAGTTACTCTACGGTTAATAACCAGGTGGTGCCATGGGGAAATAATGTCTACGTTGTTCTAGACAAAAACTAAAGCAAACGCTTTCTCACAAACAATGAAAATAACGAGTTTTGGTTTGTATCGTACACTAGTGCAAAAAATACCATTACGATCATGTACATGTTGGAGAAGATTTCCCTATTGTCTCTAAAGTTCATAGACCTATAACATAGTGCTGATAATCGGTGAAGCGCCAAATAAAATGTTCTGGTATACAGTATAAATGCAGTTCCATGGTCAAAGCTCATATTTTTGTTGATTAGATTTTTCCCTTATTAAAAGAAATTAATGCTCAGCGATATTGATATAGTCATGTTGTCATGGGCTATGTTTCATTATTCTTCTAAATTACTACGTTAGAGATTACAGTTTGAACAGTCACACCGAAAACCAACAAGAAAATACTAACATGTACATTCATGAAGCCGATCTCAGCTTAATTTCAAAGCAAAGCATCCTCTCCTGTTTTTTGCTTTGTGCTGATCATCACAAAGAAAAAATACAGAAAAGTACTAACATATTAAAATCCTAACCGAAATTCAAAAATGATTAAAACAGAAACTTCTGAAAAAGTACTAAGAATATTACCAGGTGTTCAGGAAGAGTGAGCGTCTTTAGCTTGATCGACGACACTAGCCAGATAAACCTTGGTCAATTTAAGTTAGTAACGTCACCTTCTCGAATGAGAAATAGATATACATTAATGGAACCAACAGGCAAACTAATGCGCATTAAACACGTTAAGCTTCATATCTCGCAAAGAAAAAGAGATCACAATGACGACCATAAAAACTTCCCCATAATTTTCTTCAATCCGAACCTGCTGAAAACTTATGCAACGAGTTAATCCGTCCGTGGACGATTTTTTTCCACGAAAACCGTAATAATGGTAACAGGCCGTTAAATATCGAATCAACTGTGACATGTAAATACCATAAGTTCAGGTTACCATTTGCCACACTGACACTCTATTTATGGCATACCTTGACACAGGTATAAAGGTGTATGGTGGGCTCTTAACGTGACAGCACGTGATACAAATGTGCTTTGCGTTATTAACCTGTACACAAAGGTCACAACTACACGTGAAGGAAGATGGATTGAGATAATTTCATTAGTGAACCAAGATGCTAAATCATGACTTATGTATATCAAATGTATCATAAGAAAAACGTGTAATCTCTAAAGTCTTTTATATTTTCGAGAAAACTACAATTATGGCAATATTTTATCAAAGTCCGTGATAAAAGTAGTGATATCATCTCATACTTTAGTACTGTGAATAAATTGAAATGTGTAACTGTAGGGAATTTTCTGTTTATTTGAATTGCCGACCAAACTTAAGGAATGCACAATATCGTCCGTTTGTCCTGGTGATGTACATATACTGAACAAAATAAGTTAAGGATCATAAACTTGAAACAGTGCAGTTTTACATACAAATAATAATATGATTATATTTTAAATTTTAATGACAGAACATTCATTTTAGTCTTTAATTACACAAAACAAATTCATTTATGGTAATTGCTACCAAGAGCAGATAACCCTGAGTAATGCCGACCAAACTTAAGGAATGCACAATATCGTCCGTTTGTCCTGGTGATGTACATATACTGAACAAAATAAGTTAAGGATCATAAACTTGAAACAGTGCAGTTTTACATACAAATAATAATATGATTATATTTTAAATTTTAATGACAGAACATTCATTTTAGTCTTTAATTACACAAAACAAATTCATTTATGGTAATTGCTACCAAGAGCAGATAACCCTGAGTAATGCCGACCAAACTTAAGGAATGCACAATATCGTCCGTTTGTCCTGGTGATGTACATATACTGAACAAAATAAGTTAAGGATCATAAACTTGAAACAGTGCAGTTTTACATACAAATAATAATATGATTATATTTTAAATTTTAATGACAGAACATTCATTTTAGTCTTTAATTACACAAAACAAATTCATTTATGGTAATTGCTACCAAGAGCAGATAACCCTGAGTAACAGCACCCTTGAAATCAAAGTGTAAGAGGAAGTAGAGCAAGTTAATCATGTCAAGGAAAACTCATCAAACTGCAATTGGCAGTTTAATAGGCAGTATGACCTCCGTTGACATCAATAACTGCCCTGCAACGTCTGCACATGCTCCTTTATGGGTGGCTGATCTGTGGGATGCGCTGCCATTCCTCTTGCAGAGCAATCATAAGCTGTTGGCGGTTCTGTGGCAGATTAGGTCGAGCTGAAACCCGGCGTTGCAAGGTGTCCCAAGCATGCTCGATAGGGTTCAGATCAGGAGAACGACTTGGCCAGTCCATGCGAACGATTGCTTCACGTTGAAGATAGTCGTTGACCACACGAGCACGGTGAGGACGAGCATTATCATCCATCAGTATAAAATCATGGCCAACAACTCCTGCAATGGGCCTTACTATAGGGTGTAAATCTCGTCCCTGTATCGAACAGCTGTTAAAGATCCATTGTCTATGATGTAGAGGTCTGTATGGAAGTCAACACTGATCCCTGCCCAAACCATCACTGACCCACCACCAAAGCGATCATGCTGGACAACACAGCAGTCTGCATAGCGCTCTCCTTGGGTTCTCCATACCCTCCTCCTACCGTCATGGAAGTCAACACAAAACCTATATCTGTGAACATAACATTTCTCCAATGACGTAATTGCCAATTCAAATGATGAGTGGCCCATTGATGTCTGGATTGTCGATGACCTCTGGATAAAATTGGTCGGAAGCTCGTAAATTAGAGGCATGGAGTCTGTTTCTGATTGTCTGGGATGAAATCCTTAGATTTGTAGCACGCTGAAACTGAAGATTCAAGACAGGAGCACTCAAAAACCGCTGACGTCGTGCCGTGATGCAAATGAATCTGTCCTGTCGGGCTGTCGTACAGCGTGGTCGTCCAGATCTGGGGCGTTGACGGACGTTATTTGTCTGTTGATAGCGATTCCATAGCCTACTAATCACGCTCTGAGAAACATGAAGCTGTGCCGCCACATTTCGTTGAGTTTGACCAGCTTGAAGGAGCCCTATAGCTCGCGCGGCTTCCATATCATTTAAATGTCTTCGCATGATTAGTTTTTCAAGTTTTCGTTACAAATTGATTAAATGTTTCCAAATTCAACTTTTTTTAGCTTAGAAGTAACAGAATCAAAACCTGCAAGATTCCTCTGTAGTAATAGACCAGTCAGTTTTTCACACCACCATAGTTAACTAGAGCGGAACGGCAAGACCTTCAGATGCACGTGCTTTCACCTTTGACATGACTTTAGGTACATATTGGAGAAACTACGAGTGCAATTACCGGCAATACATGATTTGAATTTTTAAAGATATTATGGTCACAATTTATGATCCTTAACTTATTTTGTCCAGTATATATATATAGCATGTCATACATCTTATCATTAATCAATGATAACTCTAAGTAACGACAATACTGCATATAATGTGATTGTTGAACTCTCTTTATTTGGATGTCACACTTCCATTATCCTTTTGGATACCCATGTCATGTCACAAAAGTTATATATCTGAACATAATTACTAATGACACATACTGTTGAAGGTTGTCACTATATTATAACAATTAAAAAAGAAAATCTGCAATCCGTTATGAAATAAAATATATCAACCTTTATCGTACATACGTGTCAAGGTATCAAACAAAATTCGATATGTTCCGATAAACTATTGAGTATTTGACGTGACATATAATAAAAATGTCTCCTATCGTGTGGAATGTCTTTTAATTTTGTCTCACTTCGTTGTTTCTTACTGCTGTTGGAATTACAAGTCAACTAAAGATCATTTTATCTTTGAAAACGTTCAGTGTTCAACTTATCTCATTGGACAATCCATTCTTATCATAATGGTCTAACACCAGTTTGCTAGCAATGCTATGACCTGAGAGCGGAGACAAAGGTAAGCGATACTCTTTAACAAATAATCGGTTCAATAATTCGAAATGAATTTGATTAATAAAGTACGTACTAATAAAATATCAAGGAACTTTACGAAACAGTAATATCCGAGGAACACCTGTAACTTTTGCCACGTTTAAGAAGATCTGATTACTTCATAGGTTTCCAAATTTCAAAATAATCACATTTCCATTTTATTTAAGCATTTGTCTTAATTCCAATTGGTCAGTCAAAATAAATCGGGAAATTAATAAAAACATATAACATATCAAATTGCTTTTGTCGTTTATGAACTATAAACATATAAATAATTTCAACAATATCTGCTCATTGTAATGATATTTCATAAAAAGTAACCTTAATTATTTCTTTTTAGTTAGTATCAATATAATGACTATTGTGATTCCGTTAACATAACGGTATCTGATATTTCGTTAAAGTTAAGAAAGAAGTTAATAAAGCTTCGGTAACACAACTAGATCAACCAGCGATGAAATTCAGTTTGTATGGATTCTTGAGATCTTAGGACACCAATATAAGCGGAGGTTTCATAGTTATGTGACGATAATGAACATTTCACATGCTGTATAGTCAATTACACCAGTAGCTGTATATAACATCATATTTATGTATCTGTAATTGTCGATAGACTGATCTGGAACCTTTATAGTCTATAATAACCGTGGTGGATTAATGTTTTGCAATACGTATTAGATACACAAGAGTATTTTAATATCGGTAGCTTTATTTATCTCTTAATACTGTATAGTGGAATCAATTCTTTTCATTTTGTAAAAATTCTAGATTCAGTACCAAATATTTGAATAATGTAATTTACAAGTTCTAATTTATCTTCCTTGAAGCATGGAACCTGGTCGACTTGCACTTCTGTTACTTACCATTATTTCCACGACACAAGGAATAGAGGTGCAACATATACACACAAAGCTCGGGGGCATTGTTGGTGTCGTCGAACAAATTCGAAATGAGAAAGTATACCAATTCCGGAATGTTCCATATGCAAAGCCACCCGTCGGTGAGTTGAGGTTCGCGAAACCAGAATCAAGAGGTCCATGGACTGGTATCCTAAATGCAACGCAATATGGACCATCGTGTATGCAATCGATGCAACCAGCTTTTCAAAAAAATCTGCCAAATTTAATCCAATCAGAGGACTGCTTGATTTTAAATATTTACGTACCACGCGATGTTACTTCTAACAGTAGCAAATCTGTGATGGTATGGATTCATGGAGGTGGCTATGTCTTTGGCCAAGGTATGTTTTATGACGGGTCATACCTGGCCTTGACCGGTGACGTTGTCGTGGTAACAATCAACTATCGACTGGGGCTGTTTGGATTCCTCAGCACACCTTACACGGGTGAACTTCACGGGAATTATGGCCTCTGGGATCAACGCTTGGCACTTCAATGGGTGAAGGACAATATAGACGATTATGGTGGAGATCCGAATTCTGTTACCATATTTGGGGAGTCTGCTGGGGGCTTTAGTGTTTCTTTACAAGCAATAATGCCTCACAATCAAGGACTGTTTCAGCGAGTCATTGCACAGAGCGGAATTGCTCTCTCGACGCTGACTTATATCGGTGCGAGTACAATGCATTCAACCGCAAAGCGCCTTGGTATTCAAGTTGGATGTGCAAACACTTCCGGTATTCCCTTAACATATACAAGGTGCATGCGTGAGAAATCTGCAGGTGATTTACTAGCGGCACAGAATATATTGCTTATTCCCACTCTTCCGCCTCTCACAATTGATGGCGTATTTGGACCAGTCATTGACAATGACTTTCTCCACTACTCGCCAGCAGAGGTACTGACAAACAGGACGTCTCCAGGTTTTCAGTTTTTCCAAAACCTCGACTTTATGACCGGAAATGTTAATGCAGAAGGCTCTGTTCTTCTAAATATTTTAACACTGATGTCTAAATATAAAAAATTCGACTTAAATGTTGGGGTCCCTACCGATGTGTTCTGTAACTACATCGTTCCGGTTTTTGTATCTTCTTATTTCGGCTCTCAAGTTAACAGCACTCTTCCGAGTGATCTGGTATGTTCATTTTATAGGTCTTCGTCGGAAAGTCCAGGTTACAATGCCATTGACGCCTTTTCAGATGCATTTTTCCTAACGCCAGCAATAAAAGCACTCATGGCACACGCGGAAGGCAATACCCGAACATCAACGTATCAGTACATATTCAAACGTCCATCTCCTGACCCATTGCTCCGAATATATTTGCCATGGTGGCGAAACGACTCTTCAGTTCATGCCTCTGAAATTTCATTTTTGTTCGGTCTTGAAGATTTTCAAACCAAATTTAACACAACCGTGAGTCCCAATGATGTCATCCTCTCGAAAACCATGCTGAAGTATTGGACAAACTTCGCCAAAACTGGGTAATTATTTTAACTGATTCAAATAGAATACAGAATATATATCCTTTCACTCAAGATTCTAGTGATAATTAGAAAGCTAACATTTATATGTGTGTTTAGATATTAGACATCGCTGATGCAGTTGTATGCCTAACGTCTATACATGTATTGTAAATCGGAGGCGATCATTTACCTAACGTTTGGGTTGTCATCTTAGATTGGCAGTAGTAACCGTTTTCATTGCAAAGCTGCTAGTGATATTCTAATATCAAACATCTTTCTGGTATATTTTTCAGGGATCCGAACTCTAATGATGTCCCGGTGTGGAGTGGTTATGACGCAGTACAACAAGGTTATGTTGATCTAAATACGACGATCACTTTAGGTCAACATTTGTACAGAGATTCGACCAGTCTATGGCTACAGAGACTGCCAAAGTTAGTCCATATCCAAGAGCCTGGGGGTGTTATTGGCAAATAATATCTTCGTCTTTATCCTCCATAAAAAATAAAGCAGTGACATTCAAACACAATGGCAACGATGGTTTATTATATTTTCTAGTTCAAATAAATCGTCGTCTTGTAAACATCAGTAACATTTATTGACACTGATGGTAACTACCTAAATAATAATAAGACATACAATCAAAAAAGAAAATCCTCTTAACAAGCAATCCTAATTATTCAGTGCAGGATTAATCAGTTCCCAGTATCTAGATACGTCTCTCTATGTTGCAAACGTTCTAACAACATATCGTGTCAGATCGTGGTCATCATGTCGTAAATATACATCAATTAACCAAACGCCATGTTGCTACTTGGACGAAAGAACGCGGAATCGGCGCCATGACAACGGGTCTTTTAACAATAATCATTTATTTGGTAGTTACTTGATGATACACGGCTTTGGTTGATACTTGTTGATACATGACCTTGGTTGATACTTGTTGAATCACGGCCATGGTTGATACTGGTTGAATCACGGCCTTGGTTGATACTTATTGCTTTCTCTTATTCCTAGCTAAGCTGTTTAAATATTACAAGTGTTTTTGCAGCACTTTCTATCTCACGCAAGTTCCTTGTAGATTCACCAACTCTATAGGTGAATACCTACTTGATTTAATGATATTGCCAGATTAAAAAGTAAGACAGCACCCGATGTTTACCTCGTTTCTTGCTGATGTGTGTTATAACATAAGACTTAAAAAAAATTCTTACTCTGTCCAGCTTTCATATGGTCGGAGGGGATGTATGGAAATTGGTTTGTAAGTTATCACAGGATTTCACTTAATTTCGGCTCTATCCAACATAATCATAATGTAGATTCAAATTCCATAAAACAAGGCAAACTACGAACAAAAAATAAAGATTTACACAGAGACACCTGGAAAAGAATGAGAATAACTAATGCTCATGCTTAACTTGACGCTGGCAAATTATGTCCCTAGTGGTGGTATTTTTTTTCGAAGAAGTGTTTTTTGGGGTTGTTTTTTTTTAAAACATTGATATTACAGTCAAAACTTTATCACAATGTTCTATGTCTCTTTCGTTGTGGAAACTGGCTGCTGGGGGGAAATGCGATATCTTAAAACAATTTCAAGTGGTATATCATCCAGAAAAGTGTCATCGTCGGTAACCCGCCACGGTCCTGACGCTCACGTGCGGACCGTGGGTTATAGACGATGTTAGAATATTTTCCGCCCCTGTCTGTGAAGAGGCTAAGTGAGGAGAGGGTGGATGTCTTTAAATACGAACATTTAAGAGGTCAGAGTGTGAGCTCGATTTTTTTTCTCATAGATGATGCACCCTTCTATGGCATCATGGACATTAAAAAGATATACAAGTCCGCGATTATACATGCATGGATACGACCCTAGTATTTCATTACAAAGAGCAAGAATTGGAAGTGAAACATAACTATTTGGCAATACTACAAAATTAGGAACGTCTGATTCCTTCGGACAAATTAATTTTCGGTCGGTAAAGTCTATGATATATTCAGTTGTATTTTTCTCTAAAATTTCAAAAGACCTTTCATGCAAATTCTAGAATAAATGACGATGCTGGTATCTCAATATTGAATTCTTGGGCGAAATGGTTGAAACGATTTAACTATGATTTGGGAGCAACGCAGGATTTTGGGCGAATCGTCTGCAACTCATAATCACGTATACGCTTGAATCGAAAGTAAAAAGAAACATGTGTAACTTAAGCGCCTTAGCAACATGTTTTGTTTATATATGGTTTCCCTTCACATCCGGTGCATACCATAAGCTGAAACATGTCACGTAAAAACGATCGAGCGAAAAAGACTGAGCTTGCAGAGAAGGTAGAAACCTCATTCACTATATGAAAAATTACATTGCTATGGCTTCAAGTCAGATGATTGGTATATATGAAATATTCGAGTTCAGAGGGTTTATTTAGTTATTGGACGATAAACGATTCAGGATCATATTCAACAGTTCAAGTCTTAAACTTTCTAACAAACTTTAATTTTGATAACTAATAATGTAATTTACAAAAATATACAAACATTTCCTGTGAGCAGGTAAAAGAGATACAAATGCGACATTGATAACTAATAATGTAATTTACAAAAATATACAAACATTTCCTGTGAGAGATACAAATGCGACATTGATAACTAATAATGTAATTTACAAAAATATACAAACATTTCCTGTGAGCAGGTAAAAGAGATACAAATGCGACATTGATAACTAATAATGTAATTTACAAAAATATACAAACATTTCCTGTGAGCAGGTAAAAGAGATACAAATGCGACAGAAAAACTGGTTTAAAGAACGTGAAGCACATTTGGAAGGAAAAAGGAACTCTCCTCCTGTCAAAGACCTAACCGACAATAGTAAGTTTGAGTAAAATTTTAGATTTCAAACATGTCTGTGTAGTATTCCGTTCCATACGGTGGATGAGTGGCTATAATAATTGTAGAAAATCACATGAACATGTGTTGTTCTACATAAATGCGCATGTAATAAATCTTTCAAATTGTGCTTGTATCAATACTGACAAAACTGTAACAAATTAAGTGCCTTTTGTGTTTTTTTCATATTTCGGTGAACAAATGGCAAAAAAAAAAAAATAAATAAACAAACAAAAAAAGAAAAACAGCTGTTTGATGAGAAAGTAATTTGCACATGATATATGTATATGTGAAATGTATGTGTAATTGTGTAGTAATTGCTGTTCTGTATAAACTTGTATTGATTCTTCTTTTCTTTTTATCTTATGCATATCAACTGTAAACTGGTATGACTATTATTATTTCAGGAACATCCAAGAAGGAGGATCAAAATCTTTCGACTAAAAGTAGAACTGGAACAGGTGAATTTCATCTTCAAGATAAACCAAGAGTATCTGAGAAATCTGTTGCTGCATTAGGTAGTAGAGTACAACCTAAGGGGAAATTCAAACACTGGTTAGAAGCCAGAGAGTTGAAGAAAGGAAAAGATGAAGAGTTGGATGAGAACAGAGAATCTGTTAATATTCTAAGAGTATCCAGTTCCAGAAGCCCTGAATTTGCTAGTCCAGAGTCTGATTACTATGACAATCCAAGGACCACAGGTTCCTCACAGGGAGAACCATACAGGACTTTTAGTGAGAGGACAGGGAGGGAAGCCATGAATACGTTGATGTCCCACCAGGATTTTGATGCTCTAGCAGACAGTATTGTAGCCAGGGTCAGACAGGGTATTAACATGGACAGTCGTTCTGGAGAGGATACACATGTCTGGCCAAAAGGCATAACTCCTACGCAATCATCTGTCCAGAACAGGGGCCTAAAAGGTCACAGAGAGGCCAAAACAAGAGATAGAAATGTTCATAAAGATGTTGATACATCAAGTCATCACTGCCCTTGTTGTCGACATCTGATGGTAGATATCAATTTTATCTGCACTGCATTACAACAGACATATTGATATAACTTGAATAGAAATTATCTGCAGTATTGCGGAATAAATACATTCACTCATTCACTCTCTGCATACAAAAAATGCATTTTGTTTTCAAATATTCAGCTGTTCCATTAAGTTGTTCAGTTGTAGGATTTTTTTTAATGTTTTTTGTTGGTTTTTTTTTTTTTTTTTTTCCCCTGATAAGACTTGACAGTTTCTGGACATCTGAGCATTTCAATAACAGGTAAAGAAATATTTATCATTACTGGTAATGAATGAAATCACAAAGGTTCACATGATGTATATTTCCTTACAGTTGCCACCAAGTAATGCACCCTTAATCAACATCCCATGTGGCCATAGTGTCTGTGAGAAATGTTGTGAGAGGACTGAGCTCTGTCCATCATGTCATTGTCATGTGACCACAAAGACATGTAACTTAATGCTGCTACAGATTATTCAAGGATACCACAAGGAAAAGTCTAGAAGAAATGAGCTCAATCATGCAACAAAGTCATACAGTCCAGAGAACTACAATGAGAAACATTCTTGTAAGTATATAACAGCTTTTTATTTCATTATATAATGTAACCCATCAATTTAACACTAATAATGGTATTGGCAACTTTCTGTCAAAGTTATATTAATGATATGTCATAGTACCTTCTTCAATACATGATTGACTGGGACTGTCCAATGATGATGGACACAAAACAGAAGCCTTTCAATACTTTTCAGATTAAGTTCAAACAATTTTATTTTTTAATTCAATGTCAATTCTTTTGGTTGTTAATGGGTCTCATACAGACATTTTAATCATTTAAGACAAACTTTTTTTATAAAGAAATAAAGGTAATGTTTTTTTGTGTCTGCCATATGTCTATCTGATAACAAAAGCCAAACCATTTCTTAATTTCATCCAAATTTGAATATGACATTCCTGGCTTCTTTCACTGAAAAAGCTGCTGACTAGTAAAGGTAATCCTTGTCTGTGCATCCTTAAAATCATCACTCCTGGAATTTCAAGAATGAAGACGATGATATGTTTTAAATGGTTCTCAGTATTAGATTATGACTTATTTATAAATATCCAGATGTTTATACTTTTGTTTTTACAAAATGACTGCAAACAATTCACATCACCGACTTTGGTTTCATTCTCTAATTTTGATTTCAGTGCCTTATGTTTGGTAAAATTGAAGGTATAAGTACCTGTATTCTTTGTGTATATATGTCTACTTATATACTATCAAGGAAATAATAACAAAAATACGAACACATGAATTGTGGAATTTTTGAGGCAGTCTGCCTCTTTATCAAGATACAAATATTACATGAATTGTATCATAAACATAGAACATAAAAGAAACACAAAGTTCTAAAGTAAAACCTAAACGAAAATAGTAGGGACAATATGGGCACAAACAAAGACAGAAACAAAGTAGACAGAAATAACAGGCAAACAATAGTATGGATATACTGGAGCACAACACAGTAATATACATACAGTACCAATACTGAAAGTACTGTTGATATTACTTACTAGATTCCATCTTTCACACTGAACTAACATAACCTATGTTGTGATCTGCTATATCCAAATTACCATTTGTGTAATACATATAATTTCAGGTCTATTATCAAGTAACATGCCTTTGCATACACATGAATATTATTGAACAACATGAAGTTAAATAAATCTCATTGGGTAACATGTAAGTACATATATTTTATTGGATAACATACAATTACATATATCTTATCAGTAACAGGTAATTTCTTACATCTTATTGAGTAATATGTAATTACATGTATCTTACTGGACAACAAATTCTGGGTAAATACATACGTTTGATCAGGTATCATGTAATTACATACATCTTATCAGGTATCATGTAATTACATAAATATCTTATCAGGGAACATGTATTTACATATATATCTTAATGAGTGAGATGTAGTTACACTAGATATATATATATATTAAAACTAAGTAAGTTTTTGTTTTCTTTTTTTTTTCAAAGTGAGTTCTAAATCATACAGAGAACAGCAGGAGAACTTGATAGCCCGACAGGATGTGATGCTAACCGAGGCTGAAAGCATAAAAGGCAAAATGGAAAAACTATCAGATCAAATACATAGGCAACAGCGACAGGTACAAAGTATTTCCCAGGAAGAAACTAAGATAAGAAAGCAGATAAAAGAGTTAGAAGACAAGTTACAACAGCTGACATCACACAGGGAGGCATATTCCCAGGAACAGGATCAGCTTCAGGGAAAGTACAACTCTGAAGCCAACAGACTGAATCTAATAAAGGAAACACTTTTAACACTGGAAATAGAGATAGAGAAGGTATGTATCAGTCACTGTGTATCAAAACCCTCATAACAGTCTAATACTGGAGATAGGGAATGTATGTATAGGTCAATGTGTATCAAAACCCTCATAACAGTCTAACGATGGATGTAGAGAAAGTATATATAGGTCAATGTGTATCAAAACCCTCATAACAGTCTAACACTGGAGATAGGGAATGTATGTATCAGTCACTGTGTATCAAAACCCTCATAACAGTCTAACACTGGATATAGAGAATGTATGTATAGGTTACTGTGTATCAAAACCCTCATAACAGTCTAACGATGGATATAGGGAATGTATGTATCAGTCACTGTGTATCAAAACCCTCATAACAGTCTAACACTGGATATAGAGAAGGTATGTATCAGTCACTGTGTATCAAAACCCTCATAACAGTCTAACACTGGAGATAGGGAATGTATGTATCAGTCACTGTGTATCAAAACCCTCATAACAGTCTAACACTGGATATAGAGAAAGTATGTATCAGTCACTGTGTATCAAAACCCTCATAACAGTCTAACACTGGATATAGAGAAGGTATGTATAGGTTACTGTGTATCAAAACCCTCATAACAGTCTAACGATGGATATAGAGAGAGTATATATAGGTCAATGTGTATCAAAACCCTCAAAACAGTCTAACGATGGATATAGAGAAGGTATGTACAATTGTGCTAATAGTGCTAAGTGTTGTCTGAAAGTGTATCAGGTATTATTAAGATCATTCAGCTCACTAACACATCAGGCACTCTTTATTTTACCGGTTAACATAAATGTCCTTTTTCTATATGTAAATAACAAACATTATACATATGCATACTATAATTTGTTATTACATTTTGTGATCTTGGTTTGTACTTGGACAGGTTCAGCTGCTTGCAGAGGAAAGGTGATTGATAGACTTGTGTTCCAGATGACCATTCTAAATAACAGAAATATAGTGTGACAGTGTTCCTGAGAGTTACCGAAAGTATAAAAAAAAAACTGTATCAGTCCAGGACATACAATTTTACAGCAAAATCAAAGTTATTGATTTCAGGCATTAACTTTCATTGTTTATGAGTGTCCATTACACTGTTAGTGATGAAAGAACAATATTTCTGTAGCAGTAGTACTTATGTAGTATCATATTGTGAAATGTATACCGGTATATGTGTGGGTATACGAAGATTGCTCTATGGTACACAATACATTTTGAATGGACTTCCATGAAAAATTAACTTTACAAATGACTTATTCTTAAAAGTAGAGAAGTGTTTGAAATATTCAAAATCAGAAAAATATTCTTCCTCTCGTGAAATTCACTGGGAATACTGTTAAGGTGCTTTCTTTCAATGAATTGAAATTAAAAGGTTTCATTAAAGACAAGGATGGTTTTCTTCAATTAACTTGTTTTTTTTTAAATTTTTTTCTTCTCTTCTTTTCTTGTGTAATCTTATTCTGTTGTCAAAAGTAGAAAGAAATAGAAACCTGGAGATTTCACAACCTTGATTAATGATAACCATACCTACAAACAAAACATGTAATGTATGGTGATATTATACAGTTGATTGAGCTGCAGGTAAACCTTATTTTCGCTGCTACTCTCTGTCTGGATTTCCACAGGAATTGTGGGTGAATTGTTTTTTACATATCAAGGGAGATAAGTCAAAGGAGACCCGTGAGTAGTGGACTGGTGTTTTACAAGCCAGTGTATTGAGCAAATGCTTTAGTTAGGTTAAGCCTTTTGGTCATTCTCTACATTATTCCTTGTTTACATTTAATGTTAAAACATTTTTTTTAACAGATTTATACTATACTTTAGTTAATATATTTCAAATTGTTTGGATCAATAAAAGATAAAAGACTTGATGGGTAATTTACATTTTATTTGTATACAGGGTAACACCAACATCTGTAGACCCTCCATCAATTATCACAAGTAAATAATAGGTACCAGGACTATTCCCAACACATCTTACTTGCAATGGTACTAAATAGAATATGTAATGTATCTGCTATTCAATTACTATTTTTTCCAAACCACTTTGGCAATCAAGAATTAAATAATTTTATGCATGTTATTGATCTCATTCTTATCATCAAAGCACTGGAGGGGAAAAAAAATTAAAATGATGAATAAATAACTAAACAGAAACATATAAAAAGTATTGTCTTAAAATTAAACATTTACACAGATACATAATAATCTACAAATGTATTTATTACCTTCACAGAATACAAATACTTTAAAATCTGATCATAAATTTATGAAATGACTAATTTGAATATCCAAATTATTGTCTAATATGACAATTATATCATATTCTGGTGCCCATATGGTCTAGCTGTTCTAAATATAAAAACATCATTCTGTTAGATATCAACATGTACATGACAATTTCTTATCCTGTCAGCTGAAAGAAAAATGCTGACATAAAATTATATAATATGGTCAAATGAATTTATCTATTTTACATAATTATATAAACATATGCAATTGTATATCATTATTATACTATTCCCTCTCTACTCATTTTCTTCAAGACAGCAAGACCATAATACATAAAGTGTATGTTAAATTCATTGAATAGATAAACAAATATAGCATTATGCTGCAAGTAAAAATTGCAGAAACTATAGATATATCAATGAGTATTCAACAAATTAGAGCCTTAAGAAAAGATTACCACACATATTCAATCGGGAAAAGTTGTCACTATTATAATACTGACCCAGCAAATCTAAATCTGGGAATGTCCAGTGACTGATGTCATATCATGACTAATGTTGGATCCATCAGCAACCAGTCCTGGTACTGAACTGTGTGTCACTGTACCTACTAGTAATGACCTGTACATCACTGTGCCTACTAGTAATGACCTGTACCAGTCTTGGTACTGACCTGTGTGTCACTGTACCTACTAGTAATGACCTGTACCAGTCCTGGTACTGACCTGTGTGTCACTGTACCTACTAGTAATGACCTGTACCTGTCCTGGTATTGACCTGTACGTCACTGAGCCTACTAGTAATGACCTGTACCAGTCCTGGTACTGACCTGTGCATCACTGTACCTACTAGTAATGACCTGTAACAGTCCTGGTACTGACTTGTGCATCACTGTACCTACTAGTAATGACCTGTACGTCGCTGTGCCTACTAGTAATGACCTGTACCAGTCTTTGTACTGACCTGTACGTCACTGAGCCTACTAGTAATGACCTGTACCAGTCCTGGTACTGACCTGTACATCGCCCTGCCTACTAGTAATGACCTGTACCAGTCTTGGTACTGACCTGTGTGTCACTGTACTCACTAGTTGTGACATGTACCAGTCCTGGTACTGACCTGTGTGTCACTGTACTCACTAGTTATGACATGTACCAGTCCTGGTATTGACTTGTATGTTAGTGTACTCATTAGTTGTGACATGTAACAGTCCTGGAACTGACCTGTATGTTAGTGTACTCACTAGTTGTGACATGTAACAGTCCTGGTACTGACCTGTATGTTAGTGTACTCATTAGTTGTGACATGTACCAGTCCTGGTATTGACTTGTATGTTAGTGTACTCATTAGTTGTGACATGTAACAGTCCTGGAACTGACCTGTATGTTAGTGTACTCACTAGTTGTGACATGTAACAGTCCTGGAACTAACCTGTATGTTAGTGTACTCATTAGTTGTGACATGTAACAGTCCTGGAACTGACCTGTATGTTAGTGTACTCACTAGTTGTGACATGTAACAGTCCTGGTACTGACCTGTATGTTAGTGTAATCACTAGTTGTGACATGTAACAGTCCTGGTACTGACCTGTATGTTAGTGTACTCATTAGTTGTGACATGTACCAGTCCTGGTATTGACTTGTATGTTAGTGTACTCATTAGTTGTGACATGTAACAGTCCTGGTACTGACCTGTACATCGCTGTGCCTACTAGTAATGACCTGTACCAGTCTTGGTACTGACCTGTGTGTCACTGTACTCACTAGTTGTGACATGTACCAGTCCTGGTACTGACCTGTGTGTCACTGTACTCACTAGTTATGACATGTACCAGTCCTGGTATTGACTTGTATGTTAGTGTACTCATTAGTTGTGACATGTAACAGTCCTGGAACTGACCTGTATGTTAGTGTACTCACTAGTTGTGACATGTAACAGTCCTGGAACTGACCTGTATGTTAGTGTACTCACTAGTTGTGACATGTAACAGTCCTGGAACTGACCTGTATGTTAGTGTACTCACTAGTTGTGACATGTAACAGTCCTGGTACTGACCTGTATGTTAGTGTAATCACTAGTTGTGACATGTAACAGTCCTGGAACTGACCTGTATGTTAGTGTACTCACTAGTTGTGACATGTAACAGTCCTGGTACTGACCTGTATGTTAGTGTAATCACTAGTTGTGACATGTAACAGTCCTGGAACTGACCTGTATGTTAGTGTACTCACTAGTTGTGACATGTAACAGTCCTGGAACTGACCTGTATGTTAGTGTACTCACTAGTTGTGACATGTAACAGTCCTGGAACTGACCTGTATGTTAGTGTACTCACTAGTTGTGACATGTAACAGTCCTGGTACTGACCTGTATGTTAGTGTACTCACTAGTTGTGACATGTAACAGTCCTGGAACTGACCTGTATGTTAGTGTACTCACTAGTTGTGACATGTAACAGTCCTGGTACTGACCTGTATGTTAGTGTAATCACTAGTTGTGACATGTAACAGTCCTGGAACTGACCTGTATGTTAGTGTACTCACTAGTTGTGACATGTAACAGTCCTGGTACTGACCTGTATGTTAGTGTAATCACTAGTTGTGACATGTAACAGTCCTGGAACTGACCTGTATGTTAGTGTACTCACTAGTTGTGACATGTAACAGTCCTGGAACTGACCTGTATGTTAGTGTACTCACTAGTTGTGACATGTAACAGTCCTGGAACTGACCTGTATGTTAGTGTACTCACTAGTTGTGACATGTAACAGTCCTGGAACTGACCTGTATGTTAGTGTAATCACTAGTTGTGACATGTAACAGTCCTGGTACTGACCTGTACATTATTGGACTAAGATTTTATTTCCAATAAGAAACACTTTTGTATTGTTATACTCGTACAATCAAAATTCTAACATACATACAATGTTACTTTGGCTTTAATTTAACAATATATACCTTATACTGGACTAAATATTGTGAGAAAGTGATGTGGACTTTTGTTCTGTTTCTTTGAGAGAAGGCACATGTACCACACAATATAACAATCAAAATTTACATTTAAAAGCTTGCAATATGGACGGCTGAATTTTGGATATATACATAACACAAAACTTCATATACAATATCATACAGACAGTGCTCCTCATTAGGCAACACTACAAATCTAGCCAACATTACATCCAACATTTAAAGTCAAGAAATTCAACATTTCAATCACAAACAAACAACTCCTGACCTTTTCCTGAATGATTTTTCATTAAATATTATACTTTTAACAGTACTTACAAATATTCACATATCCTGTGGGAAACTGAGATAAAAATAATGCTGGACAATCTAGGCACGATTCTGATGAAGGCTATTGATAAATAAATTAATATATATAAACAATGTACACATTTTAAACAACATGTCTGAAAACATATGCAAGTGGCACCTTGTATGAAAAACCTCTTACCTTTACCTTATATAATATTTCTATTCAGTAATATATATATGTTTGTAAGAAGCACTTCAATCATGATTACACATTACAATATATAATTTATCAATAATAAGAATTCCTCTATTAAGGATATATCAGCAGTCTCTATTATATCTAATACTGAATAATAAACATCTGTATATACTCAATACTATGCTGTCTGTAAGAATTGCACTAAAAATGACCGTAACAATCTGGCTAAGTATAGTGTGTGGTGATTCCATTTCTGGACAAGTGAATTCCGAGTGCCTCTACTTCTACCCAATATTCAGTCTGTGTTGCTCTCTCAGGAAGCCCCTCACCCACCCCTCTTTTTAAATTTAGATCCCTTTTGTAGTCCCTTTCTAAACCCTAGACCCTGACACCCCCTTTCTTATATTTAAAATCTGAACCACCTTTCAGAAGTTAAGATTCATGTTGCCACCTTTCAGAATTTAAGACTCCTATTGCCAACTTTCAGAAGTTAAGACTCCTGTTGCCACCTTTAGGAAGTTAAGACTCCTGTTGCCACCTTAAAGAAGTTAAGACTCATGTTGCCACCTTTCAGAAGTTAAGAGTACTGTTGCCACTTTTCAGAAGTTTAGACCCCTTTTGCCACCTTTCAGAAGTTGACTCATGTTGCCACCTTTCAGAAGTTAAGACTACTGTTGCCACTTTTCAGAAGTTTAGACTCCTTTTGCCACCTTTCAGAAGTTAAGACTACTGTTGCCACCTTTCAGAAGTTAAGACTACTGTTGCCACCTTTCAAAAGTTCAGACTCCTTTTGCCACCTTTCAGAAGTTAAGACTACTGTTGCCACTTTTCAGAAGCTTAGACTCCTTTTGCCACCTTTCAGAAGTTAAGACTTACCACCTTTCAGAAGTTAAGACTACTGTTGCCACTTTTCAGAAGTTTAGACTCCTTTTGCCACCTTTCAGAAGTTAAGACTACTGTTGCCACCTTTCAGAAGTTAAGACTCCTGTTGCCTCTTTACCATAACAAAATTAAGACTATTAATACTGTGAAACTTTTGCCACAGTTTAGCTTTTCCTGTTTTGTCTTTTCACCAATCAGTGGAAAATAACAGATTGAAAAGCTGGATGTTATTGTAATTTAGTAGCCTAAGAGAATCGGTGAGTTTCAATCTGTCAAAAATTTATTATTAAAAAAGAGATGAAATTTGCAAGAAAACTCTGAAACAGCAAGGCAATTTGGCAAATTACTGCCCTCCTCCTAATGTGAAATTATAAGCCAATAATGCACTGCATGTGAATCCATGCCCCAAGTAAGAAGTTCTACTGACAAGTAGTGTAAGAGATGGAGTCTGGACAAAACTTTCCTTTGTGACTTACTTTGGACACACAGAACACATCTCACCAACCTGAACCTATACTCCACGAATAAAGTTCCAGTGACTTGTAGTTTCAGAAATAGAGCTAGGACCAGATAGCGGAAGGACAGACAGTAAGACAGAAGGACGGAAATGTACAAAGACAGAAGGAGAGAAAGATGGAAGGATGGAAAAACACAAAGTAAAGCTATACCCCCCTCACCCCCACCAAAGTTCTGTTTGGGGGATTAATACTTAATTGTATTGATATTCAACTCATATTTAACAGTCTTTGCAATTCTGAGCCTAAAATATTGAAATTGCTCATAAAATGTCCATTATGAACTTAAGGTAATAGTGATATTTCATTCTCCCATTTGAAAACACATATCACATATATATATCAATGTAAGTATAATTCTTATCTTAACAAATGGATTATTAAGATAAAGTATCTCAAAAGGTGTTGTTGTCCTCCAATATAAGAGTTATCTTCCCTTGATCCTGATCATCCGGCTAAGTTTCGTAATTTCTCATTAATATCCCGCTCTCTCTGCAGCAGGGCATTTGTGTGTTTCTTATAGGCCTCAAATTCCTGTTAGAACAAACAAATGAAATGAATCAATGACCTTATATGTATACTAAAAGGATAAAGAAACGCAGGGTGAACTTTCAACCAGAAATTAAGAATGATATTGGGCTTCATTTAAAATGAAATTTTGTATACTTACAGATAAATTAAAGCTCAAAAATTTCCAAAGTCTGTATTTTGCATCTGACAATTGGTTTAGAGGTACTAACGATTAAATTGAATGGACCCATAGGATTTTGAAATTGAAATTGAACTGAGTCATCAATATCTTGTGTGTCTGCCGTTTGCTGTGGTCACGGCCCTTATTCTTCTGGTCATAGAGTTCATGAGAGCGTTAATCCGTCTTATGGGGATGTAGTCCCACTCTTCAATCAGAGCTCTGGTCAACTGCTCTCAAGTAGCAGGGGGTGGCTGGCGCTTTCGAACCTGTCTATCCAACTGGTCCCAAAGATGCTCGATCGGGGACAAATCAGGGCTATATGGCAGCCAAGCTAGTGGTTGAATGTTGTTGTTGGCCAAAAAGACTTAGGAAATCCTTGCTACATGGGGCCTAGCATTATCCTGCTGGAGGGTTAGATTATGCTGCTGTAAGAAAGGGATAACATGGGGTCGGAAGATCTCATCTCTATACTTAGCTGCTGTTAAATTGCCATCAATAACAACCAATTGTGATTTTAATCCGTGTGAGATTCTTCCCCACACCATTACTGAACCACCCCCAAACCTATCCCTCTCTACAACGCAAGCATCCGTAAAACGTTCGCCACGATGTTGGTAGACACGTTGACGGCCGTCAGATTGATAAAGACAGAATCAAGACTCGTCCGTGAAGAAAACTTGTCTCAACTGCCTCAGTGGATACCGTCATGGAGCATGTGCAGCGACCCAGGCCATACGACGCTGACGTTGAGCAGGGTAAGATGTGGACATACGTAGGGGCGACATGCTCTTACACCAACTTCTCGTAATCGATTCCTTACAGTTTTTGAACTTATAGGATGCCCATGATTTCCACGAACATTAAGTGCACTCTCAATGGCAGTAAGGCGCCGATTACGCACATGAGAGATGACGATATAGCGATCCTGGCGTCGTGACGTTATGTGCAGACGTCCTGACCTAGGTCGATCGGCCAATCGCTCAGTTTCCCGAAGACGTCTTACAAGACGTTCTATGGTGGAAACATTAACACCAAATGCCTAGCAACCTGATTTTGCAGCTGTCTTTGCATCAGCATCTGAATGGCCTGACCCCTCTGAACTTCTGTGAGTCGTGCCATTCTTAAAACGAATCAAATTCTCAATTAATTTTAGGGAAGCAGTTGGTCTGTATAAAGACTAACGAAGAGTGACTTGACCAACGCTGCATGAGACCAGAAGAACACGGTGCACGAGATTCTTGTTTTTCCTTCCTCTATTTACCAGAGCTGCGCACTGTACCGTGACTAAATTTTCGATACATGACAAGGTGTAATATGACCTAATTACTCAATCCACAAAGTTTCACTTTATTTGGAGAACGCGTTTTCAAAATATCGGAATAAATATTACCTTGCTTTTCTTTATCCTTTCAGTATATGAATTGAACTCAGATCAATCTTCTTCCAAAAATACAAGATATTATTACAATTACTGGTTATTAGTATAAGTGTCTGAAGTAAAAAAGTTGATAAAAAGATGAACAAAACACCATATTTACATGTACTTTCTAGTAGTATGACTTTCAGCCAGGTGATCTGGCAATGGTTAGTATAAAACTTACACTCTGTATTTCCTTGTTTCTGACAGATGAATCTTCTAGATCTTCTCGGAGACGCCTCACCTGGAGGTTGGAATTCACAGCAGCTGCCTCTCGACTACAATCACATTAGAAGTAAACTATCATAGTAAATAGACAAAGAGGCATATAGAGTTAATGCACTTTATGAAGGTACATGCATCAAAGGAAACTTCTCTTAACTAGACTTATATCAACAGTGCTTGCTTTTCTGTGTAACTGTGATTTTTTGTTGTAGTTTTTATGAAATGTCCACCTTTCAGAATACTCATTATTACTTACTTAACAATTCAATAAAATCAATAAAGAAAAAATATAATTTCATATACAGCAATTGATACTATATGTTCAAAAATTCATCTACTTATGATACAGGTTTACACAATGCTGGCAATTTATGGGATGGCACTGACCAGCTACACAACATTTTATAGATATTAGATAGTGAAAGCTAAAAATATACATCAATATAGGAAGATACAACAATGAGACTTCAGTTCTACTTATCTGTTATCAAAAGCGTTGTAAGTAATATGTAAACAGTGGGTCAAGGTCATATTTATCAAAACAAAATTGTTTTAAATGTATTCAATGTAATCGAATGATAAAACTAAAGGATTGTTTTGCCTTGTATCCTATTACTCCCATGTGCCATATAGAATCTATTCATAGATGATCAAATAATTAATCTTCAACCGATGGACAGACGGATTGATAAACCGATGGACAGATGGATTGATAAACCGATGGATGGATGGATGAAAAAAACACTTTGATATATACAGTAACTTACAAATAATTAAAGAAAAAAAAACAATCAAAAGCAGAATATTTCAATTAGATATTAACAAAATCTCCCAAGTTTAGATAAATATCTTGATAACACCTAGAGAACAGGAATAGTGTTGGTGACATGGTTTGAATTAATTGATGTCAATATGTATACACTTTTCCGATAATATTTCAATAAACTAAAAGTTGTGAGATATCTTTTTTACAGATCTGTGGTAAAGCTTTTCTATACAGTGAAATAAGTTATCTGTAATGATGACAGAATGAAGTGCAACTATTCTGATATTCATCCAATACAACAAGTTTTACAATACAATTCATGCGAGACATTTTATAAAGATTCCAAATTAAATCATCAGTGTCTTTCTCTCTTTGTATAATATCATGAATATTAACAAATTTTTAACATGCAATCAGCATTAATACATGTAAAAGTAGATTGTGATCATTTTTGGTGATAAACATTGGTAACAAGATTGTACATGTTCACATAATGGTGCCAATTATAAACAAATATACCGAACTGGTCCTTGCAGCAGCTAATGTGACAACAAAGAAATGGAAAATTTTACGTCTTAATGCTTAACCATGACACCATTACATCATTACAAATATTTTGTTGAGTAATCGCGAATCAGTCTAAACATGTAAAGCCAAATTTACCTTATTGTTAAACAAAAATACATTTGTAGCACAAAGACATTCATTAGTCTGTTATTTTTTTTACATTAAAAGCAAAACAGTATTGCTTAAAATCTTTATAGATATCTTTATCAGATTGTTGTTCCTCTGGTAGAACATATTACTTAATTATACACAGGCACCAATACTTTCAGTATCAAATATCATTCATTGTGAGAAATGAATTTCTATAAAACATCAGCTGTATGTTTTATGATGGTTGAGAAACTTACTCAAACTTTTCCTCCATATTCCTCACAGCCTTTTCCATTTCCCCTATCCTCTGTTGTAACTTCTTATTCTCTGTCTGTTCTTTCTGCAGAAAATAGAAAATCTATTCTCATTTTCAGATATATTGTGGATTAAAATACAAGATGAAATTTTAAATTGTAATAGTGCAGCTAGTATACCAAACACCAAATTTATTGCCACAATCTCTCCCCTCTACCACCTCGCCCTGGGGGTGTCTCTCACACTTTAGGCCTGATAGCCAACTATATTACCTAACATTTACACACTTCAAAGTCAAGTTCTGTAAGAAAATACAGAGCCCAATAGATAACATACATGTACAATTTTTCCTCGCTGCATTGCCAGATCAAGCAGTTCATCCTTCTCCTTGGTAAGTTGCAGAATCTTCTGCTGAGTCTCAGCATCCAAGGTTTTCTTAGAGTCAGCCTGATTCTGTAGCTTGTAGTTTGCACCTACAAGCAAACACATACACATGTATATTAAATACATATGCTAAATTATGGAAAAACTTTATCTAAAAATACAACTTTTGTGTGTTAAAAAAGGTCAAAATCACATTTTTAACAGGTTAATAACTATTAATTGGTAATCTTAATCAATGTAATTTGGCAACTTTTTAAATTCTCTTCGACTCCTCTGAAAACCTTGTACAATGTATTTATCATTTATTTTTTTAGTAAAGTATTAAATACCCTGGGTTTTCATGAGGTACATGACCTACTTTTTAACCTCTCCTCTGCCTCGTGTAATTTGGCCTGTAGAGACTTCACATCCTTTTTGTGCTGGTCCTGTAATGCCCTGATATCACCCTGTAAAGCCTCTTCCTTCATACGAAACTCCTGTGTGTTATGTCTAAAATAAACAGCTAGTCTCAACAGCAAGTCAAATACAAAACAAAAGTGAGTGGGGCTGCTCACATAGATATACCCCATCCCATCATCATTTTCTTTTGATCTAAATCTATTAAGGGTTTAATGTATGAAGGGATCACACAAGGTTTAAACAAAAATGTGATCAAGGATGACCTTAAACAATGATCGCAAAGTTAGTTACAGGTTTTCCGTCTCCGCAACTCCTCTCGTTATTGTCTCACAAACAAACATCAATATTCTGACCACAAAAATCTAATCAGGTGTAGACTATGTTGGGGGTAATGATATGGTCTAAATATGGACTACATTTATCTATAGGTTTGTAAGATATCTTGTACACAAGATTAAAGCTGAAAATGGTGATCTTTTGACTTTTAACCTTGATCAACCATCACTGCCAAAATCTAAACAGGGGTAGACATTGGACGACTGATGCTATGATGTGAATATGAATTAATGCTGTGGGTTAATGAGACATCTTGTAATAATACTAGCTTTTCCACAAAAAAATTATCACAAATCAGACATTGACAAACAAACATTGTACCAATGTTATGATTTTCCAACAATTCATTTCCAATTTTAGGTAATGAAATTTTTTTTCTTTTGAATATTCATAGAATCGAAAATGATAGAAGAACAAAAACAAAGTTATTGTAGATGCATGCAACTGATAAGGTACTAAATACCTTTTGTAAAAGTTCTCACATTATAATGCTAGATACCTGTTGCGATGTTCCAGTGTATTACACTGTTCTTTGAGACTTCCAAGCTTTTTCGCCAGTTCACTTATTTGTTCATCCTTTTCAGCAATAGCACCAGAAAATATACGAGCATTTTCATCCCTTAACCGTGAATTTTCTTCTCGTAGATCTTTATTTGCTCTTTTATATTCGTCTTTTATTTTTATCATTTCTTGATGATTGGCTGCCAAGTCATCAAACCTAGAATTGAGTATGTTGTACTTCCTGATTTCTCCATCTAACATGTCTTTAGCCGAATCTCTGAAGCTGATCAGTTCTTCATTAATTCTGTCAACCGACTTTGTTTTGTTTGCAACTTCATCTGCACGCTGTTTCAAAATCATGATCAACTGAGACTGTTCATCAATACGAGAGCGAAGCATAGCTTTTTCAGTCTTATCATCAGCTGATAGCCCCTTCAACTTGGACAAATTCTGCTGCATGTCGGACATATCCTACATCAAAGAAAATTATTTTTAAAACTTTACAAATCACAATGAAACATCAATTGCTATAAATGTTTCAGAGTCAAATAATGCTACCCATTGTATTTTGAAACTAAGGGTACACGATAATACCCCTAACAATGTATTTTATAGTAATTCCTTGAAAACTCTGGGAACAAGATTAGAATTTATCCAATTTTAGGTTTTTTTACCCATCTTCATGGGTAAAAGGGAACAATGAAAGAGAAGAAATATACATTTATTATAAAGAAGTCATTTTTCAGGAGTTTTCAATAAACTTTGAATTAAGGATACAATAAGTTCTACACTACAGCAAACATTGAAGATCTTCTGCTTTAAACTGTCAACTACAGCATTAGCCATAAGCACATCCGACACACCAAAGATATGTTGAGGTTTGATACTGTCATTTTTCATAACACATTCTAAACATTAATTAGATATTCTAAGGAAAATACTTTTAATTGATGCCTTTGTAATCAATAATTATTGAAATTATGATTTGTATGAGTACAAAAATATGTACCATTACATACTTTTTTAGCTTAAAATCTATTTTGTTTTACTTTTTTAATTCTTGACCTAATTCTCTGCAAAAATGAAAGATAGATTATAGAGGGGAGGATGTGGTAGTGAAAAGAGTCAACTTTGTACTTATCTAGTACAGTACTGAGGTTGTTTGCAAAAATGACATTCAACAAGCCACCTGAACAGACAATGTATTTTTCACCATTAGATTCTACCATTCTGATCCATGTGGATCAAAATCAAATAGCATGTATCATGAGAGAGCAGAACACAAAATGAGTAAATTCTATTATCAGGCAAGAAGCAGGTAGGATTTGATACAAGAAAGAGGCACCAATGTATTCGTAAATAATGCATTAATATGTTAATTATCATTTCTGTCATTCAGCTGACAGATAGAGCATGCTTGATTGGATCAAATTGTAGAGCCATGCGACATCAGGATTTAGACTTTAGTTCCATTTTTGTCAAGGCAATCGACAATAATGTGTTTCCCTCATTTCTTCCACATTGGCACCCAAAGAAATCCCATGGATTGGAGAATTAATGTTCTCTTACACTGAACAAGTGTATCCATGCTTGTCTCATTGTATGGTTGAGACAGAGGAATCTCTCTTTCATATCTACAATGTCATGTCAATATGCAAAGCACAGAGACAAATGAAAGCTTACCTTATGAAGGTCAACCACATGTAAGAGAATGGTAACCATTCTTGATGAGATATTGGGATCTGAACCCTTGGGAAAAGGTCCCTAGACCTCACCTATGGCGTGAATTTTCCCATTATGGTCTTAATTGGTTTGAGATTAAGGAACTCTCAAGAAAAACCAAGGGAAGTAGCATGGAAGTAGTAGGTTAGTATGACATGGACATATAGAAATATTAATTACAGTGTCTGTCACACAGCTAACCAAATACTTTTGAAAATAGGAATATAAGTTATGGAACAAACTCTACACCTATCTACACCTGTCTAAATCTTTAATATTTGTGTAGGAGCAATCATATAAATAATAATAATCATATCATATAAATAAAAGTAGAAAGGATAAGGCACAACACACATGGATACGCTTGTAAAATTGCTTGCAAACTTTCTACTTTTATTTATTCTTCCCTGATGAGCACTGCTGAATACTTGAGTACCCACCCTTGGATCCCAACCGCCACTATATGGAACTGAATACCCTGCAGGGACGTTGGGCCTCCATCCCCTGTTGTTATATCATATAAATGGTCTTTTTTTAAAGTTTACTTTTCTAAAATTTCATCTAAATGCTGACGATTACTGTAAAATGGTCAGCGTGGTACATGCTATAAGCCGATGTAAAAGCAAATCATTCTATCTAATCTTTTTTAAGCTGACATCCGTAACTTCAAACCACTAGAGCAGGAAATGAGGGGACCGTCCTCCCACAGTCATACCCAGAGTAAAGGCCTTTTTGATGTCACCTTATCACTGTCCTCGACAATAGATCGGATGTCCTTTGGATTTCTTGTATTTGACGCCATGGTTATCGCATAATGAGTTGTCGAATGGCGTTGAAGAGGTGACACAATCGCACAAGATTTTAGATAAAGATATGCCTATCCCGTCCGAAAACTAAAAGCTTCGCATAGAAACATGACGCCGGAAGTGGTTACTGGACGGTAAAGAATTTTACGACTTATAGAAAATACAAATTAGAACAAAACTAATCATTTTGTGAAAAGATATACTTATTAGTTGATATGTTACTTAATTCTTCAAGCATAGTTATAATAACACCGGATTGGTTTTAGTGTTTATTGCGACTATCGTGAATTAGGAAAGTCTGTTGACTTCCGCTCAAAACGAAACGGCAAGGAGAAGTTTTTTACTTGCATGTTTGTCGTTATGCTAGGTTTTGGAATATTCATATGCTGTTTTCTTCCAAAGGAATGCATAGATATCAATTGAAAGATAAGTGTTGTGAATTGAAACAAACGTAAGCATGACTTAAATAGTATTTTATTATATATGAATTTTGCACTGTTCCCCCGTTCCCCCCATGCATCCCGCATAGATTCGAATGTGCTCCACGACATAGATATCAACTTATAATCAGTGACATTGGATACCACACGTGTTTCTCCTCATGTCTATATGATATTTTGATATATATGATGACCGACAATGCGATAGAAACTGAGCTTACATCAATCTTCTGTAGTCGGAAAACAAATTTTGGAGTAATGTAGGACCAATGCAGTTATCTACGTCCCTGGCTTTATTTGCATAAGTCGCGCGTACAGGATCCCATTAAGGTGTAAACAAGTATCATAAAGACTAAGATATTCTATTGGGACTATTGACTTTGATGGGAAATTCGTAATGAGTTCAAAATCGGTCATAAATTAAAATTTGAACTTTGATTACTGCTGTTATTAGGTGACATGAAAATACTTCTTATTACCTGTACTTTGCAGGCAATATACAGACAAAATGACAAAATATTGATCAGTGTGAACAGCAAGACAGACTGAGTGGCCATGTCAACTGTGACAAAAATTCTGTGGTCACCCACCCAAAAGGACCAGTATCTCACATACGGGTCAATGGTCAATTTATACAAAGTCATACGGTGTGATGATAGTGATGCTTTCAAGGGAATTCAAGGTATGATCTAGTGCATTTATCTTTTCCTGCACTTTATGCAGACAAAGTAATTCAAATGATATCTGATATTTCTTATTGTAATTAGTGTAACAGGGAAGGAAAATTAGCAAAAAAGAAGAATTAAATTGCTGTTTGCATTTTTCATGTAACACTGAATGTTTTCAGTGTTTTGTTAAAACATTTATACAGAATATTTCAGAAGTAAGAGCATATGTGTGAATGTTTTTTGTTTTACGATGAGTCATAATGGATGTTATGTGTACATGGCATATGATATATCTTTACTACCTCTGCATGTTAAGATGATATATGAATGCTCTTTAAATACCCCTATTTGATAGTAAATAAGATGATGCACTTTCATCTCCTGTCTGGCAGCAACAAGACTTTCTGATAACACCTATGGTATCCACGTAGCTGTCAATTCAGGAATACAATATCTAAAGGTAAGAGCATTATCATTCTTAATAAGATGCTTTTAAATCTCATTATCATGTAGTTTTTAGACAAAAAATAAAATATTGAATTATAATTTTGGATAATCTATTATTTTAGGTATAAAAAATCATCAGTAATGACTGTGATATGTGAGTCATCAGCATATCAATTACAATACGCATTGAACAAATTGATAACTTGGAATAATAAAAAGAGTTGGAGGAGTCCAACGTCCTGTGAGTGGTACTAGTTGGTAGATGTATCGGTAGAAGAATCCTTGGTGGATCCAAAGGATTCTAGCAGAGCTCCATAGACCATAGTTACTAACCACTAAGTAAAGGATGAAGCATCAACACCAAGGATTCTGTGATCGGTAGTTTTATTAGGTTGACATGTTTCGGCTAGCTAGACTAGCCGTCATCAGAACAGCAGTACAAGTATCGGCATAGCTAAGCTTAAAATTACGGTTCAGCGTTAAAAAAACAATTTTATATGCAGTGCTAGTTAGAAAAAGAATTTGAAGACAGAATACAAAAATCTGGTTTTATTTATCCCTATTAATTGAACTTGTTGGGAGTTTACTGATAGATGCCTTTCATGAAAAAATATATATGTTGGAAGTTTTGAATGTCTTCAAAATTACCATTATACATACGTTTTCTTTATACATGTAGATACTTTGTGGAAAGGTAAAGCGTGCATTGATGTAAAACTATGGTTCCTTAAGTATATACTGTTGATGCTACAACTCATTAGAATTACATTTCCTTTGCTATAATAGGTAAATTACTATAAACAGAGTTAATGAAGCAGGGTTTTATTTTCAGACTGTTGCATGGTATCCTGGCAGAGATGAGCAGGACAATCTAATAGCTGTAGGACAGCCCAATGGCAAGATCATTCTCACAAGGTAACTAAGTCATTCTCAACTGGTTACTAACTATATCATTCTAATAAGGTAGATATATCTAGGTCATTCTCATCTCAACAATATTTCACACTGAAAACAAATTGATTGAGGAACAGTTCTTTTGTCATTTTTTGGAACATTTCCTTCAGGTTGGTAATGTCAATAGACCAATACTTTGATAGCATTATTATCTTTCTGGTACACTTCAAACGTCAGTGCTAGTACGCTTCACACAGGTCACTTTCTGATGGAGGTGACTGTGAAGTCATCAAAACGTCACACTCTAATCTTCTTCTGGTTGTGTTGTGAGGACTTCTATTCTCTAGTTCTTTTGTCAACTTAATCCATCTTTTTCACTCCCAACATTTAATCTTCATTGTAGTTTTGGACAACCAGGTGGCAGTGATCTGGTGGGAAAAGAATTCAGTAAGTTTTTTTTACACATTAGTGAAGTTGTATTAACTTTGGAATGGCCAGTAATTTACAAATTGTAGTGCACTGAATCACAAGTTGAGATATTGAAAATATTTCCAATATTTGAATAATTATGAAAATTATTACAAAAATATTTTTTATCTTTCAGGTCCAAAACATACTAGGTCGTGTGTATACTTGGCATGGAATCCATTGGACACCAATTTGGTAAATTTTCAGGTTCACTTAAAAGTATGAACAGATATGAAGTTTGAGAGAAAATAAAATTAGAAATCATTCTCAAACTTTACATTTGGAAGGACATTTTAGCCCAACCTATGTCTGTTGTCTGCCATCTGTTGTCGGTCCTTCCATAAACACTTTTTGTTATCCCTATTTCTTGAGAACTATGGCAAAGATATTTTTCAAATTCCATGGTTAGGTTACTCTTGCTTGGTTAGTTGTGCTTGTTTGATTTTGGAACTGATCGGAAGATCAAAATAACTGACAGGTGGCTATCTCCAATTTGGCAAAGTAATTATTTTGGGACTGATCAGAAAAATAAAATGACTGACAGTTGGCCATTTTCGATAATGCAACTAAGGATTATTATCGCTATTTCTGCAAAGGAATGTTCAAATTTCACATCATTAAGAGCAAAACCTTGTACCTGATTATATTGTATCTGGGTCTTTATGGTATCATATCTGGCTTCTGATTATATTATATCTGTGTCCTGATTATATTATATCTGGGTCTGAATAGTCGTGTAACAATAGGTCATCTTATCAATATATTGTAATAGCATTGCTCTTGATCGCAATAGGTTGATAGCATATTTTCACATTGTGATATTTTGGTCAACTATATATTGTTAATGATATTTTATTAACTCAACAAAAATGCTTCTTAAAAACAAGTTTTTCATCAAGTTATTACAAAACAGCTGCAAGCCTTCATTTATTTATGAAAGCATTTTTGGGACCTTGATCAGGGGTAGCACTAATGTTCCGAGACACAATCACCTGCTTAGAATGGAAAGAGAATTTTAAGCACAAGTTGTTACATTGATGAGAGTTTATATCTTGAATAAGTGTTATATCGTTATTGTTTCTGATATGATTTAATTAAATCTACTAAGTATTGTAAGGGAGGTGGTGACTTCTTTAACTCCAGGTCTTTCAGACCCATCCTTGAAATGACCAATTCGATACACAACATGGCAGAAGGTAGCAGCATTTTTAAAATTGTTCCCTTGCCAATAAAATGACAAAAGTTGGGGTAGAACAGCAATTTGGTTATGTGAAAGTTTACGACAAATGTGTCTCAAAACTGATCACAATTACCTTACCTTTTGTGAAAGTACGAGTAACTTCATTTGATAAATAGCTATATGATCCTACCTTTACTAAGTCTATACATATTGTTTTTCAACATGTTGATAATCTTTTAAAACATGAAACAAGTTGAAAAAAAGAGGAAATTATACTAGATTTATTGTAAAACTAAGACTTCTATGAAAATCATATTTCACAACAAATATCACAGAACAGCATGTTTTTGTATGAAATAAGTAAAATGAAAATATAACAAAGTGTAACAAATATCACTTTACAACACTTGACTAAGTAACTGTTGCAATAATATTACATTAGTAATTTTAATATCACAATACTACCTTGATAGCTTTTTTGGCCTAAATAATCAAAGCTAGGTCTTATTATATTATACAGTACCTGAGCCCTGATGTTATATTATATTTGGGTCCTAATTATATTGTATCAGGGTCCTGATTTTATTATACGAGTCCTGATTACATCACATCTGAGCCCTGATTATATCACTTCTTGATCCTTGTTATATCATATCTGGATCCTTATCATATAGTATCTGGGTACTGATTACAACATATCTGGGCCCTGATTATATGTACCATCATTCTTGTTGTGTTTCCAGATAGCAGAAGGTCTTGAAAAGTACCGAAGTGACCCCTGCATCCTTATTTGGGATATCCACTCAAAGCCAAGCAGTGAAATGACATCAACTTTGGAGCGACAACGTTACAGTTCCTCTTTAAGTGAATCCAGTGTTATCACCAAGCCTATTTCAGAATTGGGTACATTTCACTACAGTAACAAAGTTTTTACTGGCCTCAAATAGGGCTTGGATCTATATTATAGTGGTATTCCATTAGTATACCAGAGTAACCATTCTTCGGTGATAGAACTTTGATTGGATAATATACTGTGTACAATTTCATAAATCAGATTCTGTTTTAGGATCATCAGATTTTATCCGAAAAGTACTTACTTAATTTTAAGCATGTAGAGCCTTCATCAACCCACCATTCCCTGGTTGTTGAACTTTTCACTTCTGTGCTGACCTAAGATTTGGAATTGCAGGAGCTGGTGACACTACAGGATCCCTCGCCTGGTCCCACAAAGACTCCAATACATTTGCAGTAGGGTTGGGCTCTAAGTACATCAAGATCTTTGATTTGAGAGGTACAGGTATTGCGAGTGATGAGGAAAGAGTCAACTGTGTTATTCACAGACATATTGCTTTGTCACAAATTTTTAAACACTGTGCTTGTCTAAATTATTTGTAGTTTACAGGAAAAAATACTTTGAAAGATGCAAAGGAAACCTGATTGTGAATGATAAATGATATCTTTTATCCTATATGTACTACACATTCTTTATCACATAACAAGTTTAATTTCCTAATATGCAAGTAATTGCTTTATAAAGTGTATGTTATATTGATATGTATTTTGCACTTTTGTTATTGTTAACCAACTAAATTGTTTACCAGAGACGAGTAGACAGCACATGACCACCAACACTAAAAGTGTGTATGGTATCTGTATGGACCCACAGAATCACTTCAGATTAGCCTCCTTCCATGAGGTATGTCACCATTCAAATAAAATACACTGGGTAAAAAACATGTAGCAAACCTATCCTTTTCAAGCTGTTTCATGTTCAAAGCAACCCTCGTTCAGTTTGTTGCAATGTTCAGCTATAATAATGTTCAGTTGTTACCCTGCTCAAACTATGATCCTATTCACACCAAACCTTGCAAAATAAGAGGAGACATTATCCAAACTAAGGGTAATTTTGTATCAAATTCTGAAAACTCTGTGAGTACAATGTCCCATTTATAAGATACTACTGTGAGTACAATGTCCCACTTATCAGATACTACTGTTAGTACAATGCCCCACTTATCAGATACTACTGTTAGTACAATGTCCCATTTAACAGATACTACTGTGAGTACAATGTCCCACTTATCAGATACTACTGTGAGTACAATGTCCCATTTATAAGATACTACTGTGATACAATGTCCCATTTAACAGATACTACTGTGAGTACAATGTCCCACTTAACAGATACTACTGTTAGTACAATGTCCCACTTATCAGATACTACTGTGAGTACAATGTCCCATTTAACAGGTACTACTGTGAGTACAATGTCCCACTTATCAGATACTACTGTGAGTACGATGTCCCACTTATCAGATACTACTGTGAGTACAATGTCCCATTTAACAGATACTACTGTGAGTACAATGTCCCATTTAACAGATACTACTGTGAGTACGATGTCCCACTTATCAGATACTACTGTGAGTACAATGTCCCACTTATCAGATACTACTGTGAGTACAATGTCCCATTTAACAGATACTACTGTGAGTACAATGTCCCACTTATCAGATACTACTGTGAGTACAATGTCCCACTTATCAGATACTACTGTGAGTACAATGTCCCATTTAACAGATACTACTGTGAGTACAATGTCCCACTTATCAGATACTACTGTTAGTACAATGCCCCACTTATCAGATACTACTGTTAGTACAATGTCCCACTTATCAGATACTACTGTGAGTACAATGTCCCATTTAACAGATACTACTATGAGTACAATATCCCACTTATCAGATACTACTGTGAGTACAATGTCCCACTTATCAGATACTACTGTGAGTACAATGTCCCATTTAACAGATACTACTATGAGTACAATGTCCCACTTATCAGATACTACTGTGAGTACAATGTCCCATTTAACAGATACTACTGTGAGTACAATGTCCCATTTAACAGATACTACTGTGAGTACAATGTCCCACTTATCAGATACTACTGTGAGTACAATGTCCCACTTATCAGATACTACTGTGAGTACAATGTCCCATTTAACAGATACTACTGTGAGTACAATGTCCCACTTATCAGATACTACTGTGAGTACAATGTCCCACTTATCAGATACTACTGTGAGTACAATGTCCCATTTAACAGATACTACTATGAGTACAATGTCCCACTTATCAGATACTACTGTGAGTACAATGTCCCACTTATCAGATACTACTGTGAGTACAATGTCCCACTTATCAGATACTACTGTTAGTACAATGCCCCATTCACATAATCATTCATACTTACTTTACTAGTCTGTTTTCTTTTTAATCTTTTCAGAATCAGGTATCAGTTTGGGATATAAGAAATTTTGATAAACCTGTATCCTTTTTGTGTTTGAAGTGTTATTGAAGTGTTCAGTAACTAGGGACTGGAATTAAACAAATTGAATATTAATATGTGATTGTATTGTATTTGGAGTTGAAGCTAGTGCTATTCTTTAGCAGAACTCATAAAGTGATGAATTTCATGTGCATGGTGGTTGGGAGAAAATGAAGCATATAACATGCTACTGTTTAAATAAATTACTCCTTTTAATAGTCTCTGCTTGACAAACATGTTGTCCTCCTGAAGGGCACATGTTTTACTGGAATATTTTATTGGCTGAATGTTGATAATAGTTTCAAATGTAGGACATAAAATTAAGTAAGAAATTCAACACGTGTTGCACTTAGTTTATTTCATATCACCTGATTGGTCAGAATCAATAAGTTAGTATATATTAAGGGTATTCTTACATCTCATTATGATCAATGATCCACATACGTTTTAGTTATATTATCATTAGGAAAGTCTCAAAATGATTGTTGGTGGTTGTGCATCAAAGCGATTAGATATGTACATCTTCAAACTAGACCTAAATGTTAGATAATGTTCATTGGTCTGTGGATGTATTTAATCTTTGCCACACAGAAAGTTAACCAGTTTCTAACTATAGAAGGGACAATGTATCTTGCATATGTTCAACTTGGTATTGTTATGATCAGCTGTAAACTATATTTTCACTACAAATACTGTGATTTGATTGGTCCAAAATGACTGCACATGTCAAAACTTGATGTTTTCACTAGGTGAAAATGTCACTTATACATTCACATGGAATTGTTTTTGTACCCAAACAATACTTTTCTTCATTTTTTTTTACTATATGACATCCATAGTGTAAAATTGTAACAAATGAAGGATTCTAATTGTGAATGGATGAAGACTCAAACTCAAGAGATAAGGATTGATGAGTCCTTGACCTTTGACCTAGATAATGACATTTCCAGAAACAAAAGCTGTTGTCCAAATTGGTTGGTGTCCAACTAGGTAAGTGGAAAGAAATTAGAGGCAGCAGGATGTAAGACTTCACTCTTACTGGTGACATTAACAATGTTAAAGGGACATTTTGCACAAGTTGCAAATTTTTCAATGTTTTGTACTATTTTATAACCATTCAAAGCATTTTTGAGCATCTAGTGGTCAGTTCGTACAAATAAATGGATGGAAATGCCCTTGACTAATAACATAATAATTAGACTGCTGAAAGCTTAACACATTTATTATGCTTTTGAAACTACAACTAGGAGCCTATTATCCAATCCAAGCAGTAGGGACATTGCAAGCAAATTGTGAAATGATCAGTTTATCCCATTTCATGTATTCAAATATACTACATACAGATAGGTACTGAAGGATTGATGCTTAAAATTTCCATATTAGCATAAATAGATACTTATATGAGTTTTGTAATAGACATCCATCTATTGAAATCCTGACTTATCCATGAAGATAATCAAATAGCAAAAGCAACTGTTGTTTAATTTTACTCTGAATTTTGGCTTTCTATTGTTTAAAATTCTGTAGTCCCTAAGGAACCTCTGTAGGAGATCAGGTTTCCTGTTATTATCTTAATGTAACCTTAATTACAATTTGGGACAGTGATGATTCAAGGTATCAGAATTTCACTTTATTTCCGATTTGACTAATTATTGGTACATGTATATACATCTTGATTTATTTCCCCTGTGAGATAATCATGTTACTATGAATGATTTTGAAAACTTTTGGTGTTTCAATTTATCATCTTGTTAAATCCAAAAAGTATGGCTTTACAATAAAAGATTTATTTTTTCCTGTACAGAATGGGATTCTTAGCAGTGTTAACAAAAGAGACATCAGCTGTAAAGCTGTATGATATTCGTCATATACCAGTGGGTAAGTGCAGCCTTTAAAACAAGACTTCTATACACAATAATTGTGTGAGATATGTCGAAAACAACCTTGTGAAACTTGTCAAGTTTTTATCTGCAGTGTATAAGACTCGTAGCTGATACATATGAAAGAAATAATTTCTAAACTGTTGTAGACCACTTACATTTTGTGAAATTTAAGTTGTATCATTGGAGAGGAAGGTGATTACACTACCTAATCGGAACCCAAACGCAAGGTTAAGCAACAAGGCAAGGCCACAATGACTGAATCAATGGAGCATCAGAGTTTGTAACATTGGGTTAGGATCTGACATGGGTGGTTTTGTAATACCAGCATGAAGAAATTGTGCCTCTCAGGAGATGGAGACATGAATTGTTTGGTGTTGTTGTGGTTGTTCATAATTTCATGCGACCTGGACCATTTCAGTCATGATATGCAAAAGGCACCTTATTGTAGATGTCAATTTGTAAATATCAGTAGACACTGATTTAGCTCCCTTGTTTTATAGAGACAGGTGCTGATGTCTGCCTGTATATATCAACAGACACTGATTTATCAACCTTGTTTTATAGAGACAGGTGCTGACATACACTGATTTATCACCAATGTTTATAGAGACAGGTGCTGAGGTCTGCCTGTATATATCAACAGACACTAATTTATCACCCTTGTTTATAGAGACAGGTTCTGATGTCTTTTTGTATATAATCCTACACTGATTTATCACCCATGTCTATTGAGATGGGTGCTGATAAAACTACTGTAGATGTCTTCCTATATCAACATACTGATTTATCTCCCTTGTACAAGAGACAGGTACTGATGTCTGACTGTATATATCAACATACTGATTTATCTCCCTTGTCTATAGAGACAGGTACTGATTAATAAGTTTTTATGTTATCCAGCTGAAATGGTCCAGAAGGCACAGACTTAATCTATGATCGATAGACACGTGCATCTGTACTGGATCTTGGAGCTCAAAGTGTACAATTTTTTTATTTCCTTGAAAACATGTAATGATGAACCATTGGAATGTTTCATTTTTACCTATACTGCATATTTTAACACTTCCAGAAATATGTTTGTTCAACAGCTCTGTTTTATGCAGAAATTCTGAAAACTAATGATATTCAGCCAGATAGTTTTGGACACACACGATTGTATGTTTTCTTGCCGGATTTGCACTTTGTGTTTTTCTTGCATGTTTAGGTTGTCCAGCCCATTTCCATCACTAAGGTGAAAGCAAACTTATCATAGATATCAACATTATTTGATTAGTCTGCTTTGTCTGTTGGTATAGGTGCTGATGAGTTGGATCCTGCTATTATAGAGAGGAATATTCAGTGTAAGTACATTACTTTAGAAGAGTCTTTGATTTGTGAGTAATTACAGTTTAATCTGTTGTTTCTGTTCCATCTCAAATGTGGAAGATTAATGTTTGTAGAAAAGAAAAAAGACCGAAGTTTTTGCTTTAACATACAGACTTAGTGTCTAAGTTCTGCCCAGTTTATGATATTAGTAGCACTGCTGAGGAATTGTTTATTTTAAAGTAAGTAGCCAAAGTACCTAGAAGTACAATAGATAAATGATGGTGACAACATTACCTAAGCTGGAACAAAGGAGGAAAATTTGCAGAAATTTGAAATCGCCACTGTAACTGTTTTGGGGATTTGCTTTACATTGGTATACAGGTATTATTTGTGATATCATTAATAAAAAAATGTAATACTGATAACACATTATTGAATAATTTTCATTATTTCTGTGTTATTATATGCTAATTGATAGATATGAAAAGGAGTTGTTGTTTTTTTTTTGTTGTGCCCAGGTCTTCCCAATCAATGCACCGCTTTTTCCTGGCACCCAATGGAAGAAAATCGTATGTTGACCATATCACAAACTGGGGCAGTCAAGGACATTACTGTACACGAAAGAATCCCAGTGGTAAATACCTGTATTATGAAATCTGTTTCAAAAGTTCTCCAAATTGGTGAAGGGATCCCAGTCTCCATAATCAACTAAACACTGTATTACAAAGTTTTCTCTCCGGTATTTGTAGGGTAATCTGCCTGTGTCAGATCTGATATATGTAAGTGTAAGTTACCCATGATTTAGATCTGGTATTTACAGGTGTGATTTACCTTCGTTCTAAATCTGGTGTTTGTAGATATAATTTAATTAGATAGTTTTAATTCAGGTATTTATAGGTGTAATTAACCTGAATGTGTTTTGGATCTAGTATATGTTGGTATGATTTACCTGTGTTTTAGATCAGGTATTTGTAGGTATGATTTACCTGTGTTTTAGATCAGGTATTTGTAGGTATAATTTACCTGTGTTTTAGATCAGGTATTTGTAGGTATAATTTACCTGTGTTTTAGATCAGGTATTTGTAGGTATAATTTACCTATCTTTAGATGAGGTATGTGTAGATATAATTGACCTGAATTTGTTTTGGATCTGGTATATTAAGGTATTATTTACCTTTGTTTTAGATGTGGTCCTCACAGTTTCACCTCTCCTGGGCATGTGGGAGAAGGATGGTGGATGTTGTTTCATCAAAAGAAAGTGATACGATAGACATATCAGAAAGAATTCAACAACGAGTCAGGAAAGGATACGGTACACAGGTAAAACACACTAATTCATACTGGAGGTGGAAATTTTATACAATCTTTTATTTTATAACTTTATTGTGAATGTACTGTATTCAGTTGATAGGAAAAGAAGAACTAGATGTAGCAAGTACCGGGATAGACTGTTATGAGCCAGGTTTGTGTACAACTGGGGTTGGAACCAGGGTACCTGAAAGCAAAAAGAGGTGCTACTATTATAGAACCAGCTGTATACAATTGAAATTACAGTGATATTGTAGCATGGACAGATTTAACATTACAAATTTATAAATACTACTTTATATTCTATGTTTTCAGTACATAGTTACAGCAACTCAAAAAAATTGACACTTCTCACAACAACAATGTGGTAGCTTTGATCTGGTGTTTTGTTTGCTCAGTTCTTGACTTTTGCATAGTATAATACATAAATAGCAACACAAACACACTTATTCAATCTTGATCTTCCAATCACATATGACAATAAGTGAGGTATTTCAAATTGTTGAAGAATGGTATAAAACAAGTTTAGTTCATTAATCTTGCTCTTTTCATTATCATTTCAAGTTCTTTTATTGTACAGAAATAATTTGAGATATAAAATTATCATAATTTTCCAGACATGCACAAAGTTTGTAATATAATGAACTGATAAACAAGCAATATACATGTAGATTCCTAGAATGAAGCATGTAATGACTGGATCTTTGCTCAATAACGATTGGTAAAAGTAACATCCACATACATACTCAGTCACTACCAGCAATGCTAGGATGACATAAATTGCTGTTTCAGTCACTTAACTTAAATTTATCATGATTAATAGTGGTGTAACAATAGGTCAACATGTCAATGTATTGTGATAGCTTTGATCTTGTCTAGCTTTGAATGAAGGTGTGGTACAGCTGTTTTTCCTGAAGATGCAGCTTGTGATTATAATGTAAAAAAAAATAAGAAAATGAAAATTTAGAAATATTCAGTTTTGCTTTCATGGTGATGTATTAATTGATTTTGGGGTTAAAAGTGATCAGTTGTGCATAATGTATTTCATTCACTACTTACAAGGTTTTTCTTTTCAGACAATGAATGTAGAGCACAATGCCCATGTAGTGAACGAAGAACCAAACTTAAGGGGGATGTGGAGATGGTTGTCTTGTATCCTTAATTATGATTTGTAATGTGAGATTAAGCAATGCCCCTATGGGGAAGGGGGATGTGTGTGATGGTCGTTCTGTATCCCTGTACACTATAAGGTAAGATTTGGGTGGTGTTGTGGTGGTTGTCCTGTATCTTTGTGCACTATAAGGTAAGATTTGGGTGGTGTTGCGATGGTTGTCCTGTATCCCTGTACACTACAAGGTAAGATTTGGGTGGTGTTGTGGTGGTTGTCCTGTATCTTTGTGCACTATAAGGTAAGATTTGGGTGGTGTTGCGATGGTTGTCCTGTATCCCTGTACACTACAAGGTAAGATTTGGGTGTTGTTGTGGTGGTTGTCCTGTATCTTTGTGCACTATAAGGTAAGATTTGGGTGTTGTTGTGGTGGTTGTCCTGTATCCTTGTGCACTATAAGGTAAGATTTGGGTGTTGTTGCGATGGTTGTCCTGTATCTTTGTACACTATGAGGTAAGATTTGGGTGGTGTTGTGATGGTTGTCCTGTATCCCTGTACACTGCAAGGTAAGATTTGGGTGGTGTTGTAATGGTTGTACAGTATCTCTGTACACTATAAGGTAAGATTTGGGTGGTGTTGTGGTGGTTGTCCTGTATCTTTGTGCACTATAAGGTAAGATTTGGGTGTTGTTGTGGTGGTTGTCCTGTATCCTTGTGCACTATAAGGTAAGATTTGGGTGGTGTTGTGGTGGTTGTCCTGTATCTTTGTACACTATGAGGCAAGATTTGGGTGGTGTTGTGGTGGTTGTCCTGTATCTTTGTTCACTATGAGGTAAGTTGAATTGACAAACTAAATTAGGGTATGGTGATGGTTGTCTTTTATCCTTGGTAAGGTAAGAATACCTTGACCCAATAAATATATTTTCACTCTCATTCCATCCTTAATTTCAAATAGTAACCAGACAGTTAGTTGATGAGAGCAGGAAATCACAAACGAAGATGAACATGTCCCGATGTACAGGAATCAAAAGTCTCCTACGACAGGACAATGATAGCAGTAACAACGTAATTTACTGTCCCTGGCAGGAAGTAGACGGCAACATTCTGAATAACCTTAGGAAGATGAGGATGTACACTAGTGAGGAAAGGTAAGTGCACAGGGGTGATGTGCAATATTAAGTTTCTTATCACTTCAGTGTATTCTCCAAACTTATTTTCGAGGGTTGATAAATCATTGTACTCACCTAAAAACAGGTCAATAACTGTTTTATTATATTGGATACACCTAGTATAGTTGTAGTGATTAAGGCTTGAAGCAATATGGGAACATTTAGAATCGACCAATGAAAAAACAGGGAAAAATCACTGTCATATCGTAAAAATATTTTGATTTTATTTTAATCCTTTTGGAAATTAATGTTTTAGTGGATGGTTTTTAATTCAGATTAGGTTTTAGTTTTAGTAGATCAGAAGATGGGATGTCTATATATTCTAAGGTGTTCCTTTCACAAATCATTTAATTTATGATTGGGGATAAGGGTTTAGGAAGAAATGGTTATATAGACTCATTGCCTCGTTAAGGATCTTGGCTCTGTGCTGATGGTTAAATCAGAATTTTATCTAACTAGTTGATAGGATGTTTAATTGGTGGTCAAGCAATTTAATTCAGGTTCCATTAACAAATATGAAATCCATCCAAGTTTATGTTATATGTTGTCAAGAGAGTAATTAAATTTGTTCAACTGTTATTAGCAATTTGGAAATATTATTATTTAATTTAATAGTTTGTTTTAATATTCCATGTAATTACAGGAACTTCAAAAAGGCAGAGAAACAATGTGTTTTACAGGCATTTCAGAATTCTAAAGATTCTATGCATCACAATTTTATAACAGAAAATAATAGATTTAAATAAATTCAAAATTAATTCATTACTTCTGTAGGACAAGAGCAATACGTTTGTGTGGATGGAGAAACCAGGAGATGGTGGACCTGTTTCTTGAGGAGTAAGTGTTAAACTAAGCTGCTGTGGAAGTCATACTCAGTACTTATATAAATTGGATGTTGATCAATTCAGCTTATAGAATCCCACTAACAGAAAGGGGAGATGTAAAGCAGAGGACAGAGAGGTAATAGTTGTTCATGTCAGGTTGTCTATTGTCAACTGTACTTCAACCATTGTCCTCATGAGACAAAATAGGGTTGAAAATATGGGATATTTGCCTTCCGCTGGGAGATGTGGCCTGTATCATGTTGTAGTAGTGATTGAACTCCATTTTTGTACTCCATTGTTTACAGACTTGAAACACAAACAGAATACACCAAGGCTGCTGCCGTAGCTCTGTTCAACCTGAAGATGGGCAAGTCCATACAGATTCTAAGTAGGACTGCTGCAAAGCAAGGTACAAAATTATTCTGTCTGATGTTTGATGTGCTAATCATATTTGTTTCTAAATTTAACTATGTTTGTAAAGGCATAGTGTTCAAAATATCAGAATGAATTTGCCAAACTTATAAAAAATGGAATCATGAATCATACTTTTAGATTGTTCATAGTAGTTCTTTAAATTTCATGACTTAGGTAAAAGTAAATCTTTTACGACAGGTTATGAAAACTTAAGTGCAGTTGCCATGGCAATAGCTGGGTACACTGAGGAACAACAGACAATGTGGCGTCGTACTTGTGGATCCCTACTGCAAACTGTCCATGATCCATATCTTCGGGCAATGTTCTGCTTTCTTGCCAGTGACAAAGAAAACTATGATGAAATTTTGGTACAAATTTTGTTATATCTGATATGGGATTATTATTATTTTGAAATAGAAAATGCAATTTTAAGATAGCTTTGTTGTATATAAAAAAGTACCTGGTAATGGTGGGCTGGTCATTAGTAAATATACATACTTAATGTTTTATTTTGGGTTTTTGGAACTAGATTTCAGTGTGTGTGCTTTTTTTATTTAATTTTTTTCATTAGGACAAGTTTTAACATTTTAAAGTATTAATAGTGTTTGAATTAAAATCTTTCATCATTTATATTTAGTTGTCGTTCAAAATTCAAAATGAGCAGCTGTTGAAAGCATGCTATACAGCGATATCTTAATGGTAAGTTCCTTGATAACTTCAGTTGGCTGACCACCTTTTATTGTTTCTTTGTTCAGGCAGATGATAACTGTATGACCGTTGCTGACCGACTGGCTTTTGCCTGTATATACCTATCAGATCAAAAGGTACACCCATATGGACAAAACAGTAGAAAGGAAAATACAATCTATTATCAAATTTACTGAAATAAGGAATTAAGATACTTGGACATTGGCAGCTGTAACATTCTAGTGCAGTAGTATTCAGCCTGTCTGTTTGTAATAAAATCAGGACATATACCAGGTATTAATTATGTATAATCATGTCCAGCTTGTTCACTTTAGTGTTCAACCTGTTATTCTTAAACTCAGATAGAAGTTAAATCACCAAAAACTAAATTTGCCTTCCCACATTGCCAGAATATTGATAACATGAAAAAGTGTTTTCACTCAAAACCATCAACACAACAATATCATACAGGGCCTTACGGAAGTTTTAATTGTTGATCAACACAACATCATACAGGGCCTTACAGAAGTTTTAATTGTTGATCAACACAACATCATACAGGGCCTTACAGAAGTTTTAATTGTTGATCAACACAACATCATACAGGGCCTTACAGATGTTTTAATTGTCGATCAACACAATATCATACAGGGCCTTACAGAAGTTTTAATTGTTGATCAACACAACATCATACAGGGCCTTACAGATGTTTTAATTGTCGATCAACACAATATCATACAGGGCCTTACAGAAGTTTTAATTGTTGATCAACACAACAATATCATACAGGGCCTTACAGATGTTTTAATTGTCAATCAACACAATATCATACAGGGCCATACAGATGTTTTAATTGTCGATCAATACAACATCATACAGGGCCTTACAGAAGTTTTAATTGTCAATCAACACAACATCATACAGGGCCTTACAGAAGTTTTAATTGTTCATCAACACAACATCATACAGGGCCTTACAGAAGTTTTAATTGTTCATCAACACAATAATATCAAACAGAACCTCATGGAAGATTGTAACACAATGACTAAACACAGTGTTTACTTGGGTTGACCGAAACTTTTATTTCATCGTATAGTGGTTTTCCATAGTTAGTACTTCGCGTTAGTATCCATTACAAAAGATAGTTCCTAATCAACATACAGCATCATGTCGTGGCACCAAAACTAAACACCTGTGTAAGGCAGACAACAACGAAAAACCTGCCCGTCCATATCAAAGAGTTCCATACAAATGTCCATGGGCCAACTTGGCCAGGACCCACTCCATCGCGGAGCAGGTCCCATACGGGACTCTGCCCGTCTGCACGTCCGACTCCCAACTCTCTCTCTAGCTACTCGATCCCAGACTCGACTACACTTCTGCTGGCTATTATCTTTGTATAAATAATACCCAAATACTTAATTTAAGCCTAGTCTCAATTGGACAACAATAACCCAGCCCCCGGAGCATCTAATTATGAAGGCACGTGCGACTAGGAGTACCCGTTATCAACTTCCCATCTTTGATCTACCTTATACATTGTTTCTTATCTTGTTTACTTACAAATGTGTTCGCCAGCGCGAGGCATACAAGAAAGCATCTATCTGTCCTGATCAATCATAATGGCGATATTCTGCCACTGTGCTTCACCACTTGGGTACACACCCCGCCCGTTATCAGGCGTGCATCACTATCTATCACTCACGGGATTAACTGACTTTTGACCTGATGTACTTTAAACTAAGATGCTGCTCTCTACGATACACACCATTCCAAAATTACTATTAAACCCATTTTTTTACTCATTTTGTTACAAGATTAAAAGTCCATTAACAGTCGAAATCATGCTGTTAAGTAATGGCTTGATTTTTTTGATTGATAATGTTGATAAAGTATATTGTATTTATATAGAAGGAGATCATTAATTTAGTGTATATTTTGTTTCTCCTCAGTTAAAGGAATATGTGGACAGTCTTAGCTGTCGTATGAAGGACCAGGGATGTTTGGATGGCCTACTTCTTACTGGTATTTGATCAGAATAATTAAGCAACATTATGTTGATATATATATATACAGCATTATATTTTATTTAAGTGTCACATATCAAGGTACAAAGTAAGAAAACATTGGTTATATGTTTACAGACAGAAAAGTGATATCAAGCAGATATCAGCTTATGAGCCTATGAAAAGTACCAGCTTGAAACAGATTAATGTAAGAATTTTACCTTATTAGATATTGAAAGTGAACAGCAGAATCTACACCTAAGTCAGTTATAATTATTTAATATAATTGTTAAAACAGTGTGACCTTCTTTCTTTTGTGAAATGAATTCACATTTCGATAAATACCCTAGAATCAGTCTGTGTAATATTGTAGTGTATTTTTTGTAACAATGGAATGACTTATCTGAATGGAAGTAGGATATTGGAGGAGGTAGAACTTCTACGGAACTATGCTGATAGAAAAGTTGTGATGGTAGTTACTTTGTGTTCCCTATCTATGACTGACATTGGAGGGGGTAGAACTTCTACAGAACTACGTTGATAGAAAAGATGTGATGGTAGATACTTTGTGTTCCCTATCTAGGACTGACGTTGGAGGGGGTAGAACTTCTACAGAACTATGTTGATAGAAAAGATGTGATGGTATATACTTTGTGTTCCCTATCTAGGACTGACATTGGAGGGGGTAGAACTTCTACTGAATTATGTTGATAGAAAAGTTGTGATGGTAGTTACTTTGTGTTCCCTATCTAGGACTGACGTTGGAGGGGGTAGAACTCCTACAGAACTATGTTGATAGGACAGGTGATATACAGACCGCTGCCCTTGCTGCTGTCTACACATTTCCTTGTGAGATGTCAAACAATGACAAAGTTATCACATGGATCGAAAGGTCAGTATATCTCACTCATGGCTGAAGGAGCTGTAGAAAAGAAGATTCCTATTGAAATATCTGTAATTGATGTGTTGTAAATGGGTTGTTACTTGTTACATATTTTGAGAAATAAGTAACAACATTAATCACACTACATATGAAAGCTTAAAGCAAAAACGATGTATTTCACAAAACGTATAGACTTCATCTAAATTTCTCTAGAAATTTAATTTCCAAGATATCACTTTTTCTCAGTTTTATTCCATGGTTGACAAAGTGGAAAAATTTGAATTGAAAAAATCTTTTATTAGTATCCTAGATCTTTTATTAGTATCCTAGACAATATCATATTTTGTGTGCAGATATCCTTTTGAAATGGTTTTAATACCATTTTTGTTTTGTTTTTTTTTTGTTACAGCTACAGAGAACTTCTGGACAGGTGGAAACTCTGGCATGAAAGGTTAGTAATTATGGAATAGTAGCACCACACAGATTTACCAACACTGTTTCTTGTGGGATATTTTTTCTGATAAGCCTAGAGTTCCTTTATTAAAAATCATGTATCTCATTTCTGAAAGATTTAGTTGGTCTGCAAAATATAGATGGATTTCAAAGGAAGCACCTGAGTCCACAAAGTACCGATACATTCTCTACAAGCATCCTCACATTTCGTTAATGGCTCCTTTTAATTCCCAATATTACTGTCATAAAGATAATGTTCTTCCTTTTGATACAATGTACTTTGCCTTGTGAATTTACATGTACAGACAAAAGGATAAAATTCTAACTGTTGTGTGTATATTTTCCTGGACTTTTTTATCTTCTTTTGAAGTCCATCATGCAATTATTTCAATTTTTACATCACAGAGCTGAGTTTGACATCATTCGCCACTCAAGTGATAGTCACAGTTCATTGCGACACAATCGACCACAGGCGTATGTCAGCTGTAACTTTTGTGGGAAGTCAATAGCGTGTAATACGCAGGCTCCATTCCGTCTCATGTCACGTTCAATGATGTCCATGTCTGCCAACAAGCCAAAGGTATTAAAAGTCCTCAACTGTAAGATCAAGCCAAAGCTAACTTTATTTTTATGTTGGGGTCCTGCTAGATAACACTTAACCAACACTGTACATGACTGTGTGACCCTTTAACCAACCCTGTATACTGCTATATATGACTATATGGCCCTTGACTAACCCTGTACACTGCCATGTGACCCTTGACTGACATGTGTACTGCTATATGGCCCTTGACTAACCCTGTACACTGCCATGTGACCCTTGACTGACATGTGTACTGCTATATGGCCCTTGACTAACCCTGTACACTGCCATGTGACCCTTGACTGACATGTGTACTGCTATATGGCCTGCTTATGACTAACCCTGTACACTGCCATGTGACCCTTGACTGACATGTGTACTGCTATGTGGGACTTGACTAACCCTGTACACTGCCATGTGACCCTTGACTGACATGTGTACTGCTATGTGGGACTTGACCAACCCTGTACAATGCCATGTGACCCTTGACTGTCATGTGTACTGCTATATGGCCCTTGACTAACCCTGTACACTGCCATGTGACCCTTGACTGACATGTGTACTGCTATATGGCCCTTGACTAACCCTGTACACTGCCATGTGACCCTTGACTGACATGTGTACTGCTATATGACCCTTGACTAACCCTATACACTGCCATGTGACCCTTGACTGTCATGTGTACTGCTATATAGCCCTTGACTAACCCTGTACACTGCCATGTGACCCTTGACTGACATGTGTACTGCTATATGGCCCTTGACTAACCCTGTACACTGCCATGTGACCCTTGACTGACATGTGTACTGCTATATGGCCCTTGACTAACCCTGTACACTGCCATGTGACCCTTGACTGACATGTGTACTGCTATATGGCCCTTGACTAACCCTGTACACTGCCATGTGACCCTTGACTGACATGTGTACTGCTATGTGGGACTTGACAAACCCTGTATATTGCTTGGTAACTTTTAATCAACCCAGTATGGTTTATTGTTGGGTTTTTAGTGACTAGCATAATGTGTGCAAATAAATAGTAAAACATATACTTTTATTACATGTGTGTTGTATAGAACTACACAATTACTTTACCTGTTGCTCGTGGATGTGGCTGTGCCATGAAACCCAAAGAAAAATGTCTGGAACATTTGTGTTTTGAGTTATGAAGCAGGAAACAAAATTTTGTTTTGTTTTGGTGTTAAGCCTTTCTCATTTAATGGTATATAGGTGTAAGATTTTTAAAACACCTGATACATGTATAATGATTTCAATGAACAATGAGTCCAGTCATTTTTTCAGTTTTTTTTCTATTTCTAATCCTTTGAAATTGATTTTTGTCTATATCCAAAAATCACTGAAAATCAAAAGTATTTATACATAGTGTCTTGTACTTGTAAATAATTATAGAAATCTACTGTTAGTTAACAGGGTAAGTCAACTGTTATAATCTTAAACAATTACCATTAAATTAGTTTCAATATAGCAAGATTTGTCCATAAACATTTGGATAAAAGTTATGCTGTTCCTTCTGTCGAAAATGTTATATTTTGCACACATTTTCTATAATCTGCCACTTAAACTGTCAGATAAGTTGCTGCCCAGGCTGTAGGAAGCCCCTACCTAGGTGTGCAGTGTGTCTGACAAACCTTGGGACTCCCTCAGGATCTACACTGTGTCAACAGACAGAGCATAAAGGTTAGTCTTATCTGTAACATACACATGGACCATAAAGCTCAATTTTACCTGTAACATGCAGTGGTCAGTCTCACCTGTAAACTTAACATCATTCTCACCTGTAACATATTGGTCAGACTTTCTTGTATCATATAGTGGTCAGTTTCATTTGTCACACAATGTTAAGTCTTTCTGTCTGGTATTACCTGGAATTTTAATTTAATTTTCTCATTAATGTGGCATCGTATACATATTCAACTTAGAACTTGTGTGAACTTATGTTGTTTTAATAAGAATTTAATGTACTTTTATGTTTGTTTCAGATTTAGAAAACAAGCTGACTCCACTAGATGATTGGTTTACATGGTGTCAGACATGTCGCCATGGTGGTCATGCTTCACACATCACCTCTTGGTTCAAAGATCACCCACAATGCCCTGTAACAGGATGTGACTGCAAATGTGCAACCTTAGATCACATTGGACGACTGAAATCTACTTCATCACTAGTGCCTGCTGGGAAGGCTTGATCTTACATCTAAAACTCCTTTCCTGAGTATTATATTAGACTACTTGTGCAATACAGGATTCCACTTCTTATTGAACTTTATACTTTGAAGTTATTCTGCATAATCCATCAATAGGAAAGTCAAGCTAGTAACAAGTTATGCAGTGATCATTTTGCAGCAATATTGTGATATGTGAAATATTTCAGCAATATGGAGGACTCGTTCAGAGAAAATGTGTGGCAGAAAATGTGAAACAAAGTGAGGTTGTATTGAAAACTCTAGGCAGTGGAGTTATATTGTACAGTCAGCTTTTATTCTGCAAATGATAAGAGTCCTTACCTTAGTTCTTTGTCTAAGTTACCATCATCTTTAGTGGAAACAGCAGTTATCATGAAACTGCTCTACATACCATTGTTGTTCTAGATAAGACTCCTACCTTTGTAATCAACTTATTTGTCTTTTTAACTTTTTCCCCCTTGCCCTGAATTCTGGATTCAGATGTTCATTCTCTTATACCCTTCTTGTAATCTGGTACACAACATCACAAAATACTCAAATCTGCACTAATATGTATATAACTGCTTGATGATAATCAAAGCCTTTCAGGGGAAGTAACACTTTAAATGGTGCACAAAAGCATTATTTATCTCTATTAAGTGAGTAAATGAAAGATAACTTAATGGTGAAAAATTTCTCTTTCAAACATTGGCACAAGGCATTTACTCTTCCTTAAATTTCTTACCCTGTTGGCTTTCAGAGTTGACTGAAAAACAGCTTCCTATGTTTGTCCAAATGTTATCTGTCTGATAGGTTGACTTCATTGTGTTAACATATCAAGTATATACAATGTCATTGATAGTTCATACTGGCAGTTTGTTTATAGGATCTTTGTGATATACTTTAAAAAATACTCATCAATCTGTCTTACAAGAGGAAAACATTTCCTTTGCAGTAATTGAGAATTATTCCTGTAATATGGTGTAAAGGGGAAGTTGGGATGAAATATATCATGAAATATTGTTAAATTTATACAAGTAAAGTAATTATTTGTAGGTGTTGCCTCCCTTTGATCATGATCACATTTATCTTAACTGGTTAGTTATTTCTATTCTTTGACCACATATCCATTCATATTCATATATCATAAACTTATGTGCAGAAATTATGAACCGATAAGAGAACAGTATTGACAGGTCATACCAATATGTGCAGATGTTGCTCATTTTTGAACTTCTCCTTTGGCTTTGTGTAGTAGAAATAGTAAGCAGGTTTCATCAAAATCTAGTATTTTACAAAAACACTGATATGAATGTATAGATAATGTAATGTACATTGCAGATTTCACTCAGATTAGTCTTGGCATTGATATCAAAGTGCAAGTTAGCTGTTTTAGTTCTATACTTAAAATAATACTGGCGGATTCAGGCCATTGTACCTACATATACACTTTTGTAGTTAAATATGTGCTGTGTTACACTTTTGTGCAATACAAATTTGACTTCTTTTGCAAGTCTACTGTAAATTATTTAATTTATTTTAGACATGGAGAGACATTTTTAACTATCACAGTGCATAAATCTGCACTACAGCCCAAAATGACCTGTAGGCTTTAGTTTACTTTCTACAACAAAAGAAGTCATCGGTGAACATTACAAAGTGTAACACGGTACATATTTAACCTAAAAAGTATAGAAATACAATATGTGTACCCAAGCTCTAATCAACCTTTACTATTTGTAAGAGTTTAAAAATCTCTGACTGATATGGACCTTAATGCATTTGTATACTTTAGATACAGGACTGTCAACCTGGAAAAAATCTCAGATAAACAAAAGGATTTAATAAGACTGAAATAAAGAGATTGTGAGTAGTTACCTGGATCATTTATACAGTAATGTAATGTAGATACCTCTCTAGGATTATTGCACATTTAACTTAATCAGGATGTTGATGACAAAAAACCAGAAGTCAGTGTGACAGAAGAAACATTACTTTATAATTAATTCTCCACTGTGAGTTTACAGTACAGATAGACCATCTGATGTTGAACTCTTCTAAGGCAAGCAAAATGTGTTTACAATATATTGATGGATGTGAGGTGGTATGAATGTTTAATGTCATAATCTTTTGTATACTTAGTGTTTATACATGTTATCAATGAAATTATAATGACGTAATTTTAAACATGATTGTAAATTTATCAGAATAATAGCTATGATAAGATGCTTTTCACTTGCACCCTGTAAAATTTAAACCAATGAAAACAAACAAGATACATTTTATCTTATCAACCAATCAGAATGCTATGAAACTTGATTTTCTGCATCATCCAATATGTGTGATGTTAAGTAAGCCTTGTGTCCTTAACATCCCAGCCCAATATGGGATATTAACTTTGATTTCCTGTTTTCTAAGTGCTACGTGTGTGATGAACTTTTTGATGTTGATAGAAATGTTTTTAATGGTTTCATATCTAATGTCCTCAAGTTGCCACTCTAGATTGTACAATTTTAAAAACTGAATTATTCTTTGTCATATTCAAGACTTGTAGATGTGTTCAACAGGATACCATCCTCAAAGTATGCAAATTAACAACTGAAGTGCTTTATGAATGTGAAATTTATCTCTTTGTGTGATTGGCTTATCTCTTGTGTGATTGGCTTTGGTAGTATGCAAGTAATGCCCAAATGCTAAGCAAATGTGATCACCCAACAAATTGTTACTTGACCTGTGATATTGGTTTATATGTCACTGTGTGATCGATACCATATGTATTTGCTGTGTAATGTATGTGAATGTCTGTATTAAAAGCAAAGGAACTGTTGAGGGCTTGTTCGTGTCATATATTTTTGGGGTCAAGGGAGCAGTGCATGATCAGACTCCAATCAAAAAGTCCATTAAAACAATTGTTAATATGTGGTTGTAACATACAGGAATAGATGTATAGGTATATATATTGATGTATACAGGAAAATAAGCTGTGGGTATATGATACAAAGGAAAATGAAGGCTGCAGATGTATCCACTAACATGACTGGACAATGAAATAAAGGTCAAGGTCATATATATGTATCTTGACCGGACAATACCAATAAGTAAACAATGCCATAGTAACAGAATCTTAATTCAAACTCAATAATGTCAAGGTGACCCACAAAACCACCATCAAGGTTGCCAGGTCAGTGAAATAGTCAGGGAAGTTCATGTGATTTTTTAAGGTCAGTGAAAATTCAGGGAGTTTCGTGAAAATTCACTGAAATTTCCTAATTCTATGAAAGTTCAGGAAAAATTATTTTCATGGTCAAAGATTTCAATGTGGTTTGAGCAGTCTTCAGATTTAGAGTACCCAATAATAGTTTGAATTTAATTCCAAAAACCTTTATATTTAGTCGTCATATGTCATTGTTTTGTATCTACAATACAGATGTTTAGGAACCGAGATACATTGTTACTAAATCAATTGAAAATTTAGATCCTGACTATGAGAGGTCTCTATGGGGTTAAAATGCAATTCCTAAATAAATCAACTAGATTATATTGTTTTCAGTAGAAATAAGGTTGTCTTTGATTTTATGTTTAAGTTTGAAAAATTGGAAGACTGAAAGGGAGTTGTAACCCTAGTCACTTGAGCAGCTTAAAGAAAAGACTGTTGAAGTGTTGCAGAATAAGTTAAAAGAGTTCTGATATATGTCATTATGATCGTACCATCATCGATGTTTTATCAAATCACTGTGTAGTAGAAAGAGCTGAACAATTGACTTGTGAACTAATGGATAATTTTATTGTCATTTGCATTTCTGTGCCATACAAAAGCCCAATTAGCATCTAATGCATCCAACTTCCTTTTGATTAATATTTCATAATGACGGACATAAACCTCTCTCAGAAGCTTGTATTTGAGTCAGAATAGAATTTCTTATAATACAACTAGTAGAAGATTTGTCTTATGAAGGCGACCGTATAGTCATTGAAATGTCACCCTGAAATCTTCTACTAGTTGTGTTAAAGGAATTTCTATTCTACTGTTATTGCCAACCTGAGGAAAATGTTCCAAAATATTGTTTTTAGTTTATTTCTCTGATGTCAACATCTTGCACAGAAATGGATACACTGGGAACAAGCCTTCGAACACCAGGAGTTGGGGAAAATAGGAAAGTCACTACTGTATCCAGTAACAGAAAAATACATGCAATAATAAAGGAAAATATTCACCCCAAAGTATGGGAGATCTCGGGACAAATCAATTTTAACAGCAGATCTAAACATTCAATGGATCACATCATACATTGAAAAAATAATATTATGTTGAGAAGTTTTTAATCGACATCTGAAAACCACATATCTCACATTGAACAACAAACTTTTAATTTCACTGTATTGGAAAAAGGGCTAAAATCTTAAAAGTGAAAAAGTGGTAAAGTTTCCCCATAAACACCAGTATACCATGTGTCCCATGCTATCCCAGAAGTCACATACTAGGATGTATTAGGGCTGGACAATATTGAAGTCAAAATGTTTTGAGTCCATATTCAAAAGTCAAAGTCATTAATTACAGTCATAAGGATCAGACAATATCATCATGAGTTTTTTTTTTCTAAATCAAAGCCACATTATTAAATTTCAATTCTATTTGATAAAGACAGTTATACCATGGCTCTGTTACCAAAAAGTCATTGTTATATTAACATGGCATCAGAAAAGTTCAAATAATACAACAGAAGTTTATTATCAAACAGCATGTTTTCCTTATCACCTTAAATTCAAAATAAAAGACATCAATGTAATGTTAAATTATGTTTATTTACACAATGACTGCACATACAGACTACTCCCATTCAATGAAAAATGAACTGTATCCGTTTTCTTCATCATTTTAATTCATTCTTTGTCCAGAAAACAGTTTTCAGTGCAACTCCAAGACCCAATCCATATGCATTGCATTACAGTACAAGTTTCCTGCTTTTGGTTGTCTACAGTTATGCACAAGTCTAACTGCACCAGCAGACTGCTCTTGGTGCAGCTGTTTACAGTTTATGTAGAGATGCTTCTGGTAAATAATCAGCTCAGTGAAATGTTTAGCTCTATTTTACGTCACTATCCCTGTACTCCAACAATATAGTGATTTGAGAATCTTGAAGCAAGTTCAACAGCATCATTGTACATCTTCATATCTGTAACAAAATTTAACAAATACAATTATCATAGGTGATTTTTTTGCAGTCCATTTTACCATTGAAAAATTTCAAAATTCAAGTCTTCACATTTTCTTGGGAAATAATGCACATCTATCATAGTTGAGTGAATTATCATGGATCACTCTTTAATACATTTATTTTGATATATTTAATTGATCCACACATTAGCCACACTGAAATATAAGCCTCATCGTTTCTTACAATGGTGACTAAAGTTTGTTGATATTACAAACAAGTGAAGGCAATTATCAAGATCTTCAGTCAAACATTTAACAAAATTTGCAAATGAATTGTTTACAAATATTCCTTTATCTCATTGATATATCTTAAAATTCAAATTATCGAACTCATCTGGCTTGAGGCCTTCAAAATTTGTCTACACACAGATATAGGACTTGATGTTACATATGGTTTTACTAAAAAAAATCTCTTTACTGGTGTCTACTGTTATATCTTATTGAAGGTTCATTGCATGATGACAAAATTTTTGCATTTCTTCTTGTAAGTTACACAAAGCCATTCACATCGTAAACAAGCATGGCAATCTTTCTAGAATTTCTAGACCTATCGATCCAAGAGTGCAATTGGCTACTCTAAAATCCAGCCTTCTTGTAATTACTGTAATGTAACTGTGAAAGTCAAGAAGATTTTATTTTGATTCATATTAACAGGTATGATTAATTAAATCCACGAAAATGTTTTTATACTGCAATCTTCAAATTATAATGTTTATGACTACAAGTAATGGTGATCTGCTTCAATCACAAACATGTGGTGGGTACTCGTTAAAAAAATTAAAATACTGTCTCATTCTGGTATACCACAGTTTCTTTTTTTTAACTCTACCGATTCCCACCCCCCCACACACACATGTAAGCCACACCGATAAAAGCTGCACTCACAAGAGGAAAACTTTAATTCATATAATCAGGAAAACATGGTAAACAAATTACAATCATACCAGTAATATGCTTTTAACCAAATAATTACCAAATGTATCAGAGGTTTCCTGAGGGAAGGTGATATAGTTTTGACAAACAACAGCATTGTTAGACTGGACCTGGCCTTCGACTTCAGTCAAACCAGCAACATATTCACTTAACTGAAAGTAAACATAAATTAGTGAGTTCAACTATTAAGATCAAAGTTCTTCTAAATATTGTCCATGTAATATTGACAGCTAGATATATATAGATAGTGTTACTGAATAGTAGGTGATATGCACAGGGAATTTAATCCAGCAATATTTTTGGTCAATGAAGATTGAAATTAAATACCCAGGGAACATTTCTACATTAAACGAAAATATCTGGTATGCCTGACATCGTGTATCCGGACACCAGTTTATAGATACAATGTATGCATGAAATTCAATACCAGTGAACTGGTCCAAACTGAACAACTACAAAATGTTAGCACCAAGTAAAACAGCTAGAGTATTCATGTATCAAGTGTGACTGAATATTTCTGTTGAAACACCTTATTGTTTCCTGGATATCTGAGAAATCAGACCTTATAGTGCAAACTACATCTCAATTATATCAACTAGAGATTTGCTTTAATGAACGAAAATAGATGATTCCCCTTATTAGTATATATATTTGCAACTATTGAAGTGGCTTAAGAGCACCTGTAAAGATCAAGAAATTTTACTGTTTTTATTGATTTGACATGTGTTACTATTAACATTGTTGGTAAGGTTTGGTAGCTAATGGTATCTATAAGTGCAAAATAAAATTTTGACACAAATAACCATGAATCTACAAAGCACTGCACTTCATCAGTGGGTGACAAAAAGGTATGCACAGCAATTTTCATTGAGCTTAAAACTTGACTTTTGTAACAATATTTTCAATGATTCAGAAGTAATGGCACAGACAAGAAATAGTGTTATTTAGTTTCAACAACTTATTAACTTTAACCTGAAATACACAGATTTTTATATAAAATCCTCTATCAGAATCCTTCAGACAAATGATGATGTTAATGTTGCAGGAAGCATGATTACAAATTTTCAAAATCATTAAATCTCTACAGAGATCGCCTTTCTCTATTTTTCATTCACCGGTTCCTGCATGTTGACTCTAATATCTTGACCATCACTTGTTGTCAATGTAAATGCTTGTCCATTCTGGTCAACCTGTCAAAAATAACATGTTTAATGTCATTTGTATACCAAGGCAAATAACTCAAAATTTCATTTTCAGAACTGAACAGTTCAAAATCAAATAAAGCATGAATATTTATATATCAAATAGGTTTTTCAATCAATCAAATAGGTTTTTCAGTCATTACATGGTCAAAACCACCTGGATGGGCCCACATTGCATGACTGACTCTCCGTGCCTTAAAGTCAAACAGGAAAGTCTTCAAACAGGTGGGTTGGCTAATATGACAAAGTTATATATTTGGTTTGCAACATTTATTGGCTTTGGCAAACATGCAAGTTGGTCGAAAGATGTCTTTCCGTCGATGTCTGATTTAGAACTATTGCAAGGGTCTGTTACCATAGTAGTTACTACGTCGGCGACCGTTACACCAAGTTTCTAAGTAGCCACCGCTTTCAGTAAGCGTCTCTCAGATATATTTTTTTTCATAAATTACTGCGACTTTTAATAATATATTGTAAAAGTTAATAACCAATTCATAGTCAAGGCCAGCATTTGTCTTGTACACAAATCAGTGGTTTTCCCTGATCAGATAAAAAATACATTGCCTCGAGTCATAATTAATGAAAGCAACTTACATCCTTGGCCATTCCCAACAAACACACGACCCTTCCTTGGAATGATGGCAACATCGCGCCATTTACGCGAGTCCTGGAGAAATCAGTCATGGCGAAGCAAATGTGATGTTGTGTGTAGTTTCGCGGTATTTTGTAAGCTTATATCTCCGTTGCTTATGCGATTGAATTCTATGGGGAAGAACACTTCAAGCTTATACGCGACGTAGATTGAAATCGAAGTTTAGAGTCGGTACTGTAACGGAACCAGATTCTGATAATCATAGGTATTCATTCAAGTCTCATGATCATGATTAGTCTTATGCGTTGAATTTACCGTGATGCTTTTAGAATAAATAATGAATCATTATGTTTAAATAAGTTTTAATTTGTATTCGATAAACAACAAAGACAGTCGGATTTAACGTATTGTATATTATAAATACAACACCACAAAGCAACTTCCGGTGGTATGAAAAATGAAAGTAGGCCGTTTCCATGTAACGATTGGACATTTTAGAATAAACTTATCTAGTGTTGGTGAAGGCAATGATAACGGAACTCCTATTGTTTTGATTTTTGATATATCTAAGAGTTAATACTTATAGGTAGTGGTCCGCAACGATTTATGCTGAAATGGTGGTAGATGTATATTTTGTAGTTTTAGTGTGCCCCAATCGGTTTGCCCGCATAAATGAAAGCGACCTAACTTTATACGTCAGATCGCAAATAGTTGACGTAAGAAACCAGTAATACTAGGGGACTATTGAGTCATGATAGTAGGCACCAAGTCTCGTCATCATATACTGTAAACTTAATACGTATTATATATTTCACAAATTAGGTGATGGTAGAACGCGACATTGAACGTTTGAAATTAGAATCTTGTTCAATTATGAATTTCCTCATGGTATGCCAAGCAGCCAAGTAGTGGTAAGTACAATATAACAATTTGACGATATTATCACAGGTACTTTATACGATACTTTATATGTCACAAAGGTATAAAGACAGAATTATTTTATGCGATTTCATTACTATAATAGCTATATTTCACATATACAGGGCAGTCCAGTGATAGAGTTAACGCTATACTGTGTTTATACATGACACAAACAGCAGTTGACAGAGAAAATGAAAATTTATTGAACATCAATACTAACTTTACCTTGTTCAGGACATGGGAATAAAAAACTAAACTAGGTTTTGGCAATCTTAGGGGCTGCTCACTATCTACCTTCCTACTAAATTTACAAAAAATATAAACTGGTACAAAGCAAAGATACAAAATAAACCTATCTACTTACAAATAAGCAAAATTACTTACAACATAATTAATTGAAAGTGGGGCGATCCCCATGCAACCTCAAAGCTAACACAACCTCCAGGCGACCCTGAAGGTTATAAGGTTAAGTGGGCGACCCCACTGCAACACCGAGCGATCCCGGAGTTGTGATAATTAAGAACTCATTGCGAGTCACCGAGCGATCCCGGAATTGTGTAATTAATACTCATTGCGAGTAAAGTGTATGCACGTGACTTACAGGGCAAGCCCTGGCAGGTACATAGACTTGAGAACAACATGGAAATGGAATGATGTAACAAATGTAAGTACAAAAAACAAGCCTAAAATTAATTGGGGGTACAATAAACATTTATGGTAAAGTAAATTTGATTTCACCTTGGCTATATTTTCCAAGATTCCCTAGGAATATGCCATCCTTCAATGACCTTATCTGTTAATATAAGACATTAAACAATATAAATTAAACCCTAAGAATGTGAAACATGGACAGGCTGTTTACTAGTTTACATATGTACATAGGTAATCTAATCCTGTATTTAATAAATTAGAGAAATGTTTCCTGGTTGAGTTGGTGTAATCTTTTGGTCTCTAGCAGGACACTAGATCTTCCACTTGACTAAAGGGAAATTCCCACTAGTCATGCTAGAAAGCTGACCAGAACTGCTACTTTAACACATACAAAGTAGTCTTTTAACATGGTTACATCAATGAAAATGTCCCAGAATATGGATTTTTGTCAAGGTTAATCCTCACACTTAGTTATAGTATATTTCTTACTGGGATTATTTTTTACATGAAATGGATACACAGTTACATTTGAAAATTGTTGAAATCTGTCTTTTTGATAAAATTAATACCAAACTAATATTTATCAAAGTTAATTTACAATGATCAGTTTCTTCAATTTAGAGAAACCAAAAAGTTCAAAAACATATTTATTTAGAAGTTAGAGCCAGTAGCTGAGAGGATAATATACCTACCTTTTCAAACTAAAACTGAAATAGGAAAATAAAAAGAGGTGGAGGAGTCCAACGTCCTGTGAGTGGTACTAGTTGGTAGATGTATAAGTAGAAGAATCCTCAGTGGATCTGATATAGTGACAAACACAATGATGTAAATTGCAATGTTGTCACAGTTGTTGATTGTTAACATATATATCAATGGGTGGTTTTCTAGGCAATCTTTTTTATCAAGCATCATTACATTCTTATTGTTCCTAATAGAATGTAATAAAAAAATGTTTACTATATATATAGTTAAAATAATGTACTGTAACAAAACATTTCTTCTGAAATGTAACATTTTATCAGTAAAAAAAGCAAAATGTATTTATAATCAAAGTAGTACATTTAATCATCATATTAACAATATTTAATTTTACAGTGTGTTTTTGGGACTCTGATATTTGAGTCCTCATGAACTCACACTCATTATTTTCATATGGGTTTCACTCAGAGTTTGAGGACTCACTATATCTCTTTAAGTAATGGGACTCATCAAAATTTTGGAATTGGTGTTAATGTTTTCTTCTTTTTTTTTTCTTTTGTAGATAACTCTATTCTTGATGAAAAACAGATTTTAGGTCTTCCTATGATGAATATAAAGTCTCTAAACAGTTTCAAAGGATGAATCAGGCTCAAGAAATGTTCTCTGCTCTAATCCGACCGTTTACTGGTCGGTTAAACAACAAACGGGAGACTAATACACCCAGCGTGAGGGGACAAACACAAGACAATGAACAAGATGGTTTCCTGTTGGTTGGCCAGAGTAGAAGTGAAAGGACAACTGTAAGAACATGTGATTTTACAGGAAATGTGAATTCTCCTCCTGATTATAACAGTGTGACTCAGGTATATTATTGTACATAATACTAGAAATTATACAAATATCACTTTATTAAATTGCTTAAAGAGGATTCAATAAGTCATATTAAGAGTCTTTATTTTGAGTAAAAAAAGAGAAAATTCAACAAAAATAAAAATAAAAATCCAGTTTATCAATCTAATTTAACATTTTTGTATGGAGGGTTACTATAGTTGCATTGAAATCATAATTTTTAGAACAGAAAGTGCATAAATAAGATTACTGCTCAAATATATACATTTACAGAGTATATATACATGTAGGTATTCATCTGCTTCTGACAACTGTACACTGATTAAGTAAGCAATTCACATAGCTTTTATAATACGTTAACATTGACATTTAAAGATCAGAATCTTCATAAAAACAACATTTTAGAAACAGCTGAATTCTTTTTCAGAATCAAGAAACTACAGATGCAAGTGACAACCTTCCATCCTATACGCAGTACTGTCGTTCTCTGTCTACTTCCTCCAGTATGAGTATAGAAATGTCTCAGTGTGCAAACATTAATCAAAATACTGGTAATGACATGGAAGACCAGTACGACACACTCAGCCACAGGACCGCTATTTCAGATGTGCCCTTTGTGTTGAATCCTCAAATCCAAACTATGGTTGATATTCTACATGGCCATAGGCCATCCTTAGATCATCAACAGTTAAACCTTTCCCAGTACACGTATGACTTCAGTCTGGAGAACTCTTTGATGAATGACACTGACAAGTTTTACTGAATATTGTTTAAAGTGATGTACAATTAATTGCTTGTGTCCCCAATAACCAAGTAACTGTACCATTACCTCTTTATGTAGGGAAATTTCATATTATTCAATCGATGTACATACATGATGTTAGTCTATACATTAATAATTATTAGAATAGATATTTTTACATCGTGAAACTACAATGAATACAACAGTTTAGTTCAGTCAAAAGTGGAGTCAAACACTATTAATTGACTGCATGCATAATAAAGAGGTGATTTGGTGTGTTTTGCTATCTAACACTGTATTGGCATTACTTGAATTTATATATTATTTACACAACAATAATCCCAGGGGATGTTAACAATTATCATAGAGGCCAGTAATAGAGGGAAAGCTTATTGTCTGGCAACCCCCCAACCACAGGAAGATAACAAATGAGAGGGAAAGCTTATTGCCAGGCAACTGTCAAAACATAGGAAGATAAAAAATGGGAGGGAAAGCTTATTGCCAGACAACCCCCAAACCACAGGAAGATAACAAATGGGACGAAAGCTTATTGCCAGACAACCTCCAAACCACAGGAAGATAACAAATGGGAGGGAAAGCTTATTGCCAGGCAACCCCCCAACCACAGGAAGATAAAAAATGGGAGGGAAAGCTTACTGCCAGGCAACCCCTCAACCACAGGAAGATAAAGTGAGGGAAAGCTTATTGCCAGGCAACCCCCTAACCACAGGAAGATAAAAAATGGGATCGAAAGCTTACTGACAGGCAACCCCTCAACCACAGGAAGATAACAAATGGGAGGGAAAGCTTATTGTCAGGCAACCCCCTAACCACAGGAAGATAAAAAATGGGATCGAAAGCTTATTGTCTGGCAACCCCCCAACCACAGGAAGATAACAAATGGGAGGGAAAGCTTATTGTCAGGCAACCCCCCAACCACAGGAAGATAACAAATGGGAGGGAAAGCTTATTGTCAGGCAACCCCCCAAACCACAGGAAGATAACAAATGGGAGGGAAAGCTTATTGTCAGGCAACCCCCTAACCACAGGAAGATAAAAAATGGGAGGGAAAGCTTATTGTCAGGCAACCCCCCAACCACAGGAAGATAAAAAATGGGAGGGAAAGCTTATTGTCAGGCAACCCCCTAACCACAGGAAGATAACAAATGGGAGGGAAAGCTTATTGTCAGGCAACCCCCCAACCACAGGAAGATAACAAATGGGAGGGAAAGCTTATTGCCAGGCAACCCCCCAACCACAGGAAGATAACAAATGGGAGGGAAAGCTTATTGCCAGGCAACCCCCTAACCACAGGAAGATAAAAAATGGGAGGGAAAGCTTATTGTCAGGCAACCCCCTAACCACAGGAAGATAACAAATGGGAGGGAAAGCTTATTGTCAGGCAACCCCCCAACCACAGGAAGATAACAAATGGGAGGGAAAGCTTATTGTCAGGCAACCCCCCAAACACAGGAAGATAACAAATGGGAGGGAAAGCTTATTGCCAGGCAACCCCCTAACCACAGGAAGATAAAAAATGGGAGGGAAAGCTTATTGTCAGGCAACCCCCCAACCACAGGAAGATAACAAATGGGAGGGAAAGCTTATTGTCAGGCAACCCCCTAACCACAGGAAGATAACAAATGGGAGGGAAAGCTTATTGTCAGGCAACCCCCCAACCACAGGAAGATAACAAATGGGAGGGAAAGCTTATTGTCAGGCAACCCCCCAACCACAGGAAGATAACAAATGGGAGGGAAAGCTTATTGCCAGGCAACCCCCTAACCACAGGAAGATAAAAAATGGGAGGGAAAGCTTATTGTCAGGCAACCCCCTAACCACAGGAAGATAACAAATGGGAGGGAAAGCTTATTGTCAGGCAACCCCCCAACCACAGGAAGATAACAAATGGGAGGGAAAGCTTATTGTCAGGCAACCCCCCAAACACAGGAAGATAACAAATGGGAGGGAAAGCTTATTGCCAGGCAACCCCCTAACCACAGGAAGATAAAAAATGGGAGGGAAAGCTTATTGTCAGGCAACCCCCCA